TCATTGTTACATGTTTAGTATTCTATTTTATTTTCTCTTTCAGTATTTCATGAGTAAACTGATACAGATATAACAATAAATACTAAAATAAAACAGTGTTCATGCTTAAATAACATATATATATATATCACAATCACATAAAAATAGTAACTATTTGATCTACCTAAAAGCTACTATTAGCATAAAAAGAGAGTTGCTAAACATTCTATGACAACTAGGTCTAACTACTTTAAACTTCACTGTTCACACCAGAATCACTAGTAAAACAAAATCCTCCTGTACACCACTACTCAAAAGCAATTTAAACCTAAAAGACCTCAAATCAGAAGGATGGAGACAGATCTTGAGAAGGGTGTTGACAGATGAGACCTTCAACCTGTTCCTGAGATATGTGTTAATGAGATTGTACCTACTGAAACCCCTCTCACAATCAACTGAAGATAAAGCAGAAACAAGACAGATGGAAAGAAAGTTGGCCACATTAGGATAGTATACTGCAAAGGAATCCTTACACAAAAGTGAAGACAAAGCACCTTCCATCCTAACATCCTTGTAACCTGTTAAGACCTGCTTGAACATCAACGACTCCTCCCTGAAATGGACCTTACTAATCAGAGCATTGTGACTACCCTTATCCTGGCCAAAATGTCTGCAAAGAAAATCTACCTGCTCCTTGCTATAGGAAAGCAACTCCTGACTACCAACACCGTGAACAAACTGGGGGTCAAAGATGGATAAACTCTGGAAAATCTGCTGAGAAGGAAAACCACTCTGGAGATTCAAGACCAGTTGATCAATGAACTTGACCCTAAGACTCTCAAAATTTGACCTCTGACTAGAACTGTCCTCGATAAGATTGCCACCAAATAGAAAGTTACCACTATCCTGAACCTCAGAAGGGATTTCAGGAGTAGAATAATATAAAATTATGCGTAACATAGTTATCACTTGGACATAATTATTTTAAATAATAATTTACATTTTGCTTTTATCTCATCAGCAATTACCACTTATCAACACTTTTCTTTCATTTTATTTATCTCTTGGACATTCATACGAATTTCGGAATTTTCGTCATTCTTAAAACATATATTTCTGTTATATCATTGAATCATCGGTGTTTACCAAATATAAACTTTTTCTTTCAAGTTCGTTACGAGAATAATTGTTGTCTCATTGACAATTTACCCCATATCAAGACATTTCGTGCAATATTTTAATCTCATGGACATACACCCGTATTCTGCATTTTCGTCATTAACACATTCATACAATTTTGGAACATGATAGAATTTCGTTAAAATTTTATTAAGGGAGGGACGAAGGCAATTTTTATTAAAACAAAACAAAGCAGACAATCACAACATACATGGAACTCAAATAGGTCATTGACATTATTGTAAAGTGATGTGGACAGGTTGTGTTTTGCCATCCAGAAAATGTTGAACATAGCCGTGGTCACCTCCTTCTCGTGATGTTTGTTGGCTGTAGCAATGCCTTGGTCCCAGTCAGTTCTCATGATCTTGGTTTGCACGGCCTTTTTATGGTCTGCGCTCTTGGTGTGTTTTTGGATGTTGTCTTTTAACATCGTCTGACATCCAATTGTGAATGAATTAATCATCTTGGCTGTTTTGCAGTCTTGGCAGTACATACATTGGTATCTGCATCAAAGTAAATGCATGGGAAAATCTTTGACCATTGTGGTTTAAATTTGGAGTTCTGAAGACGATCTGATCTAGATTTCAGATTCTTGTTACTGGTTTGAACTTTGGCCGGAGCCTTTGACCCCGGGTCAGTTGATGAGGTGAAGAAATTTGTAATAATGGCAGATCATAACGTAACAAACGTGAATAATTGTGGAGTTCATACTGTTTGGCTATTTATAACAACCAAAAGCATTTTGAGAAATTTGAGTTGTTTGTCTAATTATGAGCAGTCTACTCATGATAGCATCCAAGCGGACTTTAATGTTTCCCGTTGATTGAATGATTACTTAAATGGATTATTTATGAGAACCGGTAATGACCCAATTATTGGATAAACGGATTATCTATACGAACAGTTCATGACATCTGTTGAAACCATTAATTAGCTTTGGGTCATAAACTTGTCAGACACATGTATCTAGGTAAAATTATAGGAAAATTTTATACGAAAATTTTTATTCTTTATAAATTTTAAGTGACGAAATTGAATTGAAAAACTTTCGTCATTCGAAAATCTTTTCGTATTTGTCGAAAATGACGAGCACTAGCAAAAATCACTGATTTAGGTGAAATGTGACGCCAATTTATACCACATTTCCATTCAAAAATGTAATAACCACCTTTATTAATTAGTCAATTGTTGCTGATTGCTATCAATTGCAATCAGCTGATTACCCCGGTATTGACTTTCTGACAATATCGATGTGAGCTCAAAGTGAAATCGGAGTATTGTCTAATCTTCATATAGTCCCAAGAAACCTGAAACAAAATTAAACAGATGACGAAGTTGAATGTTATATTTCTTTTGCCAAATTCTTTTTCCAATCATGATTTTTAATCGCCACAAAGCTAGGGCAAACCCTGATCAAAATAGTTTGTGTATGGAATGATTGTAAGGTGTACATGTCTGTGTGGCATGGTTCATCTTACAGAGACCTCATTTTCATAAAACATTGATAATTTCAAGTTTATGTGATACTTTTAGTAAAACCTTCATAATACAGACTTTCAACATGAATTCAATGGTAAGTAAAACAGGTGATTGTAAGCCTGTGACGAAAGTTGCAGAATGCGAGACAAAGGGATAACAATATGGCTTTGGCAGCATAAACTATCTGTATAAAGCTTTCTATTTCAATGCATATTCAAGACGGGAACATATTAATGCCATATGAATATTAACCCTGCTTTGTTCAAGACTGACATGCTGAACCGGATTTTTAATTTGATAGTTTACAAGGTTACATTCTGCAGGAAAACATGTCACCATTGTTCTAACTCGAAGCCAACCAGTCTTTGCTATTTATGCAGTGTGCTTAATGAAAAAGCAGCAAATTCCAATTTTAAAGTCTGGTTTGTCTCGGCCGGGGCACAACCTCCTGCATTCGTCGTGAACATGTGACCACAGATGCGGTGATGGATTAAAATAAAAAAATTTAAAAATAATTAAAGGGTTGTATGAAGACTTAGTCACTTGTTACATGTAATCCTCCTAAATATGCATGATATATTTGCCACTAGATGTTAAGCAGTACTAAATCAATCAGCCTATGGACTAGATTTAAGTATGATGCATGTGAACATTGTAGAATTCTAGACAGTTCGGTACCCAGACAAATCGGCATCCGGACAAATCGGCACCCGAGAAAGACACTTCGGCACCCAGACAAATCGGCACCTAGACAAATCGGCATCTAACATAGACAAATTGGCACCTTATAAAGATAAAATCAATTATTTTATCCTTGATCAAAATATGGTAAACCAAAAATTAAAATTACCTGGGACTGATATATGTATAGGTATGAACTCAATTTACAAGTTTAGTGTTAATATAGCGATTATGTAGGACTGTTTTTACAAATTACCAATTTAATTCCTGCACTATTTATGACATTATTGTCAATATTGTATATGGTATCTTCAAAGAAGTATCTTATGAAGTGGTTTATTCTTTTTGTTGTTTATTTGTGAAGACTGTATTGCAGCTTAGTCATTTGGATAGCTGTCTTATTTGTGTGTATTCTTTTTTCTGATACATGAACATTTATTTTATAGATTTCACCATTCATGTACTAGTTTTAATGTAATGCATAGTTCTATTCCGATAGTATTCTAAATCAATAAAATACATGTAGCATATTAATCATTTAATAATATTTATTTATTATATTTATTATAAATATTTTCAACAGTTTATAGATAATAATTATAATAAATAATAATAAATAAGCTTTATTAAGAGTCGGCAAGGTATACAAACAAAGACAACATAAGCTCTAATGAGCTTTTAACCGACATACAAGACATTTATAACAATACAACACATAATTTAATTGCATTTATAAGGGGATTTCTAATACTACTGTTAATTTGGCAATGATGAAAAATTTCCTTATACTCCCTTATGTACAAATGCTACTAGCTCTATCGGAATTGACTCCTGTATGGAAATGAAAAGTATGAAAGGAGAATTGGGGCTAACTATTTTATAACAATTTATATAATAATTAAAAATATCTAAAAGCCACCTACCAGTGTTGCATGTTCTATGTTGCCACTTTTGACAGCCACCACATTGTAAAGCTTCCTGTCTAGGGCGGACAACATTGTGGCACTGTATACAACTGTCGTCTGACATTGTGTAAGAAAAGGATATTCAAAAGTTTTGACCCTTATATATGTTTCTGGGTTTTTACTCATTATGGCATGCACGCGCTTTTATGTTTATGGCTTTTAATATGAAAACAATAAAATATAGTTTTCAGGTATTGTGTTGTCTTTACAGATGTAAGGATCAAACAAGAACACAAGCTGAAACACAAGCTATACACTTTTGATCTCTCATTTGTCTCTATTGAGAAATTATCAGATTTATACATAAAATACTGATTAATACATAACTACAATTAATTATGATTTAATTAAATGATGTTTATTCAAACACCGTCATATCTTACAATCAATTATGATTTAATTAAATGATGTTTTACTATTACACAATCATTTAGGATTTAATTCAATGATGATTTCAAATTTTGTATTGCATATTTTATCTACGGATTATAATATTACTGTAACAATTCTTTTATTTTTCCTAATATATATATTTAAAAAAATGAGGTGCCGAATTGTCTTGGTCCCGAAATGTCCGGATCCGGAAATGTCCAAAATGGATGCCGAAATGTCTTTGGACTTGGGTGCCGATTTGTCTGGGTGCCGAAATGTCTTGTTACCAACATTGTATAATAGATTTCAATTTATAAGGTAATGACTGAATTTTTTTCTTTTCAGATGAAGAAAGAAGTCAAGTCAGCGGATGTCAGCTGAATAAAAACGAAATATTTTCCTTTGTAACTTATGTCCACCTGTGGCCTCAGAAGTTTGTATTTCATTTTTTATTATTTAACTTTGATACCATTTTAATGAAAATGTACACATTTTCTAGAAATAATGACAAAATTTAGCTACTCAACAAATAAAAGGAGATGTGGGGTATATATGTCAGTTAGACAGCAACCCAAAGAACACATTTTAAGTGAAAAGATTCTAGAATCTCATTAAAATATTTATTCCATGTTTTCTTGTGAAAATGATAGATTTCAGCTTTGTATTTAGTACTAGTTGCAAATGATGTAATGGAAAAGATGCATGGCGGAAACTCAGGGTCTGACATTGTTAATGCAGTCTTCAGAAATATTCACTGTATGACATGTCTTAATCATCCTTTTGTTGGCCAACAACATAGTTAATATTTTAGACACGAAAACAACGTAATGGCACAAAAAAAAATTGAATCGATTTGTGTCATAAAATTTTCCAGGTAGGCTGCTTTTTAGGTTGGTAGGTAGGCAATATCAAACAATTTTAATTTTATTTTTGGCCTTAAAATATCAATACATGCATCAAAGTATTTGTAAGAAAGATATTTGTGGGTTCATTGCCAACTTTCTCTAACCCATCAAGATTTGCACTATCTTGAACTCAATGACCTAAAGTGATTTGATTTAGTCTTCAGCTGCATGAAAATAAATACATGTACTGTTTGTAGTTCATTCTTCTAATGGTCTAAAGGTGACAGTTTCTGTTATATATTTTTCTTTGGGATTTACTTTGCAATTCATACTTCTTATTGACTGTGAATTATTCAAAATACTTTAATTTAAAACTTTAATGAAGTTATTTGGTAGAAAGTAAATATGAAATTGTTCTTTACAGGCAATGCATGTGTTGTTTTAAAACACTGAAAAATTTTGAGAAGTTGAATAACATGGTTCAAGTTATCCTGAGTGTCGCTATTAGGGCCATTCAAACTCTACCTGACAATCATGAGAAAGACAAGAAAAAGGAAGACAAAGAAGAAGAACAGAAGGATGAAAAAATGCAAGCAGAAGAGGAAGATGACAATGAAGAACCAGAGAAATGGACTTCAGAGGAGAAAGAAAAATTACTTACATTTGTAACCAAAGTATTCCTGATGAACTTTCCATCTTACATGGCATATAAGCATATGGTTCATGCTTCTCTGGAGGTAATTCAATATTGATTCTTATGCAATATGTCATGTAACTCTATTTTTATCTCGTCTTGATGAAGTCATAAAAGTGATGCTTAGGCATGCTGTTTCCAGCGGCAGCATCAACAATATATCTTTTTGTGATAAGTCAGTTTAAGAGGAACCATTAGCGGTATGTCAATGATAATTGGTATGCAGTTGTATAAGCATTGACACATCTCATTTCCATGGAGATTATTTTGCCCCTTCCCCTCAGTCATTGTCTTTTGACTTTGCTTAGTCTACATGAACTAGTTTGTGATTAGGCATATTTTAACTTTCAAACTTTTGCTGATTTTATATGTTAAAAGTTGTGATTACGTCAGTGTAAGGGAAATAATAAGTGGTAGGCCAATGATATTTGGTATACAGTTGTATTAGCATTGGCATATTTTATTTCCTTGATGATTATTCAGCCCTCCCTTTCAGTCATGGTCTATTGTTTACATGTTACAGTATGTGATTGGGTCAGTTTAAAGGGAACCACTTATGATAAGTCAATGATATTTGGTATGCAGTTGTATTGGCATTTACAACAGAGGTTATTGGGCCTTGCACTTTCAGTCATAAGGAATTGACTTTGAATGTTCTGCATAGCATATATGTTAAAGAACTGCCATTTTAATTTCAACATTTGCATTATACTATCAAAATAACATAAAGGTGAGACATATCTCTATGTTAACAGTTTATTTATTGGATGATATCTGTGGTCAATTCTATGGTTGATGGTCGCATTCATTGTCTGCTCTTCATCGACAGTAAAACTGCATTTGTGGCCTTTTTAAAAATACAAACTGACAGAGGCAACTTTCTTAATACTATACTTTTATTCCTTAAAAAGATTTGAAAAATTTTGTTTGTTTCTCATATTGGATTGATACTTGTAAATTAAACGCCAAAGTGAAAAAAAGAAAAAGATTTTTAAAGACAGAAACTTCAAAGTGTATGTTTTTTATGTATTTTTTCAAATGGTCTGGCTTTTGAACCACCTGTCCAGGGTGCAACAGGGTTTTAATTTGTTTTCTATAGCAATTTACCTATATATTACAAGGAATAATTATTTTCTTTTTGAAAATCTTTCTGTCTTTACTCCTATCTCTCTCCCTCTTTCTCTGTTGAGTGTTGTTTGGCTTTGATAAGAAATGATTCACTTGTAATTCTACAAAGAAATGATTTCTGTTTAGAAGATAGATGTTTCTAGAATTTTATTTTACTAGAAATAGTGATATTTACAGATTCCTAATATTTTTACATCATGAAAGAGACTTATTATATTTGCAAGATATTGAATGTCAAATATTTAAAAAAAATTCTAGTCTTATAGTACATGTAATTTTCACTTGTGCATTTTGCTTTATTATTTATTTTAATGGGTATTTCAGGAGTTGTCACAACAGGAAACCAGTGCTTTGAATAACTACTGTGAGATTTCTGTAAGTAAGAGCATCAAGGGCAAGGTCCCAAACTACTGTAAAATTTGTATATAGTATTCACATTTTTTTCTCAAGAGTTCAAGTTGACATATGAATTGAGAAAAAAAATTGTGTTTCTATGATGTTTGTTTTGCCCTGGCTGCTGTTTTCTGTTAAATTATTTTCCTTATCAATATTATCATGCAGTTTTATCTTAAAATTCCTTATAAAGTCTGAAATATCAACGTTTCATGATTCAGTACAAAGGACAGGGTGTGATAAGGGCTTACTTGGCCTCATATTTTATATGGCGTACAAAATTATAATCCTGGTATCTATGTTGAGTTTATTTACTGAATTCTGAAATTTATAAGTTTCTAATTTAAGATTGCCATTTATGTCTGTTTTAAGGTTGAGGTAATGCAAAATAAAAAATAAACATTAATTTCAATCTATGACATCACATAAATGCAGTTATGACATCACAGGAAATGGCCCTTCTACTCATTTTGTAAAATAAAAATATATAGATTATGGTCATTTTTGTCCCCTGCGTAACGTGTTGCGGGGGACATGGAAATACCGGGCGTCCGTCCATGTGTGTGTCCATCAGGTCTTGTTAGCGCTCTCACAGGTACAATTCTTGCCAGATTTTTATAAAACTTATACTATAGGTTAATATCAGCAATATCTCTAATGGTGGACGATCGACTTTTTTTTAAAAGAGTTATGTCCCTTGGAAATTTTAAATTAATGGAAAATGGCCTCGTAAGCGCTCTCACGGATACAATTCTTGCCAGATTTTTATAAAAATTATACTATAGGTTAATATCAGCAATATCTCGGACAAGTTACGTAATGGTGGACGATCGACCTTTTTGAAATGAGTTATGCCCTTTGGAAATATTAAATTTATGGAAAATGGCCTTGTTAGCGCTCTCACAGGTACAATTCTTGCCAGATTTTTATAAAACTTATACTATAGGTTAATATAAACAATATCTCTAATGGATGACGATTGATTTTTTTAAAAGAGTTATGCCCCTTGGAAATATAAAATATGTGCAACGCTGGGGGACATTGGAACTCTGTTCTTTTATTGAGATAGTTTTTTGGACCTGCAAATATAAGAGGACATGCAAGTTCCAGCTGAATAATTTACCATAAAACCTGTATAAACAACACATCTATGTGGTACTTGCATGTGCTCAATATTTCCTACTGAAATATTTGCGAAAATATGTTGATTTTTTCAGTTTTCTTTTAGAAAAATTGGAATTATGGTATCTTTTGACCATAAAATCTCTGTAAATATTGATTACACTTCAAAGACATTTTAGCTTAAACTATGCAAATATTTAGCAATTATCTTTGAGTTTAAATCACTCGATTTTGAAATACTTTATTCTTTTTGGCTGAAAAGGGCCCTTAGACCACCACTTCCTTTCTCCTTCTCTTCTTTTGGAAGCATTCACAGAAGATATTTTATAGAGATTCTCAAAGTTTCAAAAGTATTAAGCATAAGAAGACATAATTAGAAATTTTGAAGTATGTTGCAAGAAAAAAATAAAGGGAGTTATCTTAAAGGACATAAATTTGTTAAGGACTGGGTCCATCTATTGTGGTCTTTGGAGGGGCAACAGAATATTTCATAAAAATAATCAATTCAAGTACTGAAAATTAAGAAGGAAAGACATTTATGTAAAATTTTAATGCTTTAATGTTTGTTGGTCTTTTACCATTCAGGACTAAAAAAAATGCATTGATAGAATTGAAAGATAGAGAAAATCATGTGATAAAAATTTCCCATTCTTCACATTATTAAGAGGTGTGTATTTATTTATTTATAGTTGTTTGCTTGTCCAGTGGCAATGTATTTATTGAGGAAAGTTGTTAAACAACAAATCTTGTATTCCGTCGCTTAAATAATCATCATTAATATTATTACAGGACCCAGAAGTGCCAATTTATCTGCTGAGAAATTTGTGTTACTTCATAGACAGCAATGGTATTGCCGGCCTCAAGCAGTGCTTTGACAAGGCTAACCCTGAATCTTTATCCTTTACTGTAGCTCATATACTGATAACATTAATAGCTAATGTAAGTATTTCACAAACAAAAATAAACAAGCATTTTGTGTGGATATTCACCATTTATGGTAAAATAGTTTTAATGCATAGCTTGCATAAACAATAGTTAAATGCTAATGAATGGTTGCTTTTTAAAGGAAAATACAAATGCAAATACCACCAGGTTAGCTCAGACTAGGAAAAACTGATAGTCTGATACTCATGAAAGAAAACTTACTGGAAATACAGTTCAACCACACTTATACACCATGGCTTCAGGTTAAATGGAACACATATGCAAACAATCTTTAATAATAGTGTTCAGATCAAAGGATGAAAGTCTATTGACCTATATTTTGTAGTTTATTTCACATCAGATTCAACTCCATATCCAGAGTTTCAATTTTGATGATATTTTTATTAATGTTTTGCAAAATATGTTAAACATACCCAACGTATATTTAATTTATTCAAATCTTTCTGTTTTACAGTTACGAATGTGGATGAATATACAGACCGTCATGCAGTGTATTGTTCCTCTTAGATCAACAATTATAAGGTAAAGCTTTTTTGTATATATAGATTAGTGTTGTCAAATCGAACAGTTTTGTCTAACCGGTTATTCGGATAAACTTTCGACCGATTAACCGGTTAACCGGTAAATTTGATGTCCTTAAATGTATGTTTTTATAATACGATAAATTAAAGTTTATCCATGGGCATTATAAGGCTTGGCTTTGAGCAATCCTGGTGAAATTGTACTTTTATAAATCCAACACTACCCTATCTACTATTATGTTTGTAATAACTTCAGATTGAGAAAATGAAAATCTTCTTGATCTCGTTGAATTGACAAGGTCTGAAACAACTTTTAAAATATGACAAAGCCTTGGACGATGGAGGTGGTATATTAAGATGTAGTTCTACGCACTATTAAATCAAAAACAAAAAAAATGAAGTAAATCGTGAAATTTAATCGGCTTACAACAGTTCTAATACATGTATACTAATTATGTTTACTTAAGATCTTGCCCCGAGCTGAAAGACAAGTCGTCTTTGTGCTAATTGATTTTATGTTTTCAAGGTTAACATTAGCAATCAATATACTGGACAATTGATCTGTCAAACTAATTACCACGACGATCATTTTAAAATTGAACAAAATTTATTAATGATTTCATAACACATTTATATCAAATCTATTGAAATTAAAAAAAGGTCTGATTAACCGGTTAGCGTTTTTGGTATTCAATATTCGGTCCTTCCGACAGTTAACCGGTTAAATGTTGACAACACTTATATAAATATATATATATATATATATATATATATATATATATACAGTAGTATATTAAACAGGCTTTTCAATTTTCATGGTACACAGACATAGATAACTATAAACAAAATATACTATGATGAAAAATAACTGTTTAAACTTACATTTCAAGGGAAATAATTCCTGTAGACAGTTTGAAAATATTTGTATTTTATTATCAGGTACATGTGTAAGTTGTCAGACCAGGATTTGAGATTAGCTGGTAATCGTAACATGACAGACTTAATGTGGGCAGCAGTGAAGGAGCCTTTAGAGACACACTTTACATTTGATAAAGAAGGACTAGACCTAGCATTCAAATACTTCACATGTTCAACATTGACTATACGACTAGCAGGCATAGCACAAATAAATGTAAGATATGTAGGTCATAGGATATTAGTGATTTGGACCGAGGAAAATTCCATTTGAACATTTTGTTAACAAATTAATTATCTTTTGTTAATCAAATTCAAATTTTATCCCCTTACCTATAAAACAATACAAACTTCAGAAATGTTTGCAATGTTTTTAATGGATTAGTATTGCATTTATTAATAACTCAATTAAAAATGATTGCATGGACCAAGTAAAAAATTATAAGAGCTCTATTGTTCATACAGACAAACATTGTGGTTAATTATTCTGTTGCTTCATGCATGTGCTCTTTGTGGGTCTGAAAACTACATGAAAAACAACTAAAACCTTTTTTTTTTTAACAAAAACTCTTAGAAGTGACTTTTCTTGAACGTCATAACTACTTTTATTAGGATGTGATGAATTCTAAAACTCCCTTTTTTTTTAATTTTTAGAGTCAGATAAACCTGTATAATGAGAGTTGTAATAATGAGACACTGTTGGATGCTGAAAGGTGAGAATACAAAAGGAAATAAAGGATAATTGTTCAAGCTGTTCAATTGTAATATGCAAACTTATACAAAATTTCTGTACTAAGTACCGCTTATTTTAAAGTTTTGGGTTTATATAATTTGATTGGGCAAGATTTATTATATTACAGCTTGTAATGGTAGGTTTTCCCTTACTTGATTGCCTTTACCCTAAATGCATTCATATACAGGACTTTATTTTTCCTTAAAATGTAATGTTAGAAAGTCCTTTTTAAAAAGACTCAGCTAAGTACCACATTTATTATTAAAGTGATGATATATATTTGCAGTGTATATAACCATGTTATTTCTTGAACTAGTTGATTGACACATGTTTTTGTGTCTATTTAAATGGATGATATTTTTTCAGAGTTGGCCATCAGTTAGCCCAGTGGTTGATAGACAACAAAATAATAGAACATATATTTGGGCCAAATTTACATGTAGAGGTAAGTACCTGATGCATTAACTGGGAACCAAAACTGGTCATCTCAATCCTTATGAATGAAATATAAGGGACGCTGTTGATCTGGAGTTGAAAGGGAAAATGCCTATTGAAATGAAAGATATGTTTTGTTAATGATTGGATCAATTAAAGATTTTGTAGTTAAATCCCTTATTTTCAAACTTGTATGATTTAATATCAGATTTGAGAGAAGTTGTTAATGGTCCAAGTAGTTTTATTTGGAGAGTACCAACTGTCATAGAAATCATGGTTAATCAAACTCCCAAATTTCAATAACCATTCAAATGCTTTCGCTTGTCTTTTATGTCAGAAATATAAACAGGCCAATATTAATTCACAAACATCAAAATTTTGAGTTTGCAAACATAAATTCTTACATGATAATATTTTAGATGATGAATTATCAATGGGATGTCTACCTGCAAAGATGACGAATTAAACAAAACTTCATGACATTAATTGAATTTAGTTTAGACGGGTACTCTGGCATATACAAGTAGTTAATGAATCATTTTGATTTTTTTCCTATTCTAGCTTATCAAGCAAAGTCAGATGATTTTGAATTTACTAGCTATGGAAAATAAGATAACCAATGAACATATAGATTGTATCTGGGCTGCAAGTCAGGTAAGTTTCTAACATGAATTAGAGATATATTCTTAAATTTTGAAACTAAGTTGCAATTAAAGAAGACAGTTATGGGTTCATAAATTTTGAAACTAAGTGGCAATAAAAGAAGACACTCAATTCCAGCAAATAAATGTCAACTATATGTAGTTTCATGATGATTTTAATGAATATGCTTAATACCAAGAATAACATGAAAAGGCAATACAAAGCTGTTTATAATTCATTAAAAATCAGGATGCCTTCCATTTTGTCTTGGAATTGTTGAAGTGAATGAATGATTGAATTTAAAAGTGATGTGTGCACAGGTTGTTAGCAGATAAGCAAGTTGTCTTGAAAACAAAATGCTCATTTATTTATCATTAACTTTACTGGAAATTGATGTACAGTTTAATTCAAATAATTTATACAATGAAACACAATTTACTTTGTTTTTTATGCCCAACCTACGATAGTAGAGGGGCATTATGTTTTCTGGTCTGTGCATTCGTTTGTTCGTCCGTCCGTTTGTCCGTCTGTCCCTCTTCAGGTTAAAGTTTTTGGTCAAGGTAGTTTTTGATGAAGTTGAAGTCCAATCAACTTGAAACTTAGTACACATGTTCCCTATGATATGATCTTTCTAATTTTAATGCCAAATTAGAGTTTTGACCCCAATTTCACGGTCCACTGAACATAGAAAATGATAGCGCGAGTGGGGCATCCGTGTACTATGGACACATTTTTTGTCGAGCCTTCGACTTTTGTCGAAAAAGCGAGACATAGCGATCCTACATTCCGTCGGTGTCGGCGGCGGCGTCCACAAATATTCACTCTGTGGTTAAAGTTTTTGAAATTTTAATAACTTTCTTAAACTATCCTGGATGTCTACCAAACTTGGACAGAAGCTTGTTTATGATCATAAGATAATATTCAAAAGTAAATTTTGTAAAAAAAAAATTCCATTTTTTCCGTATTTTACTTATAAATGGACTTAGTTTTTCTGCCAGGAAACATTACATTCACTCTGTGGTTAAAGTTTTTGAAATTTTAATAACTTTCCTAAACTATCCTGGATTTCTACCAAACTTGGAAAGAAGCTTGTTTATGATCATTAGATAGTATCCAGTAGTAAATTTTGTAAAAAAAAAAATCCATTTTTTCCGTATTTTACTTATAAATGGACTTAGTTTTTCTGCCAGTTAACATTACATTCACTCTGTGGTTAAAGTTTTAAAATTTTAACAACTTTCTTTAACTATTCTGGATTTGTACCAAACTTGGACAGAAGCTTGTTTATGATACAAAGCTAGTATCTAGAAGGAAATTTTGTTAAAATTTTGTTCCATTTTTTCCGTATTTTACTTATAAATGGACTTAGATTTTCTTCCAGTTAACATTACATACAGTCTGCAGTTTAAGTTTTTAAAACATTTATTAGATTCATAAACTATCCTGGATTTTTACCAAACTTGGACAGAAGCTACTTACAATCAAAAGATAGTATAGAGAGGAATATTTTTATTAATTTTTTTCCTCATTTTTGTTGAGCCTGTGATTAACAGCAAAAGTAGGCGAGACACTGGGTTCCGCGGAACCCTTACGAATTTTGTTATCTTACAGTTGAAGCACTGCAGCAAACAGGTATATGACATCCTGATTCCATTGATTAAAAATCTAGAACTGCAACCAGTCCAACATCTCCTAAAACTGGTTTCTTCATTAGATCAAACAGCTCATACAGAGTCTGTAAGTACTTAGATATAAGAAGATAGGGTATGAGTGCCAATGAGACAACTCTCCATCCAAGTCACAATGTGTAAAAAGTAAACAATTATAGGTCAAAGTACGGCCTTCAACACACAGCCTTGGCTCACACCAAACAGAAAGCTATAAAGGGCCCCAAAATGACAAGTGTAAAACGATTCAAACAGGAAAACCAACGGTCTTATCTATATAAAAAACGACAAACACTTAAGAACCACATCAACAAACGACAACCACTGAAACAGGTTCCTGACTTAGGACAGGTGCAAACAAATGCAGCAGGTTTAAACGTTTTAACAGGTGCCAACCTTCACCCTAACCTGAAATAGAAGTGTAACATTACAACATAGAAAGATTTATATAATGACACCTTATAACTTTTGAATATATGACTACATGTAATAACATGGGTAGCATAATATTGTTTACAGTTAAATATTTGTTCATATTCATCCTGTACACTACCACCAGTGTTATTTATTTATTCTTTTAAATGTACAACATAACACCATTTGTCAAAGGTTTCATTTATTTGATTGTGTTGTTGAAATTTTTTTGAAAACAAAATAAAATTACTATCTTTCAGTGGTTCTTTTATGAAAATTCAAAGTTCAAAATAAGAAGTCATTTCTTTGCCTGTTTATGGTTTCAGGTTTAAATATACATGTACAATCATTTCAATGTCAAAATTACCATTTTATTTTTATCTTTCATAAACAGTTTTGATTTTTAAATCATTTAAAGTTAACATCACCGCATCTTTTGCAGTTATAATAAAATTTTACTAAAAATATAATTAGTTTTAATTATTCTTTGCAGACTTTATATGTAGCTTCAGCTCTTATTAAGTGTGTATGGAGTACTTGTGCTGGGAATCATTGTGGAACAACATTACAGCCGACACAGACTCAATACCCAGCCATGCAAACTGAGGAGGATGGAAACACAAGTAAGTTTTTTTTTAAGAAAAGAAATAATTCATTCAAGTTTTTATATCAATTTTCACAGATAATTTTAATCAGGAGAGTGGAAGTGACTTTATAATATTGAAAAATTTGGAAAAGTAATTTATTTATGAATTGTTTAAACAATGATTTTTGATAGAATGAAAGTTGAACGCCATTCTGCTATAGAAAACATGAGCATTTTGTGAATTGAATTTGTAAATAAGAGAAGAAAGTAGATATTAGTTCGCTTCATTATTTTTCAGGTAAAGAGACAAAACATGAAGCAAGCAGTGAGGAAAGTATACAAGTATCGGACGAAGGAGAGAAAGAAAAGGTAACAACTCCACAAACTTTAATAGTTTACACACCATTAGTTTTCTGGGACAAAACATTAATTGGCTACTGTTAGATATAAATGCAATTATCCTCTTATACTTTAAATTCAAAAAATATTTTGCAGTTTTTATGATAACTAAAATTGTGACGAGTAAAAACGCACATTTTAGATTTTAAATGCATTATTAGTATGGAGCATTTCCTGAAATTGCAATAATTGATCTCACATTTTATTCCATTTATCAACAGTTGCAATAATAAATGAACAAAATGATTTCTAAAATAACTTTACTTGTATTTTTCTATTTACAATTTGTTTGTTTTGAATTTGACAAGGCTGTCTTGATTTTTGTTTTTATTTTATGCTTATCTAGTTTTAACACATTTGAATGAGTTGATCATTGTATTCATTTCTAATACAAGTTAAAAGATGTATGTACTTTTGATGTGTAGAACACATGTTTCTCCAACAACCATCTTGTATGCATGATGTCAAAATTTGGAAAGCTAAAGTATGTATATTTGGGGCATGATTGAAAATTAATTGTCAGAATGGATATGCAATCCGTAAATGCAAAAAAGATTATTATGGCAAAATAATCTCAAAAATCAAAAATATTTTTTTTAAATTGTATCTTTAAGGGATATATAACTTTAAATTTCAGTTAATAAAAATGGCACAGCAGAGACATAGACGGAGAAACAGACATCGTAACCTAGGCAACCGTAATAGAATACCAAAACATGTATGCTGTTCTGGTGCTGAATCAGAAGAGGAATGTGAAGGTCACAGTGAGGAAAGTGAAGAGGACCATGAATGTATGCATCATTCAAGACAAGTTCCTCATGGACATAGTGAGGGTAGCGAGAGTGAGGTGGAGGCAAGCGAGTCCAGCGAGGAAGAAGTTGAAGATGAGACTGAGGTAATTTCTGGACAGTGTCATCAACATAGACTACTAATTGCTCAACAACGAGCAATATTACGGAGGCACTATCAGGATGGTCATACTGTAGATACATCAGAGGAAGAGGAAGAGGAGGAAGAATCTGAATATATCGATTCAGAGGATGAGGAACTGTTGAAAGAGGCAAGACTTGTGCATACCAGACACCCTTGTCACCACACGAGTGAAGAAAGTTCAGATTTTGATGAAGAGGCACTACAGCAAGGCAAAATGACATATCAAATGGCAGAACATTTATTACGAAAACATCATCATCAACAGCAGAAGCAGATGTTAGAGGCAGCCCATAGACAGGCTCTCAAAAAACAGGAGACCACAAAAACTCCCAAAACTCCAGAGAAAAAAGTCCAATCAAAGCTTAAGACAGAGGAAAGCAGTGATGATAAAGAGAAGAAATCAGATGAAGCAGAGAAAGAGGAAGAAAAGGAAGAAAAAATGGATGATCAGGTATGTTGTTTATTTTTTAAAACTTTTAACCAAAGTTTTCTGAAAATTTATAATGGCAATATTTATATTTCACTCATTGGTTTATTCAAATTAAAATTTTAGAAAATGATAAAGTTGTTTTCTTGAATATTTAAAATGGCATAGCTGGCAATTGCATCACAAAAATGTATTCTTGAAAAGATATTAATTAACTTGTTGAAACTATGTCTTTTCTGACCTCCTGAGTGAACTTGAACATTAAATACATAAATTGATTGAGAAGCATACAGCTAAGAGCTTGAACTGGCTAAAATATCATAAAAAAAACTTGTGGACTATTGATTACACCAATAAGACATGTAAGAGTTGAATGTAAATATAAGTAAGATTAATTTATATAAAGGAAACTGAAGCTCCACCTAATGACCAACCAACAACATCAGAAGAACAAGGAGAATTGAATCCTGCTGTAGAAACAGAAATCTATGATGTCTCTGAATTTGTAGAACAGATCCATGCACAGTGTACTAAGAAAAAGAGACACCATGCGGAACCTGGGTTTGTTCTTTAAAATTACAAAAAAAAAAAAAAAATAATTCATATAGGTTAATTATCAAGTATAGGCTTGTATTGATGATAAATGATGAATGCAAATCTCCTTATTTAAATATCATATTAGATATGAAAATTGCATACAAAAAACCTTTTTTGGATTTAAACAGCACTGGTGAATGACAGACCATCCCAAGTCTGGTTTGGCTTGCAAATGTGTTTTCTTCTATATTATCCTGTAAAAAATATATGTCCTCAGTAGTAAAGAATTTTGAATAGTATTTAATTGGTCACTTTTTGTGTTTAAACACTAATTTAGGGACAATTAAATAGATAGGTTCAAATCCTTCATTTAGAAGTGATCCAATAAATACTTTTACATATGAGACAGACATTTTTATGCCCCACCTAAGATAGTAGAGGGGCATTATGTTTTTTTCGGTCTGTGCTTCCGTTCGTTCGTTCGTTCGTCCGTTCGTTCGTCCATCCATTAGTCCATCTGTCCCGCTTCTGGTTAAAGTTTTTGGTCAAGGTAGTTTTTGATGAAGTTGAAGTCCAATCAACTTGAAACGTGATATGATCTTTCTAATTTTGCCAAATTAGAGTTTTGACCCCAATTTCACTGTCCACTGAACATAGAAAATGATAGTGCGAATGGTGCATCTGTGTACTATGGACACATTCTTGTTTTGACATTGTAATCTTATTTTATAGTCATACAACCAAGGAAGGAACAACCAGTGGTGAGGAAGTGGAGGGCAGTTGTCATAGTTCCAGGATCAGTAATAAGTCAGAGAAAAACATGGCTGATTTCGAAGGAGAGGATTTCATCAGTGATGAAGAATTAGCTCAAATTAATGCTCAAAGACAGTTCAATCCTCATCAAATGCAGCAGCATTTATCAAATCTGGCCTCTATGTACCATACCCATCTACCACATGGTAAGTTAATGCTAAACTGATGTTCTTATGATGTGAAAGATCAAGATATATATTTGGATGGAAATATTAACAAGAGATACATGACTCATACATAAATGCTTGACAGAATGTTTAATTTGACATTTGTGAGTTCAGTTTAATGGCTGGGCATTGGTTGTAATGTGTTATTGAAAAACCTTTTTCCTTTATTTGTGTGCAATTACCATTTAAACAAACTGTTTTAGACATATCAATAAAAAGTCATGTTGCTATAAGAATAATAGAAAGATAAGATAACTTGACCGGAATGATATATACATGTTGTATGTATGTTATATTTGAATCAAATATGCATTGTGGAAGATTTTCATGTAGAAAATAACATATATGCTGTGCCTTTTATAGGTCCAGTACACAGTAGACCACAGCCTAAGGAGGCACCCTATACAGAGTTTAACTTTGATACTGTCTGTCAAAAAGGCAATACTTTATTATGGGATTTGGTGCAAGAAGAAACAGCTGTAAGTCTCAATATTGATAAAAAGTGTTTTGGTGGTAAATGTCAATGACGCAGCAACCCAAAGACATAATTTAAACAAAATATGCATCATGAGGTCACCATACAGCTTTCAATATGCCATGTGACACTCTATATTGTTCTTATTCATTCATGTTTTTTTTTTGATAACTGGTCAGTTAATTAAAATTTTACAAAGAGCTAAACATTTCTATGGTATTCAAATCAAAATTGCTTAGGTGAAACAGATTGCTACATGTGATTACCTTTAATTTACCATAGTTTCTCTGTATATTTTTAAAATCCCTGTTGTGTTTTTGAAATATATGTAGTTTTTATACGACCGCAAACAATTTTTGGGATCATATAATGGTATGATGTTGTCATCGTCTGCGTCGTCGTCCGAAGACACATTGGTTTCCGGACAATAACTTTAGTTTAAGTGAATGGATCTCAATGAAATTTTTTAAGAGGGTTCAATACCACAAAAGGAAGGTTGGAATTGATTTTGGGGATGATGGTCCCAACAGTTTAGGAATTAGGGGCCCAAAAGGGGCCCAAAACAAGCATTTTTCTAGTTTCAGGATAATAACTTGTGTATAGGTATTTCGATTGCTCTGAAATTGTACCACAATGTTTAATACCACAAGTAGAAGGTTGGGATTCATTTTAGGGGTTATGGGGCCATCAGTTTAGGAATTAAGGGCCAAAAAGGGGCCAAAAACAAGCATTTTTCTAGTTTCCAGACAATAACTTGTGTGTAAGTGTATGGATCTCTCTGACATTGTACCACAAGTTTACATACTACAAAGGAAAGGCTGGGATTGAGTTTTTGGGGTTATTGCTCCAAGGGGGGTTTCAAAAAGTTGGGGGGGGGGGGGGGGATTTTTTTTTCCAATTTTTTTAAGGGATTCATATTTTTTTTCAAAATTTTTCAAATTTCGAATTTTTGAAAAGTTTCAAGAAGAAATCTTCAATTGCACAGTATTGCGCAATAGATTTGTAAGATCTTTGACCACATTTATTTTGTGTCAGAAACCTATATTATGTCAAAAATTTGATCACAATCCAAATTCAGACAGTATCAAGCTTGAATATTGTGTCCAAATTTGCCCAAACTGTTCAGGGTTCGACTTCTGCGGTTGTATCAGGCTGCGCTCAGCAAAGCATTTTATTGATAAGGGCTATTCCAGGAAAAAAATGTTTGCAGGGGGAGGAGGTTAGAAAACACCATTTTTATACCCCACCTCACTAATAACAGAATTTATTTGCATCCACCCCTTTTACCAACAGAGAAAATATTATGTGGTGTCCAACCTTGCATACATTTTTTTCTGGAAAAACCCTAAAATAGAAATGACCAGTTTGAAGATTTGCTAACAGGTGTTTGGTTAAGCTGTAATTCATGGACAAAAATAAAAAGTATGATTATGTAAGTTTTTGAAACAAAACATTACTATAATTTCTTCAAATTTTTCGACAGCCATCACTACCAGAAGGACTAGCCAGTGAAGCAGAGAAAGCTTTATGTACACTAGTATGTTATTCCACTGACAGGAGAATCAAGATGAAATTTATAGAGGCTTGTGTGGAGAATCTTGCTCACCATAGGTAAGTTATGCCCATTGATTGAGGAAAACCTTACTCACCATAGGTAAGTTATGCCCATTGATTGAGGAAAACCTTGCTCACCATAGGTAAGTTATGCCCATTGATAGAGGGAATCTTGCTCGCCATAGGTAAGTTATGCCCATTGATTGAGGGGAACCTTGCTCACCATAGGTAAGTTATGCCCATTGGTTGGGGGGAACCTTGCTCACCATAGGTAATTATGCCCATTGATAGAATAAGATTGATAAAAAGAGGATTGTTTCTAGAATATTGTTCAAAAGAGATAAGTAATCCCATTGACTAAAGAATTAAGATGAAGTTTTAAAGGCCTGCCTAGGATCAGTGTCAAAATACTAAATGGTTACAAACAGAATAACTTAACAACTAAATTTAGGTTCAGTTAGTTGAGTCAGAATGTTCTATGTAACCATAGGTAGTTATATTTTTTATAAGTGTTGAAAAATTTCAACAACTCGCTTCATTCATTCTTGGAAACTATTTAAGAATTGAATTTACACAGAGGTATATTCTATCAGGAAATTATCTGACACCTTATCATTTTTCTTTGATTTGTCATGGGTAAAAGGATTCATTTCCGATATTTGAAAAGTTAAAATAAGGAGGTCAATGGGTAAGCACTTGCATAACACAATAAAACAAAAAGATGCACATGAAATTAACATGTAGTTTTCAAAATTATAAAAGGGTTATACCATGTAAATCTCTATTTGGACTGAATCTAGACTAGACATTTATGGAGAGTACGAGAGATCTGCTATCAATGCAAAAAAAAAATGCTAAAATTTAAACAGGCATCCATTTGGCAGTGTTTTTCGAATAATAAAATCAACTTTTCATCTGAATATCGATTTATAGAAATATATATTTCATTTTCAGGTCTGTTGTTGTTTCATTAAGACTACTACCCAAGATACTAAGTTCTTTCCAGCAGTACAGGAATGGAATAGATACACATCATGTTACAATGTAAGCTTATTTAACATGTAATTTATCTGAATATAAACATTTTTCATTGCTGAATTTTTTTTTTATTCCACATAGAAATATGTAGTAAAAACCTATTTACAATTAAATTAAAAATAAAAATTATGGATATGAATGATAATAGAGGATAATATGGTTAACAATATTTCTCATAATAAAAAAAGGAAAGTTTAATGAATTTAACAATGAGATTATATTTTTTTACAGGTGGGCAGAGAAAGATTTGAACATGATGAGCCATTTCTTCATAGATTTAGTCCACTACACAGAAACAAAAGAAAGATCTAAGCCATCTGATTCATTGTAAGTTTTACTGCAAGTGAGAGAAAATTTATCAAGGGAAACCTACACTGTAATTTAAGAAATTACTGCAAGATTTATATTAATGGGAATAGTTTGACTGAGTCAGTAATAAGAACTCACATTCTGATATCTGGTACATATATCTGTATGCAGCTTTTCCTGAAATCGCAATAATTAATTCAATTTTAGGTTGATCATGTTAAAATGGCAATAATAAATGCTCTCAATAATTTCTGAATTACTGTAGTTAAAAACTTTTAAGTATTGTAATGCTATGTAAAGAGAGGGTATGTGGGTGGATTTGTTTAGACAGTACTTCAATAAGGTATTAGAAAATAAAAATCATTCAAAGCACTTTTTATACCCCCGCTTTAAAAAAGTGGGGTATACTGTTTTACCTCTGTCTGTCCGTTAGTCCATCCCATGAATATTTTTCGTCGCATCTTTCTCAGGAACTACATTACAAGGATTTCTGAAATTTGGTTTCAGGGTTTATATGAGTCAGCTATACAGTGTGATGCGTTTTCAAATTCATCACTCAACAGCTTCCTGTTTACCTTATACTTTTAGCGGGGCGGGGGTATCATTAGTGAGCAGTAGCTCTCAGATTCACTTGTTACTTCTATTCTTAATCTTACCATTTATTGGAAGTTCCTGATGTCAGATGAACATACATATGAAATTGTAATCTATAAATACAATAAAATACTAGTTGCAATTTGATAAATTGATTTTTATTTCTCTTAACTTACAGTTGCAAGTATTTCAGGCTAATCAAGGACAATATGTGCATTGTGTAATCTTTATTTTACAGATATAGTCATAAAGAACAGATACAAGTACGACTGTCATTTTTAACATGTGTTTTCTCAGCTATGGGTTCACCAGATGGATTTAGTATGTATTATTCATTTTCTATTTCTTTAGGCAATGTGTTCTTAATTTTAGTATTAGTATTTCAATGATACATATATGTCTTTTAGTTGAAGAATAGATATGTGGGAATAATATGACTTACATAACAAAGTAAGAAAATAGAGCATCAAACTTTTTATAAACAAGCAAAGCAAGCTCATTATCATATAAATGTAAATGACATATGAAATAAGAAAAACAAACTTTGTCAAATTCCAATTTAAATCGAAAAGCCAGGTTTACCATTGCAAAACATGCCGTGAATTTTTCCATATTATTGTGTGGTTTCTTGATAATTTGGGTTACTTTGATAGTTGATGACTGTCATGTTAATGTTTTTACAGATTTGAGAATATCATTAACCTATTTCGACTAGGTCTATATAAATGAAACAAACAATCTATAAAGCTGTTATGTTTTTATTTTCACCTGTACAGGATTGAACTTGGAACAGGTAGATACTCTGTGGAGATGTGTAGCATTAGATCCTGAGTGTTCAGATGAATGTTTAAGTTGGTTTCTCAATCAGGCTAAAAGTAAAGATCATCATGCTATGGGACTGGAGACATTTAAACACATCTTCCTGGAAAAGGTGAGTTTCTGTATTACTGTGAAGATATTTTTTATTCGTGACTGCCATTTTTTTATTGATTGCGAACAAATTGATAGTAGGTTAATTATACCCCCGTTTTAAAAAAGTGGGGGTATACTGTTTTACCTCTGTCTGTCCGTCCATCCATCAGTCCGTCCATCTTCCCATGAATATTTTTCGTCGCATTTTTCTCAGGTACTACATTACAAGGATTTCTGAAATTTGGTTTCAAGGTTTATATGAGTGAGCTATACCATGTGATGCGTTTTCAGATTCATCACTCAACAACTTCCTGTTTACCGAACCCTTACATATTTTTACACTATTAAAATTATCCATATTTGGGCGGGGGTATCATCAGTGAGCAGTAGCTCGCAGTTTCACTTGTTCTTAAATGTTTGGCTCGAGGCTTGGCATATCAATAAAATATATACAAATCAATGTAAAGCCAGTATTTTGTTATTCATGATTAAATTGTATGGCTTATGAAAACATCATAATAATTTTAAATGCATACCCCATTTATAAGTATACTTTAAAAAGATATGTTTGAAGAAATTGAGTAGATTTTAAAAATTATTTTTGTCAAAAATTAATAAATGGAATGGAGAAAACATGTTTAAATGGCAATATGGTATAACACAATATTTTTGTGGAAATTTTACACATGAACCAAATGGTTTTAAACATTTATTATTATTGATAAAGGAGACCTGCATCTTTTAAAATAATGTTGGCATAAATCTTGAAACTTGTGCATATTAAAAATTATATTCTTATAAGAATAAAGTGAACTCATACAAGTTATATTTACATTTCAGATGCACCAGTTAGAGCCGGAGAATATGAGTGTAACAGGACTGAATTTGTTTCAACAGTTGTCACATCTGACTAGGATTGCTAATGCATCATTTGATACAACTTTGTCAGAGGATGAGGTAGGAAAAACAGGAAATATTAAATTAATTTAGATTTTTGTAATTTCACATGTAAAGTAATAAGAATTGTTCAGTTTTTATGATACAATTGAAGGTGTACAACATCCACATCCAGGCAAGCTAGGTTAAAAAATTTAAATCAGAAAAGTAAGTTTGCAAAACTTAATATTATATCTAATGTTGTCAATGTTAGAAGATAACAAAAAGTTTTAACACACACTTAAGATTGCTTTTACACGTGAATTGTAGGTGTGTGGTATTGACCAGCTATGGTCCATAGCATTACGTGCTAATAATACAGATGTCAGTATTACAGCTATACAGATATTGAATTGTTACTATATCAATTATGGTAATGGTCATCTAGAGAAAGAAGAAGAGTTTATCAAAAGATGTATGGAAAGTTTGGTCCAGACACTTACAGATATAGAAAAGGTAATAAACAATCAAATGTGCATATGATGAAGATATGATTTTTAGCTGCAAATACTATGAGAAAAAAATATAAAGAAATTGAAAACATATGATTTAGTTAAAAAAAAGTTACAGAAAGTAATACAATGCCTTCCATAAAGACAAAATAACTCATAAACATTTATAATATGGGCAACTGGTCCTCTAAAAACGGTAAAAAATAAGGCAATATGTATGAAATTATATGTTTTCTAATGTAAATTCCTGATAGATAATTTTATGCTCGTTTGTTGCATCTATCCATTTTCAAGAAATAGGGAATGAGGACATCTTAGAACAAATGCAGTTGAAATAAAAGTTGGTTGATATGATGATTAAATAGAACCCATATATGTTACTAATTGTACATGTATATTCTCACCTGTTATTTTTCCATAGAGTCCAGAGACAAATCTACTAGTGATTCAAAGAGGTTTAGTTTTACTGAAGAACCATTTGGAAGCTTTCAGGAAACGTTATGCCTACCACCTACGTAACTGGCAAATAGATGGCAGAGGTATACAGAGTCATCAGAGAAATATCCAGGAGAAAACGTCGGCTAATATACGTGTTGTATTACAACCAGCTGGAATGGCAGAAAAGGTAAAATTATTTAATTAAAATTGTGTATGTATGTTAAAAAGATGAATTTTAAGGTTTGTGACATCAAATTCTTAATAAAATGTAGATGTCTTTAATTTACAGTATTAGTTTAGGATATAAATTCAGCTACAACATATGAAATTTTTATTTTTATACGACCGCAAAAATTTTTGCGTCGTATATTGGTATGACGTTGGCGTCGTCGTCGTCGTCTGGTGTCATCCGGCGTCGTCCGAAGACACATTGGTTTTCGCACTCTAACTTTAGTTTAATTGAATGGATCTCTATGAAATTTTACCATAAGGTTCAATACCACAAAAGGAAGGTTATGATTGATTTTGGGGGTTATGGTACCAACAGTTAAGGAATTAGGGGCCAAAAAGGGGCCAAAAATAAGCATTTTTGTAACTTCCAGACATTACTTGTGTGTTAGTGTATGGATCTCTCTGACATTGTACCACAAGGTTCCATATCACAAAGGGAATGCTGGGATTGATTGTGGGGGTAATTGCCTTAAAATATTAGGAATTAGGGGCCAAAAAAGGGGCAAAAAACAAGCATTTTTATATGACCGCAAAAAAATTTTTGTGGTCGTATATTGGTATGACGTTGGCGTCGTCGTGGTCGTCGTCCGGCGTCGTGGTCCAAAATTAAACTTTGTTTGATTTCAACAAAAATTGAATATATGGGGTTCTTTGATATGCTGAATCTAACCATGTATTTAGATTTTTGATTTTTGGGCCCCGTTATCAACTTTGTCCACATTGAGGTCAAAAGGGTCCAAAATTAAACTTTGTTTGATTTCATCAAAAATTGAATTATTGGGGTTCTTTGATATGCCGAATCTAACCGTGTATTTAGATTTTTAATTTTTGGTTCCGTTTTCAAATTGGTCTACATTAAGGTCCAAAGGGTCCAAAATTAAACTTAGTTTGATTTTAACAAAAATTGAATTCTTAGGGTTCTTTGATATGCTGAATCTAAACATGTATTTAGATTTTTGATTATGGGCCCAGTTTTCAAGTTGGTCCAAATCGGGGTCCAAAATTAAACTTTGTTTGATTTCAACAAAAATTGAATATATGGGGTTCTTTGATATGCTGAATCTAACCATGTATTTAGATTTTTGATTTTTGGGCCCCGTTATCAACTTTGTCCACATTGAGGTCAAAAGGGTCCAAAATTAAACTTTGTTTGATTTCATCAAAAATTGAATTCTTGGGGTTCTTTGATATGCTGAATCTAACCATGTATTTAGATTTTGGATATTGGACCATAATAGGTGAATGTCCAATTTAAAATTTTTAAGTTCTTAGACCACATTCAATCTGTGTTAGAAACCTATGCTGTGTCAAATATTTAATCACAATCCAAATCCAAAGCTGTATCAAGCTTGAATGTTGTGTCCATACTCCCCCCAACTGTTCAGGGTTCGACCTCTGCGGTCGTATCAAGCTGCGCCCTGCGGAGCATTTTATTCTAGTTTCATGACAATAAATTGTGTGAAAGTGTATGGATCTTTCTGAAATTGTACTACAAGGTTCCATATCTCAAAGGGAAAGCTGGAATTGAGTTTGGGGGTAATTGCCCGAAACGTTTAGGAATAAGGGGCCAAAAAGGGGCCAAAAATTAGCATTTTTCTAGTTTCCAGACAATAACTTGTGTTCAAGTGTATGGATCTCTCTGAAATTGTACCACAAGGTTCCATATCACACAGGGAATGCTCGGATTGATTTTGGGGGTAATTGCCTCAAAATTTTAGGAATTAGGGGCCAAAAAAGGGGCAAAAAACAAGCATTTTTCTAGTTTCATGACAATAACTTGTGTGTAAGTGTTTGGATATTTCTGAAATTGTACTACAAGGTTCCATATCACAAAGGGAAAGCTGGAATTGAGTTTGGGGGTAATTGCCCGAAACATACAGGAATTGGGGGCCAAAAAACACATTTTTCTAGTTTCCAGACAATAACTTGTGTTCAAGTGTATGGATCTCTCTGAAATTGTACTGCAAGGTACCATACCACAAAGGGAAGGCTAGGATTGGGTTTGGGGGTGATAATCATAAGGGGGTTCAAAAATTGGGGGGGGGGGGGGGGGTTCTTTTTTTCCTTTTTTTTTTCTTTTAAAATTTTCTATTTTAAGTTGGTTATTTCTGATTTATATTTAAAAGCAAATAATAATGATATGGTAGGAGATACACACCAAACAGGATGTGTAAATTATTATATAATAAGTATTGTGCAATAGCAAGAAATTTTCAATTGCACAGTATTGCACAATAGCAAGAAATCTTCAATTGCACAGTATTGCGCAATAGCAAGAAATCTTCAATTGCACAGTATTGCGCAATAGCAAGAAATATCCAATAGCACAATATTGCGCAATAGCAAGAAATTGTCAATTGTGCAGTATTGCGCAATAGCAAGAAATATTCAATTGCACAGTATTGTGCAAAAGAAGATACTTCGTATAAATTACTTATTTCTTGACCAATTTCAATGGGGTTTTATTCTTGAATTCTTGGGGTTCTTTAATATGCTGAATCTAACCGTGTATTAAGTTTTTGGATTTTGGGCCCCGTTTTTAAATTGGTCCACATTGAGGTCTAAAGGGTCCAAAATTTAACTTTGTTTGATTTCATCAAAAATTGAATTATTGGGGTTCTTTGATATGCTGAATCTAAACGTGTATTTAGATTCTTAATTTTTGGTTCCGTTTTCAAATTGGTCTACATTAAGGTCCAAAGGGTCCAAAATTAAACTAAGTTTGATTTTAACAAAAATTGAATTCTTAGGGTTCTTTGATATGCTGAATCTAAACATGTATTTAGATTTTTGATTATGGGCCCAGTTTTCAAGTTGGTCCAAATCGGGGTCCAAAATTAAACTTTGTTTGATTTCAACAAAAATTGAATATATGGGGTTCTTTGATATGCTGAATCTAACCATGTATTTAGATTTTTGATTTTTGGGCCCCGTTATCAACTTTGTCCACATTGAGGTCAAAAGGGTCCAAAATTAAACTTTGTTTGATTTCATCAAAAATTGAATTCTTGGGGTTCTTTGATATGCTGAATCTAACCATGTATTTAGATTTTGGATATTGGACCATAATAGGTGAATGTCCAATTTAAAATTTTTAAGTTCTTAGACCACATTCATTCTGTGTCAGAAACCTATGCTGTGTCAAATATTTAATCACAATCCAAATTCAGAGCTGTATCAAGCTTGAATGTTGTGTCCATACTTGCCCCAACTGTTCAGGGTTCGACCTCTGCGGTCGTATCAAGCTGCGCCCTGCGGAGCATTTTATTAATATTTATCTTTAAAAAGTTAGATTATATGATAATTTGCCACTGAACATTAAGTGAACTACAATCAATATTTCAAGAGTGTATATTTCTACAGATGAAATTAGGAAGAGAAATTTCTCTCAACAAATTTTCTTCTTGTACAAGTCAATGAATTTTTGGTATAATTTTTTTCTTATTTTTATTTTTCGACAGACTCCTTTGGAGTTGTCATTAACAGACCTTGTAGCAGAATTACGAGCAGAAGTAGCCAGATGGTGGGAGGGGCTACATAAACAGCAGATGCAGAGACACCAAGCTGAAGGAGGAAAAGGGAGTTCCTTGTTATCACCAATCTTAGGAGCCATGTTAGGTGATGGTCCCATACGTATGATTACATTAGGACAAGAACTTACTGTAGATATGGATGAGAAAACTCTTGGCGAAATGCAGTTTAAAGATATGCAGGTAATTTCATTCTAGATTTTAAAGTAGTAGTTTTAAATACTGTGGATTCATTTATTTTCGTGGATTGATGAAAACCTGCATTTTCATGGATATTTGATTTCAAGGTTTTGCAAAAATCTGCATACAAGCCTATATAAAATTTGTAATTCATTGAATATGTGGTTCACCTGTACCCACAAAATCTATGAAAATAGGTATCCAACGAATAATAATGAATCCACAGTATTGTAAAAAGAAATTTATTTGATTTTACATATGATGAAGAGCTAATCTTATGTCTTGTGTTTGGGGTCTCTATGTCATTCCAAAAACAATTGTGATGAAATTATATATCAATGGAAAATAAATGTAAATTTGAGAAAAAATTGATAATGTATAAATGACCATGAGAAAAGATAAACAGAAAGCAAGGGGAAAATCAGGAGGTTAATTAATATATTTCATAATACAACGTAACATAGTATAAGTAAAAGAAAATCACTGGGATATAATGCAATCGTATGTGATAAAAAAAACAACCTTTTACTGAACTTTTTTGTGTACTTACAGCTTGTATTTGTATCAGTTGGTGCTAGCAGACCTCCCAGGAAAATGGATGGCAGTTTACCGTCATCCTGCCTCCCATCACCTGTATCAGATAAACTACCTGTAACACTACTTATCAGAGAACCACACTTCCAACAACTGTTTATGTTACTAGAAGAACTGAGTAAATTGGACTTCAACTTCTCTAAAATGGTAATTACATGTATAGAAATGTTATATTGTGGTTAAATGACCTGTTTTAATTCACTAGATGATAAAAAAAGGGACATGGTAAACTAATTCATAACACAAAATCCCCACAAACATTTGAAAAAACCTGAAGCAAAGCCAAAGTGCTTTTAATGCTATTCTTTATCTTAAAGTTGCAGTGAGGCTTTGAACACAGAACAAATCCTCAAAACTGTCTGCAAATTCAAGACATTCATAATTTTGGACAGACTTCCTTTCTAGTTCTTCATCTGTGCATTTAAGAGCAGAGATGCTGGGTAATGACGACAATTTGCAGCCAATGAAACAACTAACATATACTCTCATAATTTACCTAACAATTTCATTGTTAATAACAGAAACAATACAAATTCTTCATTGATATATGAACAGGATAAATTCTTTTTAAAAAGTGTGACACTTTGCATTTTCTATGTATAAAGCATGATTTATGTTAAAAGAGACCAAAGGAGTACTGAATATTTGAAATATGTGCTGTCCTAAGTCAGGAGCCTGTTGTTCAGTGGTTGTCGTTTGTTGGTGTGGTTCATAAGTGTTTCTCGTTTCTCGTTTTTTATATAGATTAGACAGTTGGTTTTCATGTTTGAATTGTTTTACCCTTGTCTTTTTGGGGCCCTTTATAGCTTGTTGTTCGGTGTGAGCCAAGGCTCCGTGTTGAAGACCGTACTTTGACCTATAATGGTTTACTTTTTACACATTGTGACTTGGATGGATAGTTGTCTCATTGGCACTCATACCACATCTTCTTATTTATATTGATTCTATAAGTTTGCTGTATTTTATGTTACAGGAAAGCCAAGAGAGAAGAGGATTACAGACAACAGCCAGAATCTTGTCTAGAAAAGTGTGGGAGCTGCTGATGTTACTACCTACAAACCAGAGTATGCTAGAGGGATTCAAACAAATCGTCTCTGAAGATGTAAGCATAAAAATTTCACATAGAAGTTATAATAAAATGAAAGAAAAGTTATTTGTTATATACTTTGAAAATACAAGTGGAAATATATTTGAATTAGGACTATGCATGGAAACTAAGTGAATAAATTTCTTGAAACTTTTTCTGAATCTTAACTATATAATACCATTGTTCACTTACTTTGTTTTTTATGTAAATTACTTTTGGGATTTCCCGTAGTAACCTTGTACTTTGCCATTGCTCTATGTTGGGGCAGGGGTATCATTTTTGGTAGATTTTATAGCAGTACCTCTTTTTATAATTTTTAGTGCCTTGTTTCATGTAATATTTTTGTTGTTTTTATAGTGTGATGAGCAGAAAGCTTCATGGAACGCATTGCTAGATTCTGTGGGACCTCATAAATTGATGTACTCCTTACAGATAGTTGAGACTTTGTCACGACCAGTCAGGAATCGTAAAAGATCTTTTGTAAGTACTTCTGTGTATGACAATCATCTTCAATAAAAGTGTAAAATGTGAAACTATTTGAAAGAGAAAACTTATGGCCTGAATTATGCGAAAACAATAAAACAAAAAACAAATATGCCAGACAGCAACCAACCAGAACCACTGAGCTACAAGATCCTGATTGGGACAGGCACATAAAGAATATGGTGGGGTTAATCTTAGACAGTGGTGTTACAGCACAACATAAGAACAAAATGTAAAAATCAGTTGGAAAGGTCTTGATTCTTCAGATTAGCATGAAGCAAAAGTAGTCAGTTTTAATGCCTCTAAATCACCATACCCTACATTACTATTTTATCATACAAGAATGATATTATTTAGATGATTTATTTATTTAGATGAGATCTGGTGGTGGAGATTCTATCATGAGTACTGACTCAGAAATGGATGTCACTGAAAATCCTGAGGAAATATGGAGTCAAAAGGTTTGTTATCAGCAAATAAACCTCTTGGTGTAGTAAAACAAAGTTATAAATAAGAAGCTTTACATGCAGACAGAGTATATATTCATTCTTTTTATAAAAGTCTGAAGGAGGATAAGATTATAATATTAAAAATTCTTTTTTTCTCATTTTTAATTCAAATACTTTTTTGTGTTTTAAAGATGGAATATTTGATTGTTGACTGCTATGTGTATGGTTTAATGGTTACTTTCTTTATGTTTTATTTTCAACATTTTTATTTATTTTTTCAGTTTATTACAAAAGGAGGACTAAAGCATCTGCTGAATGTATTTAAGTCCGGTAGTTTACAAGCTAATGAAGATGAAGAATGGAGTCAGGTAATTTTATCACATTTTCAATCTTTTTTCAATGAACATTTATATGAGGAATCCATCAACCCAAGATACAAATATTTTGAAAGAAATTGTATTTTTTTCTGAAAACTCAAATCATATATGTTGGAGGTTTATACATTTAGCAATATAATTCTGACTTCTGTATCCTTCCGTCCCATATCAGATAAACAAAATTTAGTTCAGATATTTTACTGTGAAGTTGTGGTCATATCATCTTGAAGCTTTGTGCACTTCATTATGATTTGAATCTGTTTGAAATATTTGCCAAATTAGGGTTTCGAACTTGATCTTTCTGTTTACTGGTCAGGTTAAAGTTAAAGTTTAATGTAGTTTACTTTGAATTTGTTATCAAATTAGGATTTGGAAGCAGGTACAAACAATGTAGAAGTTCACTGAACATTTTAAGATGCATTGGATTATATGGACACATAATCTTGTTTTTGATACTTTGAAAGTGCTTGTAACTTGAGTTGACACTATGTTTCATTTTGATTTACATTAAACTTATTAGAGTGGAAAGATGAATGTCTTGCTATGTGGTTTATATTACTTAACATTGAACTTATAGTGGAACCAGGAATGTCTTGCCTACCTGTTACGACTAATCAGTCAGTTTTCTGTTGACTCATCTGATGCTGAAGCTGGACATGATGATGTTTTTGAAACCTACGAGAGTCCTAGAAGAAAAATGAAACGGAAAGGTGGAAATGAAAAGATTGTGATACCAAGGTTAAATAAGGTTAGTTAGATATATAAATTTCTAGTCTACTAAAGTCTTGGTTGTATCATTATATAATATTAGTATGAATAAAAGGAGATGTGGGTTATAAATCAATCAGACAGCAACCCAGCGAAACTATAAATCAAAAGGCATTTACAGGTCAACTACGTAATTCTGGCTTTTATAGTCCGCGGTTTGTTACTCCAAAATGAAGATTGCTAGTCAGGGGTGCGGATTAAAGAATACAATAAACAAAAAATGAGAGATAAACTCGATTTCACTAAAATTGACTACCTTCTGCCATGTTTGTTATTTGAATCGTAGAGGATGCTCTAGATTAAATATATTTATATTTTACTTTTTCTGTACAGTTGAAATTCAATATATTGATTTTTCAAATGTTGTTCTTTCAGTCAACCCTGGCCATGTTGAACATAGACACAGGTTTGAGTATTCTGATGCAAATCTTATATGATGCTGCTGTTCCTAGAGAATCTGGACCTATCCATACAGGAACATGGGGGAGAGCCGAAGGTTTGTAATACTGGGGGAAATCCATTCACGAACAAAATTGCATAAGGGATTTGTAATTAGGAAGTTTGTATGGAATACTATTTAATGGAAAAAATATAGAACATTAATTTTTGAATGAAGTGCATGCTTATTGGTTTTCAGATACAGAAACTTTTGCATAGCAAAAAAAACCCTGAAAAATTAATAGATGAATCATATATGTGCACATTTTTATATGTTTGAAGATGTTGCAAAAAATCATTCATTTTAATGAATATAGTTCAAAGGAGTCTTCAAATAACCACTTTGCTATGCATATCTCTGTTAACAAGGATATACTGGTTTGATAATATCACATAGACTTTATGTTATCTTTTATTTACACTTTTATTTATAGTTTACATTGATCTCTGTTGTTGCTGGTAGCCTGGACACGCATTTGTATTTATATCAAACAGATAGCATATTATCTTTTACAGTGCCAGTGGTGTATGAGAAAAGTATAATGTTATTTTTTCTTGTAGTTGTTCACTATTCCCTGTCATTTCTGGTTTCCTGGACATATTCCTGTGATAATGTTAGACAGGCCTTGTGCTCATCACCAAAGTTTGTTCCTTGGTTAAAACGACTGACGTTGGAAGCACCTGAGGTAAAGAGAAATACCATTTAATCTATAATAGTCAATTGTAGTTGACACTGATATATGAAAGTTCTGTTCTTAATTCAAGATTTATTAAGACTTTTCACATTTGAAATTTGTTTAATTTTAAAATTTATGACAAAACGTTTTTTAAACTTCATTAGATTTTTCAAATAAAGTATGTTCTTTTTTGAAATTAATGTTATACATGTATAAAAACGATAACATATTTGTGAAAGGATTTTTATGGATTCATCTTATTTCAGCCATTTGTTAGGCGTGAGGCCTGTATGGGATTATACAGACTATGTCTTGGTAGAACTACAGATGGAAAGACAGGTTACCCCTTACTGATCCCAATGATTACAAATCTTCTTTCGTTCCTTGACAATGCCCTGGCAATTAAACCACAGAAAACATATACTGACGTAAGTAACAAGAAACTTTAAACTTTTTTTATGGAATTGAAAGGGTAAAGAACTTATTGAAATGTTTATAAACTGATTTTCATGGAAATAAAATACAATTATGGAAACTAATTAGTGGAATGTATCTGATCAACTGTAGAACAGAAATAACATCTGGAGAATGATAGAATTTAATTGATAAATCAGAGGTAAAAATGTGAATTTATTTGTTTAATGCATAGATTTATTTATTAATAAACAGGCTGATGGTTTTAAGGAAAAAGAACCCCATGGACCAGGTTGTAGAGATTACTTCTGGCTAGTCTGCAGATTTGTTGACAGTATTTCTAAAGAGGATGCCAAACCTGAATCTGTAAGTGATTTTGTAATCTGTTTACTGTTGTATTGTAGCCAATTATCTAGTATTATTACAGTGCATGGCATTTAAATGACCCTAATATGAATAAAAGAAGTTGTGGAGTATGGATCAATTAGAAAGCAACCCATCAACACTATAAAACCTATAGGAAAGACATCTAGAGGTCATCTTACTATCTTCAACAATAGAGGCTCGAGTCTGAACAACCTGAGAATAAATTTTAACAGAATACCAAATATCTGCTATAAACACCAAATGCTTTACAAGACAAAACACAAATATAAAGCCTACTACAGATGAGGTTCGACAAAACACAAATATAAAGCCTACTACAGATGAGGTTCGACAAAACACAAATATAAAGACAACTACAGATGAGGTTCGACAAAACACAAATATAAAGACAACTACAGATGAGGTTAGACAAAACACAAATATAAAGACAACTACAGATGAGGTTAGACAAAACACAAATATAAAGACAACTACAGATGAGGTTCGACAAAACACAAATATAAAGACAACTACAGATAAGGTTCAACAAAACACAAATATAGACAACTACAGATGAGGTTCAACAAAACACAAATATAGACAACTCAGGCCATTCATTAGGAGGCGGTACCAGGTACTTTTACCCTCCTATGCTACTGATAAGTACCGCCTGAATTCAGAAATTTTGATATAAGATGTTCATTGAATATATTGAAAAGTACCACCTTCAAATAGGAATGTACCGGTCAACATGAAAGATAATGAAACCCCTGACAACTACAGATGAGGTTAGACAAAACACAAATATAGACAACTACAGATGAGGTTCGACAAAAACACAAATATAAAGACAACTACAGATGAGGTTCAACAAAACACAAATATAGACAACTACAGATGAGGTTAGACAAAACACAAATATAGACAACTACAGATGAGTTTCGACAAAACACAAATATAAAGACAACTACAGATAAGGTTCAACAAAACACAAATATAGAGAACTACAGATGAGGTTCAACAAAACACAAATATAAAGACAACTACAGATAAGGTTCAACAAAACACAAATATAGACAACTACAGATAAGGTTAGACAAAACACAAATATAAAGACAACTACAGATGAGGTTCGACAAAACACAAATATAGACAACTACAGATAAGGTTAGACAAAACACAAATATAAAGACAACTACAGATGAGGTTAGACAAAACACAAATATAAAGACAACTACAGATGAGGTTCGACAAAACACAAATATAAAGACAACTACAGATAAGGTTCAACAAAACACAAATATAGACAACTACAGATGAGGTTCAACAAAACACAAATATAGACAACTACAGATGAGGTTCGACAAAAACACAAATATAGACAACTACAGATGAGGTTCGACAAAACACAAATATAAAGACAACTACAGATGAGGTTCGACAAAACACAAATATATAGACAACTACAGATGAGGTTCGACAAAAACACAAATATAGACAACTACAGATGAGGTTCGACAAAACACAAATATAAAGACAACTACAGATGAGGTTCGACAAAACACAAATATATAGACAACTACAGATGAGGTTCGACAAAAACACAAATATAAAGACAACTACAGATGAGGTTCAACAAAACACAAATATAGACAACTACAGATGAGGTTAGACAAAACACAAATATAGACAACTACAGATGAGGTTCGACAAAACACAAATATAAAGACAACTACAGATAAGGTTCAACAAAACACAAATATATAGACAACTACAGATGAGGTTAGACAAAACACAAATATATAGACAACTACAGATGAGGTTCCAAGACTGGACAGGAATATTGACGTGGCTGGGTTAAAGTAACTTAGGGTATCACCTACTCTCTTTTTACCTTGTTCAGTGGAATAACACAAGGTACAGAGTAGAATGTACAATGATAATAAGATAAAAAAAACAAACAAAAAATATGGAAAAAATCTGTAATACAGACAACAAAAAAAACAAGTAAAACAATTCTGTATCAATAAATGATTTCAATTACTGAAATCAAGCTTAAAGTACTTAATCTTTTATATAAATATATATAAGCTTTTGTATTTCTAGTTTTAATATTTTTATGACTCAACAGTTTTCACTTTTCTATTCTGACATTGCTTCAGTACTCAAGATATGTGTATACTGCTATTATATAAACTCACCATATTATATTCTTCAGGAAAGTGGATTAGATTTGAATGAGTTAGCCAAGAAAGCTACCACCTTGACACTAAGCAGGTCATACTATGAAACAAGACAAGGATTTGAAGAAGATGATGGAGTGATTGGAATGTTAAACTTGAGTACATCAATACTAAAACACAAACCAGCGTTTAAGACCTCACCTGAGGGACAGGTAATTTAACATGCCTTCAACGTCAAAACAAACCAGCATTTTAACTAGAACAAAAATAAAAGTCCCTTGTCCATATTAGTTCTTTATGCATTTAGATTCTTACCTTTACCTGTGCATCAGTGTTGGGGATAAACAATAATATACTCAAAACTTTTGCCTGAAACACAATTAATCTGTCTTGTATACACCAGTTTTTGGAGACAATCCAAAGTATTGAAAACTCCATTTAATCAAAATATAGTGTAGTCTTTCATTGAGCACTTTATGCATTACTTTTGAACCAAGAAATAGCTAGTATATTGACAAATATGGACAAGATTTTCATTTTGGATTTATTTGCTTTACTCTTGAAAGTATATGCTATAAAGTTAAATGACAGATGAGAAAGTCTTGCATTGTATGTTGGACAGCCTGCTATTACATGCTACTCTCTCCCCCAATCAATTCACAGATTTCCACAATATATTGCCTCCATATATGAAGAGAAAACATGTAATGCAGTGTATAGATGTAGAGAATTAGGACAACTGTTAGTCATGAATCAAATATTATTTCTAATATCAACTGTAAAACTTTTATATCACAGAAAAATGTCCTGAATAGAAATAATACAAAATGACAACATACAGTAGCATTTTTAGGAATATTTTATTGAAAGTTAGATTCAGAAAAAGGCACTGATTATATTTTAGACCTGTTTTGTAGTTACAAATAATATTTCAGGAATTTCTTAATGAGGTGTTTGATTTCCTGTTTGCCTTGCCTAATCCAAAGAAGCGTTACTTTCCAAAGTGTAAAAGTCAAACAGCACGAGGGGCAGCATATGATTTGTTGGTAGAATTTGTGAAAGGTTGTGTAGAGAACTTCAGGATTTTACACAGCAAAATGATGCAACAACATTCAAAAGGTAATGCAGATTTAAAAACAAAAATGAAAGTGTGTAGCAGCAAATATGTAATTACATTAACTAAAAATTTTATGCAGTCCTTGAAAATATATGATTAAATGAAGTTATTCAAATGAAAAACTTGTGAACTTATATAAGTAAAAGCAAAAATTATTGGATTTGTAAATGGAAAGTTTCGTTGTCTCTTAATACTGACTTGTATGTAAAACCATGATTTTTATGGCCTTTTTGATTTTTTACGGATAAGGGTAAAATTATATGGCCCTGACAACTTTGTTGCGGGGCCATATAATATTACTCTTATCCGCAACAAACAGTTGTACTGACTTTTTTCTGAATGCTTCACATTTTGAGCTGATTTCTAGTATGTGAGTGTATTATGAAAAGTTACAAATCGAGTTTACGTGTGGTTGCGATCCGCTGATTTTTGCTGAAACAACAGACTTTGGACTTCAAACTTTTTGTGACAATAACAGTTATACAGACTTTTTTCTAAACGCCTTCACATATTGAGCTGATTTTCACATGTGTGTTTACTATGAAGAGTTACAAATCAAATTTATGTTTGGTACCGCTCTGCTGATTTTTGCCGAAATTATGGGCTTTGGACTTTGGAAATTTCATGAAAATAACAGTTATACGGACTTTCATTCTCAAATTCCATTTTTGTCGTTACGACACATCTAGTTTTGGGATATGGATTCATAATAAAACTGTATCCTGAAATTTGTGTCTCAATGACAATTAAAAAGACAGATTCAATTAAATTATATCTAGGAGTATATTTGAACAATGACATTTTGATATTTTGAGTAAACAAAAACAAGAGATGAATCAAGTTTGTAAGATGTATACAAACACTCCATTTAGTCTGTTGCCAGTGGATGTTTAGCAACCAACAATCAATCAATCCATTCAGTCTGTATTGTATGCTATTGGATTTGACAAAGATATGTCATATACTTTAGTCGGTACAACAGTATTTTAAGCCTCAGGTACTGTCTGGAAACAGTAGATTGCAAGTACTTTCATATTTGCAAATGACAAAAGTGAAGAGACACTTCCTACCACAATAGTTGTACCCTTAGATGATTTTTGCATGAAGATGTTGACAAACAACCCCATTGCTCTATTACTGAGGCTACCTTATACATGTATGAATTAATCAAATGCATATAATCAATTTTGTAGATTCCCATTCTCAGTATCCTTGGGATTACTGGCCACATGAAGATGGTAGATCTAAGTGTGGATATGTTGGACTGACAAACCTAGGAGCTACATGTTACATGGCCACATGTATGCAACATTTGTACATGATACCACAAGCTAGACAGTCAGTTTTACAAGCCAAGGTAAGTATACTGTAAAATTAACATAGTTTTATGGGGTAAGTGTCTTGTGAAGGATGACATGCTTGTAGCTTTTGAATAGGATGCCGCTGTCAGTTTTTTCGCCAATATTAGACATTTGAAATTCTAAAAAGTTGCATGCTTAATAAAAAAAAAAATTTCAGATAAAAATCTTTTGTTTGATTCATTTGGGGATGTAATCCATGTGTGACAATCTGCCAGATCTAAATATGTGTTAGTGTGTGCATGTGAAAACTATTGCATTTTTTATTTCATTTTCTGAATAAAATTTGAATTCTAATAGACAGATTTCCATATTGTCTCTACCTTGCAATATGTTTTACATCAGTAAACAATATATATTTATATTTTCAGTGTACAAAACAGAATCGTTATGAAGAGACACTGATTGAAATACAGAAAATGTTTGCCTATCTTCAGGTTGGAATTTTACTTCATAATTTTGGAGGGAATTTTTATGTGGATTTTTATATAAAGATTTTTTCATGTTTGCATATCTTCAGGTTGGAATTTTACTTCATAATTTTGGAGGGAATTTTTATGTGGATTTTTATATAAAGATTTTTTCAATCATTTAGTTATCCTTCACCAGTAAATGAATACCTCTTTGCTATTAAGAGTCTCCAAGGAAGGAGAACCTCATATGAAGCCAACCTCTTGAACTCAGATAATTGCTAGCCAATATTGAGCTTTACAAAAATGCAAGATATCATTAAAGTGGCAGAGCCATGTATTTGACAAACAAATGAGTTGTCTTTATTAAGAAGATTGCCATGAACTAGCATTAAATCTAGCTGTGTTTACTAAGATAAAAGTAAGAAATGTCTTAATTGACATCATTACATATTTGGAAAAATACCTGCACTTTACTATTATGTTATTGTATATTTAAACCAAAGAAACTTTTAAAACAAAATCTCATTCAAATTTAGCATTACTTGGAAAACAGATGTGGGACATTGTCATGTCATTTAGATACTTATATCAATAAATTACATGTTCTCGAAGAACACTAAAATGTAGGTTAGATATGAGTTGATGACAACAAGCTATATGTATATAAAGTTGTATGTATATAAATTTCAATGTTTTTGTAGGAAAGCGAGAGAAAAGCCTATAACCCAAGAAGTTTTTGTAAGACCTACACAATGGATAAACAACCATTAAACACTGGAGAACAGAAAGATATGACAGAGTTCTTCACAGATCTAATCAGCAAGCTTGAGGAAATGTCACCAGAAATGGTACAGTCTTATATACAGATCACTTATTTAAAAGAAAGATCTTTACAGTTATTTTGTAATATCTTTGTAAAATGATTGATCTTGGGGTTTTATGTTTGATTGACAAATTGCAACTCTTTAAAAAAAAAAGCTACTGATTTATCATGAACAACATAAATTGTGTATTTTCAACATCTTTCTGAATTGCATATACAGCCATTTATTTATCATTTGTTATTCATTTACAGAGGAAGCTAGTCAAGAGTTTATTTGGTGGTGTGTTAACCAATAATGTGGTTTCTCTGGTAAGTATATATCAACATTGAGAATGAATATCCTAATAGCCTTGTAAATAAGTATCATCTTTTAGAATGGATATCCTAATAGCCTTGTAAATAAGTATCATCTTTTAGAATGGATATCCTAATAACCTTGTAAGTAAATATCATCTTTTAAAATGGATATCCTAATAGCCTATTTTTATATTATCTCTCAAAAAAATGAATTTTTATTTATTATTTGGATTTCATAAAGCATGTCTTAAATTACATTTACCAACTGTCAAATATAAATTTAGTTACTTTTTTTTATCTATTCAAGAATTTTGTGGAAAACTCCTTATTTGCAGTCATTGACACAATATGTACAAAAGCATGCAGTCATCATTGTGAAACTTTTGGAAAGATTTCTTCAATTTTACTTTTATATGTTCAAATTATGCTGGAAATAATTGCTTATCTTGCAATTTTTGATTATTTACTAGGATTGTCCTCATGTCAGCAGAACCCTAGAAGAATTTTATACTGTAAGATGTCAGGTTACAGATATGAAAAATCTTAACGTAAGTTGAAATGAATTAAATAAATAATAGATATGAAATCATGAGTATCAATCAGGAATTTGACCAAAAAGAAATAGAAAATAACTCAATTTATGAAAAATCCACACAGAATACACTTGACTACTGGTCAACTCTTTGCACATTTAGCATAGTGATGACACTGAATATGTCACATTTTATCGGGGGAAAAACTGTTTTCTATATCTTTTATATGTAAAAGATTCCTGGTTTTTCCTGTGAATCTTCAATTTATATAATGAGATTTCGGGATAATACAATCAAGTAAAAACAGGGGTAGAAAAAAAACAAAAATTTACACATAAATTAAGACATATTGTCCTCTTGTACACCTGTATGTGTCTGAGGTTATATTAAAGCTTGAAATCTTATATATCAAGATAATAAGGGAATATGGCCAGCTTGTTATATTAGTTAACAGTGAAGGCCAACTGTAATATCATTGAACTTAACAGATATGTGAATTTGAATAAAAAGATATAAGGAAAATGAGTTCGAATAAAAAGATATGCTGGGAAAAAGTAACAACTATGCAATAAAATTAAGCTAATTATACACTGAATGATAATATATAAACTTTTCCTGCAGGAATCCTTGGATGAGGTAACAGTTAAAGATATGTTAGAAGGAGATAATATGTATACCTGTTCTAAATGTCAGAAGAAGGTCAGGGCAGAAAAAAGGTAAGAATTTGTTTCTCATTTTCACTGGTAAAACTGATCCTCATGATCTTTTTTATTTAAAACTTCATCACTAAAAAGTCATGTGTAAAGTATAATAAACTCCTTACTGCATTATTTAATACTTCCATTCAGATAAGTATAGGGGCCTTGGTGGCTGAGTGATCTCAGAAGTTTATCCACAGTGATCACTACCCTGTGAACTCTTAGGGTGCATGGCTTCCTCCACCAATAAAAACTTGCTGCAGTGATATTAAGTTGCTTTAAGCTGAAGCATTGAAAATGGACAAACAACCAAACAGATAAATATGCTAGTTGCATAAGTTTCATGATTTATATAATTGAAATTGAAGTTATGGGGAAATTTTGAGTTCATTTCATTATTTGCATCATATTTTTTCAGGGCCTGTTTTAAGAGACTACCCAGAATATTATGTTTCAACACCATGAGGTATACATTTAACATGGTGACGATGCTGAAGGAGAAGGTCAATACACATTTCTCCTTCCCACTTAGACTGGACATGTCACAATATATGGAGAAAAATCTAATGGGACCAGACAAACTCAAAGGTAAAAATGAACTCTTGTTTCCTTGTCCCTTAGTTTAAACAGTATTTATTAATGAAAAATTACATGAATAAAATATTACAATACAATGTTAGATAAAGTTCAAATATGGGATTCGGAAACAAGTTTGGAAAAACTTATATAAATCCGTCTCCCAAAAAAAAAAAAAAATATCTATTTAACAAACAATATTACGTGCCAACAGTATATTCATTTTAAGGTAGCATTTGATAAATTGAATAAATACACACACACACACAAAAAAAATACAAAAAATAGAACTAACAAATAAAAGAAATTAAAAGAAAGAAAATGTGAAACAAAAAAAAACAACAAAAAAAAAAAAAAAAAATGAAAAAAAAAAAAATTAAAAAAAAAAATGAAAAAATGAAACAGTCAACACTACTTTACTTTCTTGATAGACAGTCACTGAAACCAACTCATATGTCCGATTATAGTCATTTACGACGGACAATCCACTTGATTTTACATCGTTTTTTTTATATATATATATACAAGATCAACTTTCAAAACGTTTTGTTTTATTTATGTATTCAGAAACTTTACGAAATATTTGCATATTGTCCTCGTCAGACTTTAAACTGTCCCCATATAAGATAATCTTAAGATTAAAACAAGAGACCGTCCCGATAGTATCCCTTCGAATTTCATTATATTTTGGACATTTGAGGAAGTAATGAGAGGTAGTTTCTACACGACCACAGGAACACAGTGCGTCTTCGATAAGATTTTTTTTAAATAGATGGTCCCTTAGAACACTACTCTGGAGTCTGAGTCTTGCTAAACATATCTGTTCTCTTCTACAGCCTAAGTGAAAATACAAAGGTATTTTATTAATATTTTGAGAGAGATACGTCTTAAAACCCGATTTTGATTGATTTAAACGAATGTCGTCTGGAATATCATTCCAAAGGTTTATAACGGCTGGTAGAAATGACTTTTGGTAATAGCTTGTTCTGCATAATATAGTTTGTAAATTTGAAGACCCCCTAGTCCTGTGGTCGTGTAGATCTAGCCTCTGATTTGGAACTAATACAGAAAGATAATCAGGACAATCTCCGTGAAACATTTGGTGAAATTTTAATAACTTATGTTTATTACGCCGAGACTGGAGAGTTTCCCAACCGGTTTCATCGTACAGCAACTGTCTTGATGTTATCTTAGTACCACCTGTAACAATTCTTGCTGCTTCTATTTGTAAGTTTTCCAGGGATGTTTTTAAATAATCAGGTATGTTATCCCAGACAATGTCCCCATATTCTAAGACTGGGCGTATAAAAGATAAATAAATAGTTTCTAAATTTTTCCTTTTAAGTTTAAACTTTAGCTTTCGAAATAATGCTAATCTTGGAATAGCTTTATCAATAATCATTTTTACATGATTATTCCAGCTTCCATCTTCATTTATAATAGCCCCTAAATGCTTGTGCGACTCAACTTCTTTTATGATAATATTATTCATATACACAGGTGGGTGATGAGGTTTATGGTGCTTTTTTGAAATGGTCATTATTTCTGTTTTGTTTGGGTTGAAATTGACAAGCCATTGGTTAGACCAATTATGTATTTTCTCAATATCTTTATTTAGCTTTTCTGCCGCTTCATATTCGTTATCAACCACTATATAAATTGAAGTGTCGTCAGCAAAAAGTTTAATATCACATTCTATATCATTAACTATGTCATTTATATAAATAAGAAATAAAATAGGACCCAAGATAGACCCTTGGGGTACCCCAGCTGAGACATGCTCGTTGTTGGACGTTTCTCCGCAAATGACAACCTGTTGCCTTCTTGAGTTTAAATAGCTTTCAAACCAAAGTAGCAATTTTCCATTAATTCCGAATTTTTTAAGCTTACAGAGTAAGCCTTTATGCCAGACTCGGTCGAAAGCTCGACTTATGTCACAGAAAATTACCCTCACCTCTTTCCCTGCATCTAATGCTTTACCAAAATCGTTAATTATACATAGCAGTTGGTTTACCGTCGAATCACCAGGGATAAAACCAGACTGGAATTTTGTTAATAAAGAATTTGTAATCATAAAGTTAAAAAGGTACTTAAAAATGCATCTCTCCATTGTCTTACCAATGTTAGACAGCAAAGATATTGGTCTGTAATTAAGTAAAAATTCTGGGCCACCTTTGTTTTTATAGACAGGGATAACATTTGCTAGTTTCCACACATCTGGAAATCTCCCTGTTAGAAGGGATAAATTAAAAAGTTTTGTAAACGGATACTTCAAGACAGTTGCTGCCGACCTCAGGAGTCTTGGACTGATTAAATCAGGCCCTGTAGCTTTTGAAATATCAAGATTTACAAGCACATCTTCAACATCCTGCTCACTTATAATCAGTTCCTCTAGTTTTTTAATTTCATCATATTCTAATATTGGTAATACAGTATTTGAGTCATCAACAGAAGACTGTGCGCAGAAATAATCGTTAAAATAATTAGCTTTGTCGTTGTCCCTTGCTAACCATGAAATCAAGGTTAACCCAACTGGCAGACATAAATTTGTAAAGATCACCATAGCCTATGAATACTACATAATTTTTAAATTAGATTTAGCCTTGCTTTGATAATTTGGAAAAACAGCTAATATCTTTTTGCTTTACTTACATTGGATTATTTCTGTAAGTTACTTGCTGAATGAAGAATGTTGTTTTTCAGGCTTTCCTGTTGTAATAAATGTTCCTTCTAAATGTCACTGGATGTAAAGCAAGTCACAATTAATCAATCAGGCATTATTATGTGCCACTTTATAATTGTTAGGTTGTCTTTACTTTTGATAAAGTCCATAAATAAGCCTTCCAAAAAACCAAGGGTGAACTCATGTGCTCCTGAAGGGTATGTCATTTCTTCATTTCATCACTGTTGAATTGTATCATAAGAATTGAAAAAATGTATTGGAAAAAAAAAATGAGGTTGAGAGTTCAAGGAATAAATCTGTAATGAAGAGTGAGAAATTTTTACACTTTTGATTTATCCTGTTTCTACTATAACTCATACCTGTCATGCTCATGTTTAGATTACTTCAGAATTTTTTTTTCTAGATGATGATGAAGATGACAAAATGCAGATTTTAGGAGAATACGAAGATAATGACAGCTATGATTATGAACTGATAGGGGTAACTGTGCATACTGGTACTGCTGATGGGGGACATTATTATAGTTTTATCAGAGACAGGTTACATAAATCAGAAAATGGACAAGACAAATGGTAAGTCTATGTTGTGGGTGTGTAGAAAATTTATACTAAAGCAAATTAGATTTCTTTTTATATTTTAGTATCCAGTTGCATAAATTATGTTAATTTTATTATTGAAACTTAATTTTTTTTCTTTGCTAAAGACATTGCATTAATAAGTCTTTTTCAGAATTAAAAAAATGCCATATTTTTGTCAGTTTATATGAGAAAAAAACAAGATGGTTTTAATAATGAAAACATATGTTGAATTTATTTGCATTTAGAATGGTTGATAATTATGTCTATATAGTCATGCTTATTAACATTTTATAATTATTTAGCACAATTTTATGTATTCTGTAGGTACCTGTTCAACGATGCTGAAGTGAAGTCTTTCGATCCTAGTCAGATAGCTCAAGAATGTTTTGGTGGTGAAATGACTGTAAGCTATTATATAAGTATTTATCTTAGCACAACATCCAAAAAACAAGTTTGACCATTTGAGAAAAGAATTAAGATAAGAGGTCTAATAATCAACAAAAAGATTTAAAGTATGAATTTTGATACGCCCGTCAAATTTTTGACGGGACGTATTATGGTATACAAATGTCCGGCGTCCGTCCGTCTGTCTGTCCGTCTGTCTGTCCGGCGTAAACATGTTGCACCGTAACTTGAGAATAACTTATCCAAATTTCATGAAACTTAACATAGTTGTTTCTTATGATGGTCAAACGATCTGTATACTTTTTGGTGAAAATAAGATTAAAAATTTTTGAGTTACGGGACTTAGTAACTAAAACAGGTGTGTGTTTTTTTTCACATGTCGCGCCGTATCTCAAAAACAATTTATGATTATTGCTTAAAACTTTACACACTTCTTAGTTATACTAATCTTAAGATCTGTATACTTTGTGGTGATGATTCAAAATTTTATTTTAGAGATATTGAGTATTTTGTTAAAAAAGGGGGAGGGGTTTTTCACATGTCGCGTCGTATCTCAAAAACAGTTTATGATTATTGCTTAAAACTTTACACACTTCTTAGTTATATTAACCTTAAGATCTGTATACTTTTTGGTGATGATTCAAAATTTTATTTATGAGTTATTGAGTATTTTGTAAAAAAAGGGGGAGGGGTTTTTCACATGTCGCGCCGTATCTCAAAAAAGATTTATGATTATTGCTTAAAATTTTACACACTTTTTAGTTATATTAATCTAAAGATCTGTATACTTTTTGGTTTTGATTCAAAATTTTATTTTTGAGATATTGATTTTTTTTTTTAAAAGGGGGGGGTTTTCACATGTCGCGCCGTATCTCAAAAACGATTTTTGATTATTGCATAAAATTTTACACACTTCTTAGTTATATTAATCTAAAGATCTGTATACTTTTTGGTTTTGATTCAAAATTTTATTTTAGAGATATTGAGTTTTTTGTAAAAAAAAAAAAGGGGGTTTTCGCATGTCACGCCGTATGTCAGAAACTATTTATGCTTATTGCATAAAAATTCACACACAAGATGACGGGCGTATCATGCGCTCATGGCGCAGCTGCTTATTAGAATTATGATAGCTTCAAAATTGAAAAATACTATAATATCATCTGTTCTAACAGACAGTCTCTATAAAGACCAGACATTTAGAATGTACAATAATGTTTTGTATTTTTCAGAGTAAAACCTATGACTCAGTGACGGATAAGTTTATGGATTTCTCCTTTGAAAAGGTAAGAAATGGTTTACTTGCTTAAGCAATTAAGTATACATTTTCTGTTAAGTATTCCTGAATTTAAGTTGTCCTACAGTATAGGACAACTTAAATTCAGGACCAGAAGTTCTAGTAACCTCTCGAGTCTGTCAGTCCGTCCATCGGAAAGAAAACTTTTGCTTCTATAAGAAGGAATGATTTAATATTTGGGTCTTCAGCTTGATAATGTTGAGTTGTAGCTACTAAGCAATTTTTTACATCTGCCGTGTAGCCACTTCCTGTTTGCCCATAGATTGAAGTTTAACAACACTCATTGTACAAGGAAGACTTTTGTCAAAGTTTTCTTGGCTTTTATGAAAGGAGAGGATTTAATATTTGGTCTGCAGCTTGATAATGTTGAGTTGTAGCGAGTAAACTAATTTTGCATCTGTCTTGTAGTCACTTCCTGTTTGCAGATAGTTTGAAATTTTACAACACTCATTGAACAAGGAAAATTTTTGCTCTGTTATACATAATACCGCAATCAATTGCATGCAGTGACGCAAGTCTAGACCTGGTATTGGTCTTGTTCACTATATGCTTCTATTTAAAAGATGCTGTTATCAAATTTTTAATATATTTTTCAATGTTAAGTTGGTGCTAGAAACAAGCTGATATTTCCACATGTTTCAAAATGAAGAAGATTGCTCTACAATGGGAAGGTTATTATTTAAGGGATTTGTTTTGAAAATAGTTGAATATGTCCATGCATCAATGCACATTCCAATGCTATTCTACACTAAACTTTTTTGGCTTTTGTGACACCACAAAACTGCACTTGTTTAAATTGAATATTTTTACTTGTGAAATTATTGACTTATGCCTATAATATATTCTTTTGCAATTGTAGACTAACAGTGCCTATATGTTGTTTTATGAGAGATGTTCACCCAGACCTGAGGATGGTGAGAAGAAATTAGATTTGGTAGACCAGACTGTAGATCAACCAAAGTTTAACTTTGAATTAACAAAGGAATTAGAAGAGGTAAGGTTATGTAACAAAGCATGCAAATGCATGGTGATTTTATCTGTTTAGGTATCAGCATAGTGATCAGGTGTTTCAACTCCCTTTTCTGTAAATTTTTTGCTCACCAGGTTCATTGGACTGTATGATCAATTGTCATCACTTGTCATTGGTTTTCTGCCCATCTATTGTCCATTGTTAGACAATCAACATTTTTATGATCATCTTTGAAAACAATTGTCCAATTTGAGCCAAGCTTAGCTGGAATAAAAATTGAATGTCCTGTATAATTATTCGACCTTTTACAATTATATGAAAAACATGACCAACAGAGACAATCTTTGATTTGATTTTCTAATGTTAAAAAATATTGTCCTCTGAAACTATTGTGAAATGTTTTAAAATTTTATGATTGGAAAACTCTCTACAAACAAATCTCAAGAGGTATTTATTTATAATCTGATTCGGCAAATTTTTCAGAAATCTCCTCTAATGAAAATGCAAGGGTGAAAATTAAGGGGATTGATTTAACAAAGTCACCCAAAGCTGAATTTGTCAGAAGTTTTCTTCTCATGAGAAATTAAGGGTTAAACTTGCCATGAAGGGTAAAAGGTTCCTAGTAGAATACAGTTTATTTTCAGTCCAAAAACATCAAGGGTTTATATACATGTACATCAGAAAAAATATCATTGCATCGTGTAAATTCAGAAATTTTTGTTGTTGAGAATCATGTGACAGGATAAGTTTTCACATTAATTAAATTGCATTCAGATAACATTATTTATATGTAGCATTTTCTTAAACCACATTGATGAATTCATGCAGTCATTTCTACATTAATAGTAATATAAAAAGATTTTCTCAATTTTTGTACATTTTTATTGTAGTGGATTTGGCAAGATAACACACAGTTTTTACAGGACAAAAATATTTTGGATCACACATATTTCGGGTGAGTTCATGATATGGTGTTATTTAAACATAAAAAAAACTTTGAAAGAGATCTTAATGGATCAAAGCAACATGACTACTGGAATTCATGAACATTTTGATTTCAATAGTTTTTTTTTTTTTTAGCCGTCTAACTTGAAGAAATTGTTAAACAGATAAATAGCTTTTGCAATTACATATCTTTAAGAATAACTATTAAACTCAACATGTTGTTTTGAAAAAAAAAATCATATATTTCATATGTATTTTTCAGGTTTATGTGGCAGATATGTGGCTACATACCTACTACTTTACCAAAAGATCCAGAAAATCTGGTTTCATTAAATGCTGCTCAACTTAGTACTTCATTTGTATTGGAAACACTAATACATGCAAAAGAAAAGGTATGTGTTTATTTTTTTTTTACACTAAATGTCACTATATGTGGAGTTTTCATGACATATATTTCTTTTTTGAAGTCATAAAATGAACAATAAAAAAAAAGTACTATGAAATAATGATACCTCAAAGAAAGTTTTAATAAACAATTAACAATACATTTACTACATCTCAATTGTTGTTAAGTATGCCTAGTAAAGTAACAGAAACATTTTTTTCTTTCTACTTTTTCAGCCAACAATGTTACAGTGGATTGAATTGTTGACAAAACAGTTTAACTCATGTCCTGGAGCTTGTGAGGTAAGTTTTTTTCAGAAATTTCTTTTGGCAATATCATTTTAAGCATCATTAAGGTGTTTTAGTATAATCTTAAAGGAGTAGGTCCGGTAAGGGCCGATTTTGGCCTCAAAATTCAAGTTCATCTGATGAAAGATTTTGGACACTTTTTAAACACTTAAGTGTCTACTTCAGTCGGTTCAATCAGTTTATGTGAAAGATTTGAACTGATTTAGTCATTAAAGATGCTCAAATTCAAGCTTAGATATGAAAAATCTATCAAATATGCCATAATATGTCACTTTTCAGATGGTTTTTGTCAAAAATGAAAGTGGCCGCATCCGTGTTCATTCTCAACCTTTATATATGTTATGTATTATCATCAAATACAACTTACATTTAAATATTAAGAATGAACACAAATGCGGCCACTTCCATTTCAGACGGAAACCGTCTAAAAATTAACCAAAATGCTAAAATTTCGACGATTTCAGTAATTTAGCATGACTTAATGATGCTAGTATTCGATACATGTGCATTGTATTGTCAAAAACAGCCCATATTTATGTAACAGAAGTATTCCTCTTTCCAATAGATAGCTAAAAATTTACATTTTAACAATTTTGTAAAACTGCTATATTTTGGGGCCAAAAAGGGGTCTTACTGGGCCTACTCCTTTATCCAAACGGGTAAAAAAAATTAAAAGTATTCAACTTAAATAATTTCTTGTATACAGTGCTATTTGATTGGTAATATGATTTCTAGTTTATTATTATGTTAATAAAAAGTTTGATTATATTAATATGTATCTCAAATGTATTTTAGTGGTTCCTGGATCACATGGCAGAAAGTGACTGGTGGCCACAACAGATTCTTATAAAATGTCCTAACCAGATGGTCAGACAGGTAGGTCAAACGAATAAATGCAAAGTCATCTTTATACTCTTATTTCCAACCACTATTATACATCAAATAGTGTTCAGGCCTATGGAGGGTATCTCTGTGTTTTTTTAAGTTTTTTTTTAAAGGTAAACTTGAAAGAAAAACCTCCATGATTGTTTACCACATATGGAGTAGATGCACTGCACCTTGCATATGATGTTTATTTTCAGAATCAGACAAATTCAAATCATAACTTTATTGATAATTTTCATCAGGTTATATTTTTGACCTGTCAAACTTTTGAGCATACTTTTCATTTATAAATTGTTCTTATTTTACATAAAGTTCTTTCACAAAGTCTTTGTAGTTATATATTTTTTCAAATTGGTTACTAGTTTGATGATGTATTATTATAGATGTTCCAGCGACTGCTTATTCATGTTATCACACAGCTTAGATCATCACATGAAGATCTCTACCTGGTTCCTCTCATTGAAGGGTTAGTATTTGTAAAATAAATGAATTGGTCTGATCTCTGCAGTAAAATACATTGTATGTATTAACGATAGTTATTACTATTGCTGAGGAAGCAAATCCCTTTTTCAGAACATAAACTTAAAATAAAGTATAATTATTTTGACATGTTAAAAATTATTTGTTTACTCTACTCTCTGTGTGTGATAGATGTTTTATTACTTTTTTTCCATGTTAATACATGTACATGCTAATATAAATATTGTGTCATAAATTATATTTCAGGGAAGATGGAGAAATTGATGTAGGAGAACTTGGAAGCAAGTCATGTGTTACAAGGTTCATCAAGAAAATGTTATCTATAGTAAGTAAAATGGATTTATATGAAAAATTTCCTTATTTTGAAAAGATGAAAAAAAATCATTTTCTAAAATACTTTTTTTCTCCATGGAAAAGCTAAAAATTTAAATGCAATTGTGTCGTTGTGACATTATTAACCAGTTATGAAGAATAGTCTAGCCTGTATCCACACACTACTTATTCCTCAGACAAATGATCAGTCAATTTTATTTAGTTTAATTTATTAACCTGATTAAAGTCCTTCATATGTTTGTTACCACAATTTTTATACGACCGCAAAAAAATTTTGTGGTCGTATATTGGTATGACGTTGGCGTCGTCGTCGTCGTCCGGCGTCATAGTCCGAAGACACATTGGTTTTCGCACTCTAACTTTAGTTTAAGTGAATGGATCTCTTTGAAATTTTACCATAAGGTTCAATACCACAAAAGGAAGGTGGGGATTGATTTTGGGGGTTATGGTACCAACAGTTAAGGAATTAGGGGCCAAAAAGGGGCCAAAAATAAGCATTTTCTAGTTTCCAGACAATAACTGTGGAACGGTGTATGGATCACTCTGAAATTATACTACAAGTTTCCATACCACAAAGGGGTTGTTAGGATTTCCTTTGGGGGGTTATGGCTCAAACCTTTTAGGAATTAGGGTCAAAAAAGGGGGGAAAACAAGGTTGTCCTGGTTAATGGACAACTACTTTAGTACAAAACATAATTTAAAGCAGTGTAAGGGAGATAAATCAAATACATCATTGAAATTATCTCCCTTACACTGCTTTTAAATTATGTATAAAGTAATGGTTAATGAACAATTAAGATAATTTAAAACAGTGTAAGGGAGGTAATCCAAATACAACGTTTTGGTTACTTCCCTTACACTGCTTTTAAATTATGTTTAAAGAAATGCATATTTATAAAGGAAGACCAGTAAAAATATCTGCAAATGTTGCATCTTTTTATACGACAGCAAAAATTAAAAATTTTTTGGTCATATATTGGTATGACGCTCTCGGCGTCGTCGTCGTCATCGTCGTCTGGCGTCGTCCGGCGTCGTCCGAAGACACATTGGTTTTCGCACTCTAAATTTAGTTTTAAGTGAATGGATCTACATGAAATTTTACCATAAGGTTCAATACCACGAAAGGAAGGTTGGGATTGATTTTGGGGGTTATGGTTCCAACAGTTAAGGAATTGGGGGCCAAAAAGGGGCCAAAAATAAGCATTTTTGTAACTTCCAGACAATAACTTGTGTGTAAGTGTATGGATCTCTCTGACATTGTACCACAAGGTTCCATATCACAAAGGGAAGGCTGTAATTGATTTTGGGGGTAATTGCCTCAAAATTTTAGGAATTAGGGGCCAAAAAAGGGGCAAAAAACAAGCATTTTTCTAGTTTCATGACAATAACTTGTGTGTAAGTGTTTGGATATTTCTGAAATTGTACTACAAGGTTCCATGTCACAAAGGGAAAGCTGGAATTGAGTTTGGGGGTAATTGCCCGAAACGTTTAGGAATTGGGGGCCAAAAAGGGGCCAAAAATAAGCATTTTTCTAGTTTCCAGACAATAACTTGTGTTCAAGTGTATGGATATCTCTGAAATTGTACTGCAAGGTACCATACCACAAAGGGAAGGCTGGGATTGAGTTTGGGGGTGATGAATCATAATGGGGTTCAAAATACTTTTAGGGGGGGGGGGGGGGATTTTTTTTTTTTCTTTTTTTTTTTCATTTTTTCCTTTTTTTTTTCTTTTAAAATTTTCCATTTTAAGTTGGTTATTTCTGATTTATATTTAAAAGCAAATAATAATGATATGGTAGGAGATACACACCAAACAGGATGTGTAAATTATTATATAATAAGTATTGTGCAATAGCAAGAAATTTTCAATTGCACAGTATTGCACAATAGCAAGAAATCTTCAATTGCACAGTATTGCGCAATAGCAAGAAATCTTCAATTGCACAGTATTGTGCAATAGCAAGAAATATCCAATAGCACAATATTGAGCAATAGCAAGAAATTGTCAATTGTACAGTATTGCGCAATAGCAAGAAATATTCAATTGCACAGTATTGTGCAAAAGAAGATACTTAGTATAAATTGCTTATTTCTTGATCAATTTAAATGGGGTTTTATTCTTGAATTCTTTGGGTTCTTTAATATGCTGAATCTAACCGTGTATTAAGTTTTTGGATTTTGGGCCCCGTTTTTAAATTGGTCCACATTGAGGTCCAAAGGGTCCAAAATTTAACTTTGTTTGATTTCATCAAAAATTGAATTATTGGGGTTCTTTGATATGCCGAATCTAACCGTGTATTTAGATTCTTAATTTTTTGTTCCGTTTTCAATTGGGTCTACATTAAGGTCCAAAGGGTCCAAAATTAAACTTAGTTAGATTTTAACAAAAATTGAATTCATAGGGTTCTTTGATATGCTGAATCTAAACATGTATTTAGATTTTTTATTATGGGCCCAGTTTTCAAGTTGGTCCAAATCGGGGTCCAAAATTAAACTTTTGTTTGATTTCAACAAAAATTGAATATATGGGGTTCTTTGATATGCTGAATCTAACCATGTATTTAGATTTTTGATTTTTGGGCCCCGTTATCAACTTTGTCCACATTGAGATCAAAAGGGTCCAAAATTAAACTTTGTTTGATTTCATCAAAAATTGAATTCTTGGGGTTCTTTGATATGCTGAATCTAACGATGTATTTAGATTTTGGATATTGGACCATAATAGGTGAATGTCCAATTTAAAATTTTTAAGTTCTTAGACCACATTCATTCTGTGTCAGAAACCTATGCTGTGTCAAATATTTAATCACAATCCAAATTCAGAGCTGTATCAAGCTTGAATGTTGTGTCCATACTTGCCCCAACTGTTCAGGGTTCGACCTCTGCTGTCGTATCAAGCTGCGCCCTGCGGAGCATTTTATTTTTTTTACAAAAAAATCCATATGAAAGATTTGACACTATATTTTAAATTCTATTATAAAATAGATTAAGTTAGCACTATGGTAAATTTAAATGGGTAATTATGGTTGCAAACTCCATTGGAAATTTGAATTGAGATTATGACCATATCTTGAGGGAAAGAATTTTTTTGGGGAAAAAAGGGGGTGGGGGGGGGGGTAAAAAGAAATTGTGGGGGTCAATTTTTTCTCATTTCAGATTTCAGAAATTAAAAAGAATTATTCTTCAAATATTATTTTTTTTTCAAATTTCAAATATTGAAAAATTTCAAGAAGTAATCTTTAATTGCACAGTATGGCGCATTAGATTTGTAAAATCTTTGACCACATTTGTTTATTTGTTATGCCGAATCTAACCGTGTATTTAGATTTTTAATTTTGGGTCCAGTTTTCAAATTGGTCTACATTAAGGTCCGAAGGGTCCAAAATTAAACTTTGTTTGATTTCATCAAAAATTGAATTATTGGGGTTCTTTGATATGCCAAATCTAACCGTGTATATAGATTTTTAATTTTGGGTCCAGTTTTTTAAATTGGTCTACATTAAGGTCCAAAGGGTCCAAAATTAAACTTAGTTTGATTTTAACAAAAATTGAATTTTTGGGGTTCTTTGATATGCTGAATCTAAACATGTGTTTAGATTTTTGATTATGGGACCAGTTTTCAAGTTGGTCCAAATTGGGGTCCAAAATTAAACTTTGTTTGATTTCAACAAAAATTGAATATATGGGGTTCTTTGATATGCTGAATCTAACCATGCATTTTGATTTTGGGCCCCGTTATCAAATTGGTCCACATTGAGGTCAAAAGGGTCCAAAATTAAACTTTGTTTGATTTCATCAAAAATTGAATTCTTTGGATTCTTTGATATGCTGAATCTTACCATGTATTTAGATTTTGGATATTGGACCATAATAGGTAAATTAAAAAAATTAAAGTTCTTAGACCACATTCATTCTGTGTCAGAAACCTATGCTGTGTCAAATATTTAATCACAATCCAAATTCAGAGCTGTATCAAGCTTGAATGTTGTGTCCATACTTGCCCCAACTGTTCAGGGTTCGACCTCTGCGGTCGTATCAAGCTGCGCCCAGCGGAGCATTTTATTACTAATATATATGCCCATAGTTCATATTTTATATACCAATTTTACTGCATAAGATGAGCATTTGGACAATTAATGTGTCTTCTGTGATGCCTGAGGCCAACATATTTGAAAATTCAAAAACCTTATATAAACTTTGAAGGGCTGATATAACCGAAATTGACCAAAAAGTATAGCTCAATACAGAATATAATCCTTTTAATGATTTTTGTGCTTGATTACAGATTGAACATGGAGTAAGACCACACAGTAAATATTTAACAGAGTACTTTGCATTCCTACTTGAGTTTGCTAAGATGGGAGACGAGGAGTGTATCTTTATGATTCACATCAATGCTATTTCAACAATGATTAACTTTTACCTTGGACAGAAAGCTCAAGAAAATTATGTAAGTTTTTGAAGTATAATTTTATCTTCACAAATATAAGAGCCAGGGTGAGAGGTTGTATTGTTAACATTAGAAAAATGTTTTCATATGTAACAAAATTTTAGAATTAAGATAACATTTTCGATAATTTTCATATGTGACAAATGTATTCCTATCAATTCTTCATAAAAGTTGTATTAGTTGTCCAAGAAAATTTGAATGGTGTCTAGTTCTGTAAAGAGAAGAGATGAAGGTTAGTTGCATCAGAACCTCCGACTGAGAAGACCAATAATAAATACACAGTCTAGGTGCTAAGTTCCTTCTTTCTTGAAATAATTAATTAGGCAAAAATAAAATTAGTTTTCCAGTATACATAAATGAGAGTTTGTTATCTACAGGTTGAAATTCCCTCTGATGATGAAGATGATGAGGTCATCACTATAACAGACGATGCCTATAAACCTCTGTCATTGGAGAAGATGATCACGCTCATTGCCGTACTGGTTGAGAAGTCCCGTGGAGAGGATAAACAATTACATATCAGTGATAAAGATTATAGCGCTATTATTGGGGGGAAGGTTAGTACTGTGAAGGTAATACTATTTATACATTATTGTTCATTTGTTTTTATTGTTGGTGGGTTTTATTCTGTTTTTATAGATTTTTTGCCCCCCTGTAAAAATCATGGAAAATTTAAACTCAAAGAAATAAGTCCTATTATCATACCACTGATAATATTGCCTTTTTCTTTGTAGCATACAACCCTAGTTACACATTTGATAAATGATATATTAAGCTTAGATGAGATTGATACTATACCAACAGCTGGTACAACTCAAATATGGCTGTTGGGTATGTTAATTGACATAAATATAGATATCTGGGGTTTAACATACATGTATACCCTACTAATTCTTTTATCTATATTATCTAACATTGTATTCATCTCATTTTAGGTCATTTATTAAAGATGTTGTATATTGGTTAGTTTTTATCCAATCATAAATACTTGGAATTTTTTCCAGAGATTTCTTAGTTAAGCATGTATATTAAAAAACATTATCCAATTGTTGACTTTCTTCACATTCAAATCCCTCATACCAATTTTCAATAGTATGGTTACTCACTCAATTCTACATATGCTTACTATTGTACATTTCTAGGGGTTCCCATTCTTATTTAACCAAATAAGAGATGCCATCAATTTGAGACAGACATGTAATTTGATATTTAGTCTGAGTCGATGGAATGAACAGTTAGCTGTTGCTGTAAGTAGAACCAGTTCAAGATGTCAAAATAAAGAATCTTGACAAAACACCATTTTGTTAGAGTTGAAATATTTTATTTTTGAATTATTAAAAAAAAAAAAGAAATAAAATAAATGTAAAGGAATACTTTACAAATTGTAGATACTGTAAATTCTTGAATAGAAAATTATTCAGTTATAAGAATGCATGATGAAAGTTAGGAAATTTTGAAAATAAATCACTGCAAAGTCGGAAATGACACAACAAAAATAGTTAAATATTAAATATAATGATATTTGGTGTATTTCAGATTGTAACAATGGTATTTAGTGCAATAAAGAAATTAAGTATAGAACATTCCCAGCCATTCTTCAAACTGTTGTCGATGTTAGTAGAATTTGGTGGAGGTCCTCCAGGATTACCTCCCTTTACACAATATTGTCTACAGCGTTTCTGGGATGTAAGTGTTGTATGTTACTATTTTTAAACGACAAGAAACAGTTACTTGTTGTGACAGACTATAATGCAATTACTTTCAAATTTCAGACCATCTGCTCTTTTGATAATTTGAATATGCTTATTAGTCTTTTTATCTTTCAGATCATCTAATCTTAGTGGCTCTCTAACTGAATGTCTGATAGCTGTCTGGAAATTTCCATATGGTTTTACTAGATATAATGAAACTTAAAAATCAATACCAATGATTGTAATAATATTAAACAAAACGTGAAAACGTGAAAATATGATGTTTTTCAAAAAGATCGTAGACTTATCTACTGTAATCCGCCTTGTAATGTCAATATTGGTACATTGTCCGTATCCTCCTTTTTGTCTTTTAATGTGTTTTTGAATTAAAATTTCATATTAACCCTTTCACTGATAGCTGCCCAGACAGAATCTACTCTGAGATGATGGCTTCCCTGGCTACTATGACTCAAGTGGGAGATCTTCATAATAAATGTCAATAAAAACTTGTCTGTAGTTATTTGTGTCTTTATTTCATTCACTAACACCATGTTCACAGTTTTGTTCATGTTTTGATAATTTTTCTTCATAAAATATTCAAATTTTCAAATTTTCGGCATTATCTAGGTGAAATTCTCAAAATTCTGCTCTTTGACCCAAAATCGTAATTTTTTAACCCAAAACGGCAAAATTTTGAAAAATTTAATGAGGCAGTACATATTCCTTACACTGAACAATGTCTATTCCATGTTTTGTACATAAAAGGACAATTTATGTAAAAAAAGTATACTAGTTTGGCTTCAATTCTTCCATATTCTTTCCAAAAAAATGTTCCCTCATTTCAAATTCTCGTAAATTCAATAAATTTCCTCTGATTTTAACACGGTTTTTAACTAACGGAAGCGCCATGTTTACACTTTCATCCGGGTATTCCACAAAGAAAGATAACTCGTGGTTGCACTGTTTTGAGCGGGAAATATAAAAGAGGTATTCCAATCCCGGTAAAACGGGACTCATCGTCAGCTGTCTGAAGCGTGAATCCCGGTAAACCGGGACTCATCGGCGAAAGGGTTAATATGGATAAGGTTAATATTAGTTTTGAAAATAATAAGGGCTAGGATTTCAATAACAAACATGGTGGAATGTAAACAAACCTTGCGAAATCAAGATTTTATCTTATTTCTTTCTTATGGTATTCTATAATCCACACCCTTGCCTAGCAATCTTAATTTTGGAGTTAAAAAACACAGAATATACAAGCCAGAATTCGGTACCTTATAGAATGATATACAGATCTGAAAAAAATTATATAATACTTAATGTATTTGCTGAATCATGAATTATTTTCAATATATTTACAGCTAACAAAGAGTTGTCCTCAGCCATGTTTAGAGTGGATGTCCTCTCAAGTCACAAGAAATAAATTAGCTAGTCATTGGATTCTGAATCAGAGAGAAAGCTGGGTGGAACCATATCTTATAGCAAATAATAACGCTAGAGTCAGAAATGGTAAATGGCTTGCTAAGTACAATAATTTGTAACAATTTAGTGGACTAAAAAGTACATTTTAAATTGACATCTACCTTGATCTACCTTGCAGATCCTTTCACTTTATTTCCACAATGGTATGGGTTTGACACTTACCAATAAATGACCGCTATTAAATTTAGGAAGATATAGAAAATGGCATTAAACACAAACAAACAAACAAACAAACAAACAAACAGAGTTATAGATGACCTAATGTGAGTTGTAAGAAGCTATTGAATTCATCTTCATCTAAAGTGAATTAATTATTCATAATTACTTTTAAAAGGTCATTATATACTTTAAATGTATTTGAAAAATTTCACAGAAAAAAGTGACTTGATAGATGACTAAATATTCTTGGAATTCAGTCTTGAGTTCAGATGCAAGGTAAATTTTCAAATTAACTTTTTAAGGGCAAATTTACTTTTACATTTGTATAACTGTATTCATGGATATTTGAGTTCGTGAATTTGCCAAATCCTGCATACAAGCCATTAGAAAATTGATACTTTTCATAATATTTGAATTTGTGTAATACCTTAACCCACGAAATTCATTAAAAATGGTAACCCGTGAATAATAATGAAACCACAGTAACTTCTTAACAGATAATTGTAAGTGTACAGTAATGCACATGTAAGTGTACAGTAATGCACATTTTGTCAATATGTTGGTAAACTGTTAAACACATCATTTCTTTAATATTCACAGAACAATGAAATATAAATTGTTAAATTATTTTCAGCTGCTGCCATGTTGTTGATCTCTCTGGTACCCAGTAATCACTTCAGACAGACCTTTAGAGCTACCAGGAGTATTGTTAGTCCTCATAAAGAGTCAGCTGTAAGTTCTATTCATAAGGTTTGCTTTATCTTATTTAGAAGAAATTTGTACATGTATTGACTTTTTGGTTTAGCAAAAGAGCAGCAGCATTCCTAGAAATGTCTGATCTAACAAGATAGCTTGACTATTGGAACTGAGATGCAATGATTTTTCTCTTGAAATACTATAATACTTGGCACTTTATTGTTAATAATTCATATATTCCATAATGCCCAAGAATCAGTGTAGAATCTTTTGCTCCGATTATTTTTTAAACAATGTGAAGACAAACTCTGGCATTCTTTTCTGATGATCTGGACTTTTTCTATGTTTTTTTTAATAGAAAAACCAGATATAACTACCAAAAATATGTCATAATTGAATTTATTCCTCTAAAGAACTGTGAACAAGTGAACTACATAAAACAAAAAATTAAATTAATGCTATTCTCAAAAATTGTACATAAAATGCTTTTTCTTTACATTTTAGATGTCATCAGAAGCTGTGATAGTTTTGCACCAGGTAAGAATTTAAAAGATTATTTTGTGTAAATTGGAGATTAAAGTTATTATAATTGGTACCTGTCACTGATATCATAGAAGGGAAAACCAGCTGATTTTAGATAACAGCAATGATTTTATAAGCACAAAGTTATATTTTAGTATCTGCTATTGGAGGAGAATAGCTCATTATGTAACAAAAGAAAATATGCTACTGCAGAGAGTTGGATAACATGGTATAATTCTCAATTTTATAACAATATCAGACTAGTTTTATTACATGCTTAGAGTGAGAAATTTAAATGGGTTGAATTTCATAAATATATAATAATTGAAGCAAGAATATTAAAATTTGTCTTTTCTTTTTATAGATTTATGAACACTTGTTAAGTTTGTTATCCAGAGCCAAACTGTATGTTGGTAAGTAAACTTTGTGTATTGTCAGTGTTTGCTTGATGTGGAAAATTTTAGAGTGACAGATTACAAAATTTAAAACATATATGAAGCAAGAAAAAAAATTGAAATTAAAATTACTTTATTGGTATTGGTAAAATTAATGGTTTAGTTCATATACTCAAATTATTCTACCAGATAAAAGGATATCATTTAATGTCTAGAAATATTTTTGCTCTCCTGCCTGATATAAATATAGGTATTAATTTGTATTACAGATCCACAGGCTCATGGAACTTCCAAACTGACCAGTTATTTTGCTGTGATGTCTTACTGTTTGATTTCAAGAACAGAAAAGTTAATGGTAATATTTAAAAATATACAATTATATACTTCCACTATTGTATGTGCTTAGAATCAGTACTGAAAAATGTGGTCATTGCCTTTCAATGTATTCAGTATTACCTTGAAAAACACTCAATTTCAAAATAAGAAGGATTTATACAGAAGATATTGTTTCAGATCTTTAACGTCACAGCTATTTGAATTTCTAAGGTAGTAGGATAATTTCTGTAATAATTTTTCCAATGGCATAAAATGATGGTGGTGATCAGAAAGAATGAATGTGTCTTCAAAGACTCATAGAAATTTTTCTGGAATATCTCGAGGTTAAAACAGTGTAATAAGTGTAAAGTAATGCATCTATAAATACCAACCAACACTTTTGATAAATTCCTCAAAAGGACATACCTTGATACAGAAAGCAACTGTAATGATATTTTTAGTCAACTGTGTGTAAATTTGTCTGTAACAATTTAAAAACTTAAACCTTATCTTAAAATATTAAAGTCAACTGTGCATAAAACTTAACAAACTTTTGTTTTATTTCAGTTTGGTAGATTGTTCCAGGATTTATGGAACCTTTTTCAGCCTAAATTGTGTGAACCCCAGATCTCAATGCATCATAATAAGCAGGTACTTTGTGCATATTACATGTATTTAGTTACTGTATCCTGTAACAATGTTAGCAAGTGGTTTAACAGTTTTGCACTGTTGAGAGGAGTTAGTTGACAGGTTTTGAAAGTTGACTATATTGTTTTTATGCAGCATACTTGTAAGATTGGCATGTAAATAGAACTGTTGAAATTATTTATTACTTTTTTATTAAATGCCTTTTAACATTTCATTTACATACATTCAAGTAGACAAAACAGTGGAGAAAAATACTTAAGCTAAAAAGTTGTAGTATTGAATTTGAATAGTCAAGACAATTACAGCAGAGTTTGAAGAAATTGTCAAGTCAAGCTTTTGATAAAATACTTTATATGCAAAAAATCATTAAGGGTCCATTTGGAGTAAAATATCCTGTAAAGTTGCCATCGTATTACATATAAAAAAAAAAATATTTTGAAATAATTGTGCTCAAAAACATTTAGATACTTACTTTCATTGTAAGGTTGCTTATGAAATTATGAAGTTAAGAATTTTTATATAATTGAGATTAAAAATGAGGTTTTTTCCATTGCAGGCTTTGATGTATTTCTGGTATCAGGCATGCGTAGATTGTCCAGAAAACATCATGAAGATTGTCAGTAATCCAAATGTTTGTAAGCAGATAGCTTATAATTATATTTTGTAAGTATGTCTTGAAAATTTTTGTACTTACAGAAGCTTGAATATTATAAGATGCTATCATATTATCTGCATTTATCTATTGAACACATCCTCCTTGTGCTACCAAAATTCTGAACAAAAAATCTAACAAAAAATCTAATAACTACTACAGAAGTAAATTACTGCACTGAGTTTGCCAGACATCGTTTAATTTCTTCCATAAAGTAACAATGGAAGGATTTTAAGACTCAGTAATTAAAAAAAGGAGATATCTCTCATGTTTTTATGATGTCCAACATTCAAGATAATTTTCAATATTTTTTACAACTACATTAAAATCTCCATATGAACAGGAATACATTTACAATTATTTATGTCAACGTTTTGAAACATTTTATGATAAATTTTTCAGCAGTTGATTTCTTATTCCATGGCCACTCTTACATTTCTTTAACCATTTCAAGAATGATAATGAAGCCAATTTTGAAATTTGAACCGATGTGTAATGTATAAAGATTTAAAACCTTCTTATGAAAAAATTATTGTTACTTAAATGTCTATTTTACAGAGCTGACCATGATGATCAGGATGTTCTAATGTTTAACAGAATAATGTTACCATCATATTATGGGTTATTACGGATGTGTTGTCAACAATCCAGGGTATTCACAAGACAGTTAGCTTCACATCAGAACATAAACTGGGCTTTCCAAAATATTGCACCTTATCCCACGAAATATGCTGCTGTAAGTATTCTTCGTTCTTTATTTGTAAATTTATATTTATGGTAATTTTTTCATTTGTAAATGTTAACCACTTTTATTTCAGTCTAGAGTCGAAACAAATTTTTCAATGCCAATGACGGTTAAATTTCAATTGGGACATTGTTTTCCATATCGATAAAACAAAAAAATGATCTTGAGCATCTGTCAACCAGACAACAAACCCAAAGAAGTCCAAACAACCCTGGAGGTATAAAATAGTCTCCAACAATAAACAAACGTCTTTGCAGTATGTGAAGCTCTAAATCACCCAGATCCTTAAATACAACAAAGACCTACCATCAACTACAAATTTCCTAAAGGACAAATAATATAAGTTAATAATACAATCCAAGTAAGATAGGAATTAGTTTACTTTCCTGTTATAATTATCTACTGACTGCATAAATCAAATTATGTTAAAGAAAGTTTGGTTTGGAAATATTTTTTTTTATATGCAGGCTGTAGATGAATTATTCAAAATGATGAGATTAATGGCTACAAAATACTCAGACAGTTCAGAAGAGGAAGTTAGATCCATTAATTCATTCAAGAAAAATACATCACAGATGTTCCTTAATATGTTAGATGCTAGATCTGGATGGCAAACTTTGATCAGGTAAATATTTTTGACAAAAGATAAAGGTATGATTTGGGTGAAATCCATAAATGGCAGAAATAAAATGATGGAAGTATGTAGATTTGATGGCAAATATTGATCATATATATATTTTGGTTGCAATTTTTTGATATAGCACACTTTGATAAGATAAAAATGTTAGATGCCAGATCTGTTGTTAAAACTTTGATGAGGAAAATATCTGAAAGGATAGATTCAGTGGCAAACAATGCCAAATCTGGTTAGTTTTCCATATGCTTTTAGCACTAACTATTGGTGCAGACCAATTGGCATCCTTTAGGTGTCAATTTTGGTTAACTTGGGTTGCTGTCTCATTGCCATTTACCAAACACCTCCTCTTATTCTTATGTTCTTTACAAAAATATCACACAGCTGTTACTTTCTCAGAAATAATGTGTTGCAGGGGACATGGAAATACCGGGCAGGTGTCCGTTCGTCCGTCCGTCCGTCCTTCTGGTCTTGTTTATGTATTTGACATTATCCCATAGTTGAGATTTGAAAGTGCCTTCACTTGGTCCCCTGTATGTTTTAATAGAAGAGCCCTTGGCAAATTCAGGTGATTTTCTAAAAAAAAAGTGTGATTTGAAACCCAGTCTCAAAGAAAGATTTTTCTTGCAGTGTATTAAAGATATTGGTTGACACTGATAATGACAGACTGTTCCTTATCTACCAGGGAGGATTACAGATGATGTCTGAGGTTTGTATTAAATGTTACACAGACAAGTTTTTCTTTTTTATACCCATCTGCAGTTGGCACCTTACACCCAAATAAGTTTGTTATTGTTCAGTAAAGCAATGTATGTTCTATAAATAACCATAAAATAGTTGCTTCTAGACATAAAGTAACTAATGATCAATCAATAAATATACACAACAAAAAAATCTGTGTATCCACAGCATGTAGTGGACCATGTTTACAATCCAGAATTCTGGAGGTAGTTGTCTATGCCTACATTGGATCAGTTAGGGAAAAAAAAATTAAAATGTTTATCAGCAAGAGTGAATGCAAATAAAATAATAAAAAAAAATGAAATATTTTAGATGTTGAGCCTTTGTATTCTTATTGAATTTGGATTAGAATTTTAGAATTGTAAGTAAAGAAAACCAACCAAGTTTACAAATACCCATTTGAGCTTATGTACATTAGGATACAAAGTATTGGAAATGAATAAATGATTTAAGATTTTATTGATATTATTACGGTAGCTTGAAGTTGAGACATTAATCAGATTTTATAAGTAAAAGTTCATGATGTCTGATAAATAAATATTTTTACTGGAAAATATAGAAATTTATAAACTTGAAAGATATTGCCAAAATTAAATGCAGGTTTTTATGAAGAAGAAAAACCATAATAAGGAATCATACATTAGGATAGTGATTTGTTAGAAATTTAACAAAACTTGTTTAATATACATCTAGGCATTTAACAATTTACATGTGATGTACCATGAGGCTACAGCATGTCATGTGACTGGGGACATTGTAGACCTGCTGACCATTATACTGCCAGTGTTGAAAGTACTGAGGCATTTTCATGACAAGAAAAGTAAGTGTGTCCCAAGTATTGAATTGTTTTACACAGTGAATATAGCTATGAATAAAAGGAGAACTTATGATTTTATTTATTTGATGAAAGTGAAATGTAAAATGAAAGTTTATTATTATTGTAAATACAAGCATAGGTAATTGCAAGACTGTATTTTTTTTAATCCCACCTGGAACTTTGGTATCTATTTCTGTAAAAATAACCACTATTAAACTGTATAATCAAGCTGTTTTTATCTTTATCAGTTTACGTATAAGAAAATATTGTTTTATAAAGTCAAATAAATGTTGATTTATTGTTTTTTTTTGTAGGTTCTGGTTCAGATATTCAAACAGTATTTCAGAATTGGAGAGATAGAATGGAATTTGTAAAGAAACTGCTGACGTTACTGAATTCATTTACACCACCAGAGATCAGGCAGATATCTATAGGTAAGGAAAAGGAAATATTTTCTCTTGCAGAGGTTTTGAGAGAAATGGTGATAATTTTCTAGAGCGAATATCTTCATACAATGGTATGGAAAGTTGATTGAAATATTTCAAATGTGGATTTATAGAATTGTGGTTTAAAATATATATGTTCTACAGATTCAGATAAATTTATTTATGTTTTTTACTTTCAAGTCTTCAATATGGTAATTCTGGAATGAAATGATTTCTCTTGCAGAGGTTTTACGAGAAATGGTGATAATTTTCCAGAGCGAATGTGTTCATACAATGGTTCCAATGTTAACACAGGCTCATGTTTCTTTCCAAGAAAGTAATTTGCCAGGTAAGTTTATATCATATCATGTCAGCTTTATAATTTAAATACAATATTTTCTGTTTGACTAAAGAAAGGGATCTTTCCTTTTCCCGTTTAGTGTGAAACTATTTATTTTTCAGACCTACTTTGAAGTGATTGAAGTATTTAGTTTCAGTAAAGGCATTCTTGATTTATTTTTGAAGTAGTTTGTCATTTTCAGTGTATTGTATTGTTAGGTTGCTGTCCCTACTACTTTTAATCATTTTAAGCTGATTTGAATGTATACATCAAAACATTGATCTGGAGGTGTAATATCTTCAAACCACTACCATGTCTAAATGCAAATATTACATTACTCTTTTCTCACAAAAGTATATTACTGTGGATTCATAATTATTCGTGGGGTATAAATTTTCTTTGATTTCATGGGTATAGAGAAACCACAAATTTTAATGTCAAACAAAGTAAAAATTGTCTCTAGGCTTGTATACCAACTTTTGCAAAACCACGACGAAATCTGATATCCCCTAAAATATATATTTTTTCAATCCATGAAAATTGGTACCCATGTAAATAAATGAATCCACAGTAAATGAAAGAAACTGTTTCACTTGATGTTTTTAAAAAAAATTAATCAATTTCTTTAACATCACTTGATAACAGATAACATTAGTATAAAAGCATAATAGAAGTAACTCTTAAATGTTTGTCTAAAAAATTATGCTCTATATTTCAGTACCGACACCAGGACCATATTTCCCTAGAAGAGGTCAGAAGCCTATAGGGTCCAAGTCCAATATACGTCCACCAAGACCACAGTTTAATATGATGTTACATTCTAGTCAAGTAGAGGCAACAAAGGTATAGAAAATTTATTTATTTACTTAAGAAATAATTCTTTCATGCCATGTTCTATGCTCATTTTAACATGGGTAGGCATTATATGTGTCAATATCTTTATACCACTCTCAGTATATTGGAATTAGAACATGGCTTTGTTTCCAAAGAGAAAGAAGAATGTCATATTAGAATTACTGATTTGTTTATTTCTGTATAAAAAGTATTTTAAAATATTGTAAATGTGAAGCAATTTGAATTCATTGAATAATTTCCTTTTTAGTCATTCTTTTTTTTTTTTTTTTTTCTCCACAGAATTTCTCCACAGAATGAATTTTCAATTTTTTTCCTCTTTATGGTGATTCAAATAAAAAAAAATATTCAAGAAATGTTTTGAGTATCATATAAATTCCCAGCAACCGCTTCATAAGAAATAGATAATGATGTACATGTAAAATTTGTTTTTAATGTATTTTGTAAAGCAATTTTTTATTTACTTTATTTCAGGGTGTTGATGAGAATTATGATTGTGCATTGTCAGAATTCTTCTTACCATATCATTCCTTGGTAGATCTCATTTGTAGAGTGGCTGTCAACCAACAGATTCTTAATGAACATATAATTAATCTTAGTAAGTAATGAACATATAATTAATCTTAGTAAGTAATGAACATATAATTAATCTTAGTAAGTATTCAGACAATAGTTTGTATTATACTTATGTACTGTACTTTCACATAATTTAGAAAAATGGCAAAATATTGGATATTGATATTATGGAGTGATATTACAGCCGATTTCATTGAGTGTGTAGGCAAAGGTAATTTCTTTGGTTAGCTTGCTTGTTAGCTGAACCTTGAAGTCATTATTAGGTCATGTATTCTACCCTCCTTTCCAAGTAGCCTAGTCAAACAGACAGATAGATTGGTTATCTGTCGGACTAGTCTACTCTCAAAGGAGGGTAGTTTACCTAACCTAATAATGATTTCACTGTTCAGCTATCAAGCAAGCTAACCAAAGATATTAACTTTGCCTACACACTCAATGAAATCGGCTGTAAGCAAAATTGTTGCAAAGCATCCGAATTGGCATTTTTTTTTCATATAATCTAACGCATGCTCACAAATATATCTTTATCAACAATGCATTGCTTCAAAATGAAGTTGTCACATTAGTATTGTGGTTGCGAGATTAGCATGACATTAAAAATAATTATGGAAAATATTTTAAAAGATTTTGATCATTTTCAAAATAATTGTACAATTGACTTCAGATAGTAAACAAAAATTTAACCAAAATAATTTATAAATTGGCGAATCTTGAACATTTACTCAATCAATAGAAATGACATTATACTGTAAATGAAAGCATGAATAATCTTGTAAATTTAAGGTCAAACATAGGAAAATCCCAATTCTTTCTAAGCCATTTTAATATTGTTTGTTTAAGATATCCAAATGAAACATCTTATTGAGTATATTATTATTTTCCTTTTTTTTTATTTGTAAGAGAATAACTAACCTGGTTTGCCATTTTGCTAGTAGTTAAAAAGTATAAAGATCATGCAAGACAACAACTCTAATAATGCTTGGAGGAACTAATGGTGTAGAATTTCTCTAATTCTTAGCTTATTTATACTTTCCCAATTATTTGATTATTTTAATAAATTAAATGTGCTATTCATTTGATCTCAGTTGTTCTTTTGTCAAAATTCAATTATGATGTCATATTTCTTGCTTCTGAATTTTCTATTGTTACGAAACGAAAAAAGGTGACCATGACTGATGTTGTCACATTAAAAGAGCACATCTTTTTGCAGATCATTGAAAAAAAAAAAGCCTTAGGTTTTATGTATGAAAATTTAACTCTAGTGGAGAAATAACATATTACACTCAATGCAGTGGTAGAATCTATGTGTAACTTACATTTTGTAATTCTCTTATAGGTGCTGTAGTGGCTGTGGAAGGTGTCCCATTACATTCAGCTTTCTTTGCAAAGTTGTGGTATGAAATTTATCATTCTGAGGTAAGAAGCATTTAATACATATTTCCACATGAATTAAATTTTCTCATCAAATGTTAACCAGAATAATTCAGTCGTTATATTCCACTGCTATACGATGACTACATTAACGCCTGAAGGCCTAGTCAATGAAAAATCGTCAAAAAATCATTCGGAATTAGCTCGGGATTTACCTATCTCGATAACATTTAGTATTAGCTGATTGGCTCTCTCTCACAGAGAGCACCAATCAAAATCCTGGATTCGTGACGCGTTTTTATACGACCGCAAAAATTAAAAATTTTTGGTCGTATATTGGTATGACGTTGGCGTCGTCGTCGGCTTCGTCGGCGTCGTCTGGCGTCGTCCGGCGTCGTCCGAAGACACATTGGTTTTCCACACTCTAACTTTAGTTTAAGTGAATGGATCTCCATGAAATTTTACCATAAGGTTCAATACCACGAAAGGAAGGTTGGGATTGATTTTGGGGGTTATGGTACCAACAGTTAAGGAATTAGGGGCCAAAAAGGGGTCAAAAATAAGCATTTTTGTAACTTCCAGACAAAAGCTTGTGTGTAAGTGTATGGATCTCTCTGACATTGTACCACAAGGTTCCATATCACAAAGGGAAGGCTGTAATTGATTTTGGGGGTAATTGCCTCAAAATTTTAGGAATTAGGGGCCAAAAAAGGGGCAAAAAACAAGCATTTTTCTAGTTAAATGACAATAACTTGTGTGTAAGTGTTTGGATATTTCTGAAATTGTACTACAAGGTTCCATATCACAAAGGGAAAGCTGGAATTGAGTTTGGGGGTATTGCCCGAAACGTTTAGGATTTGGGGGCCAAAAAGGGGCCAAAAATAAGCATTTTTCTAGTTTCCAGACAATAACTTGTGTTTAAGTGTATGGATCTTTCTGAAATTGTACTGCAAGGTACCATACCACAAAGGGAAGGCTGGGATTGAGTTTGGGGGTGATGAATCATAAGGGGGTTCAAAAAATTTGGGGGGGGGATTTTTTTTTTTTCTTTTTTTCCTTTTTTTTTTCTTTTAAAATTTTCCATTTTGAGTTGGTTATTTCTGATTAATATTTAAAAGCAAATAATAATGATATGGTAGGAGATACACACCAAACAGGATGTGTAAATTATTATATAATAAGTATTGTGCAATAGCAAGAAATTTTCAATTGCACAGTATTGCACAATAGCAAGAAATCTTCAATTGCACAGTATTGCGCAATAGCAAGAAATCTTCAATTGCACAGTATTGTGCAATAGCAAGAAATATCCAATAGCACAATATTGCGCAATAGCAAGAAATTGTCAATTGTACAGCATTGCGCAATAGCAAGAAATATTCAATTGCACAGTATTGTGCAAAAGAAGATACTTCGTATAAATTGCTTATTTCTTGATCAATTTCAATGGAGTTTTATTCTTGAATTCTTGGGGTTCTTTAATATGCTGAATCTAACCGTGTATTAAGTTTTTGGATTTTGGGCCCCGTTTTTAAATTGGTCCACATTGAGGTCCAAAGGGTCCAAAATTTAACTTTGTTTGATTTCATCAAAAATTGAATTATTGGGGTTCTTTGATATGCCGAATCTTACCTTGTATTTAGATTCTTAATTTTTGGTTCCGTTTTCAAATTGGTCTACATTAAGGTCCAAAGGGTCCAAAATTAAACTTAGTTTGATTTTAACAAAAATTGAATTTTAAGGGTTCTTTGATATGCTGAATCTAAACATGTATTTAGATTTTTTATTATGGGCCCAGTTTTCAAGTTGGTCCAAATCGGGGTCCAAAATTAAACTTTGTTTGATTTCAACAAAAATTGAATATATGGGGTTCTTACATATGCCGAATCTAACCATGTATTTAGATTTTTGATTTTTGGGCCCCGTTATCGACTTTGTCCACATTGAGGTCAAAAGGGTCCAAAATTAAACTTAGTTTGATTTTAACAAAAATTGAATTTTTAGGGTTCTTTGATATGCTGAATCTAAACATGTATTTAGATTTTTGATTATGGGCCCAGTTTTCAAGTTGGTCCAAATCGGGGTCCAAAATTAAACTTTGTTTGATTTCAACAAAAATTGAATATATGGGGTTCTTTGATATGCTGAATCTAACCATGTATTTAGATTTTTGATTTTTGGGCCCCGTTATCAACTTTGTCCACATTGAGGTCAAAAGGGTCCAAAATTAAACTTTGTTTGATTCCATCAAAAATTGAATTCTTGGGGTTCTTTGATATGCTGAATCTAACCATGTATTTAGATTTTGGATATTGGACCATAATAGGTGAATGTCCAATTTAAAATTTTTAAGTTCTTAGACCACATTCATTCTGTGTCAGAAACCTATGCTGTGTCAAATATTTAATCACAATCCAAATTCAGAGCTGTATCAAGCTTGAATGTTGTGTCCATACTTGCCCCAACTGTTCAGGGTTCGACCTCTGCGGTCGTATCAAGCTGCGCCCTGCGGAGCATTTTATTATCGTATAAAGAGTTCAGGCCCTCGCGAGTGGGAGAGTCGATCACGGGGAGGGACTGAATTATTCGGGTTAATCAAATGTTTGTGAATACTGATAAAAGTTATAAATTGGTAAGAAATTTTAATGAATACAACTCAAAACAAAGGAAATTTCTTTTCCATTTCCATTTGCCTATTTTGCCAAGCCATTGTTTGAAATTTATTATTCCTCATACATATTTTCGAAATTATTTCCATTACTTAAAAGAAATATGTATATTTGTAAATGAGGGTAAGAATATTCAATGAAATTAAATAAAAAAATTGTTGCATCAGAACAATCTTCATTATCAGTATTGATCACATGATTTCAACAAGGAGGGTCTGGATGGGGGATCCTTCATTTCTGTATTCTTTAATTCTGTAGGCCCCTTTTTGCCGATTATTCTCTATTCTTTATATTTTAGCACCTCAGTATTCTCTATTCTTAATTTTGTTGGTCCATTTTTCTCTATTCTTTATATTTTTTGCCCATTATTCTCTATTCTGTAAACCCCCATCCACACCCTCAACAAGAGATTCGATGGTAACCAAAAAAATTTCTTGTGCATCCATATATATTTCTTTTCAATATGTATTAGAACTTTATGAATTTAAAGTATTACATGTTATATACGTTTTCACATACTTTTAATATGTATGAATCTGAATAGGTTAACATCTTATTACTTTAGATGGAAAATCCACAAGAAAGGAAATCTTAGATTCATCTCTTATTAAGTGTTTGATAGATAGTTAAGGGGAGGAAAATCCTGCTTTACGTTTTTTTTTATGTTGAAAATATAGAAGATCAGTGCCTACCTTCTCATATATCATTTTACAATCTTTAAAATGACACAGAACAATACTCTTCAATGTAAAAAGAATTAAAAAAAAAATGATAATAGTATTACAAAACATGAAGCGGTAAATCTGAGGTTTTACCAGATGAAAATGAGTGAAATTATAGATAGATTTTGACTGATTACACAGTTTCCTGAAACATTCAGCATATATCTTTTTGCCTTATACTATTTGTTTGTTTGTTACAGGTTGATAGAAATTGTATAAGAATACTTTGCAGTAGCAGTTACTTTATAGAATATGTAGATTCAGTATTATTGGATGAAAGACTGTCACTAAACAATCATAATATATACCAGTTCTTTTGTAACTTCTTTCCAAAGGTTTGTATTAAACTTTACATTCTTATGCTTAAAATCCTGGGCTTGTTTACCAATATTTTCCTTGCTGAGAGTGATCCTCAGTTAAAGGGGATTATTGACTTATAGTCATAGATCTATATTAACCTCTTCCATTAAGCAATACTTTCGCTATCAATGATACAGTTAATATATAAACAGAGATGAATGTATTCTGTTTTTTAGTGGATTTCCACTATTGGTAATCTGTGTTTGTTACGATTTCTTTATGATACAGAGTAGTTGATATTTAATGCAGCCATTCCACTTTCCTTTTGAGCAAAATTGTCTCTGTAAGATTTAAAATTATGTTCTGCTTCAAACATTTTTATTGCTTGCATTTTTTTTCCGTCTGACTGCATGAAATAATGTAGAATGGTTGGTTTTGGTTGAGTCTAAATTTCCTGATTTCAAAGACCAAACCTATTCACTAGATTGGTTTTTTTTCGTATTTTCTTGTCTTAAAAATCAGATTCTGATTTACAGAAGGGGACATTTGTTTGATTTTATTCAAATCACTAAGTAAGCAAAAATACAACCCTTGTAAAAAAAAAAAATCTGTTTTACAGTAAAGAGATTATATTAAATGCAGAGTTATGATAGGTGTATATAATTTTGTCATTAAAATATTTTTCAGGTGTATCAACAAGTGCTAAACGACCAGGGGAAATCATTACTTGATAGTTTGGTTGCCTCGGTAACAGCAGAAAAATCTGCCATTGAAAATGTCAGATACCAACAAGATTTACTTAATATCTGTGAAAGAATTAATGGGGTATGTTATATTGAAAATGATATGTCAGCTTATTACTGTGAATATTGACATGGCTTTATCCTTCATTCAGAAAAGGCATTAATGTGTGCACACTAATTAACAGTTGTATATAACTTTTAACAATGTGAATTAATTATATCCTTCTTGAAACATTGAAAATTCTATTGTTCTTTGAGTTCTTAAAGTTTTTTGTTTTCTTGTCACCACATTTCTACCAATATATACATTTCAAAAACAAATATATGAACAAAACTAATTACTTTTTTCAAATTCATATTGTAATGGGATATTTTTGTGTTATACAAATGTCAATATGATTGAATTCTTCACAAAATATTTCAGGATTTGCGAGCCATGTTACTGATATTCTCTGTTCAACCTCCAAAGAAGATGAATCCTTTGTTAATGGACAGTTTACATTACATCTTGAGCATATGTAGAGAAAACCAGCAGCAGAGAGCAGAGGCAGCTAGAATTCAGAGCAGAAAACGGTCTGGATCTGAGAGTCAGGAGGAATTAACAGATTCTACAGGTTAGAAATAAAATTAAAATATAAGAAAAAGGCCTATATACTTTTTCATGGCATTTCCTGACAATACGAATTCCTTTGATATTTAAAAGTAGATACTGAATCCAACATCCTTCCTGGAAATAAACAGAGGTTTTTCGCCATAAGGACCTTACTTTATAGCAGCCTTCATTGGTCTTATATTGAGGGAAATTGTGTATATGAACAATTAACAAGATGGTGATCAAATATTTATAATTAAGGAGAGAAAAAAATAGAAGTTACTGACATTATTTGGGAAAATGTTAACAATTAGTAGGAAAAAAAACCTGAACACTGATTTAAATCCACCTAATACATTTACCTGATAAAAATTGTTGCCTAAGATTTTTATGTTGAACAAATTCATGATGTTTGCTTGCAAAGTACATCTAATTTTTTATGCCCCCGCCGTAGCGGAGGGGGCATTAAGTTTTACCCTTGTCCATACGTACGTCCCTCCGTACGTACGTCCCAAAGTTGGTTTCAGAATTTTTAGTTTCCGTTCGCTAACTTTAGTTTGCCTCAACCAAATGTTATGAAATTTATACACAATGCTTATTACCACAAAATACAGATCAAGTTTGAATTTTGGTGGTGTCACTTTAACCGTTCTAGAGTTATGCCCCTTTACAAAAGGAAAAGTTGCTGAATTTTTCGTTTCCGTTCTCTAACAAGTGTTATGAAACTTATACACAATACTTATTACTATAAAACTCAGATCAATAACAAATATGGGTAGCGTCACTTTTACCGTTCTTCAGTTATGTCCCTTTATAACTTTATATGATATGCAAGCGGGGGCATCATCTGTGTCCCATGGACACATTTCCCATTTATTTAATAATCATGTGGTCAATTATTGTCAGCATTGTTATGCCCCCACCACTAGGTAAAGCTGGCATTAAGTGTTATCCTTAATGGTCCGTCTCTCTGTTAGTCCTTCCGTCTGTTCCAAAAGTATTTTCACATATTATAAGCATGCTTGAGCAAGGCATTTGTGTCCTCAGACACATTCTTCTTTTATTTTCTTTATGTAGTCATTCAGGTTATTATTTACATATACATTCACATATTTATTCATCCAATCATCATACTGCATTATTGATTTCAACTGGTTATCCTTAAAAGTTTAGAATTTTTGAAATCTGTTTATTCACCTGAAATGCCATGCAAATTTTGGGTCAGTCAAACTGACTTTTGCAATGTGTTAGACCAAATGTCAGATATTAGTATAGCAAATGCGTGTCAGAATTTCATTGAGGCATTAAGATCAAATGTCTTTTACACAGTGAATTTTGATATGTTTGAATTTGGCATGGTGTCCTCAAGCTTCTTAAATGTGATATATTCAGTCAGTTATTGGCAGGAAATCTGGTTTACCTTGTACACTCAAGTTTGCCATATGATTAAAACTTACCACCAAAATATTGTATGCATGTGTAGTACAAACATACAACTAAACATTCCTAAGGTGAATTTTATTTGGAGGTTCGTTGATAAATTTAGCCTAATGTGGATACCAATTTTCATGGATTGAGGAAAAGATATATTATTGTGGATATTTGATTTCGAGGTTTTGCCAAAGTCCACATACAAGACTAGAAAATTTGTGCTTTGTTGAACATTTGAATTTGTGGTTTACCTATACCAATGAAATTAATGAACATTGGTACCCAACGAAGAATTATGAATCCACAGTATTACTATTGTCTAATTTTTTTAATGTCATGACTTCTTGAGGAATATAAAAGTAGTATAGTTTGAATGGTTTTTTTGTGTGGTCCAAACCATATTCTTACGTATTTCATATTTTTATTGTCCTACAGAAGCTACACCTTCCAAAAAGAGGAGAGTTTCTGGAAAGGATTCAGCTGATGAAGCAGAAGATAGAGACTCTAGTAGTGATGTAGAAATTATTCCTGATGACACACCACCTAAAAAGGAGGAAGTCAAGTCTCCTGAGAAGGAGGAAGAAAAGGTGTCATCTGGAGAAAATTCTGAGTCAGATACTAAAATCCAAGAAAGTAGTAGTCAAAGTGACAGTGAGAAACCTGGACCTAGTACTTCTAAAGATTCAAAAGATTCTAAAGAAGAAGAAAGTTCAGACTCCAAGGAACCTGAAAATGAAACAGAAAAAGAAAGTGAGGAGAAAGTTGAGAGACAGAATAGTTCTGAAAGTAGGCAGAGTAGTGATGAAGTACCGAGACAGAAAGAAAGACCAACTATTGTGGACTTAGTAGCCAAACAAATTGATTCTATATTTTCTCTTATAGAGAAACATTAATGTGCTTTATAGGAAATGGTGCTGAATTTGTAACAATCAAAAATCATTTTTACTATAGACTAATTGATGAATGATCAGATTAGTAAATGAATTCGAAAGTTTTTAACTTGCTCTGTAAAATTCCCATATTGTATGAGTAGGAACGTTTTTAAGATTGTATAAATTGTTTTTTCTAGAACTTTCTGTGTTGACAGTCTTCCTTTTCTAGTGAATCCATAAATTATGCTGAGGATGTGCTTTGTGTGTCTTTCTTATTGACATTTTCTTTTGCTTTTGGTAATGCTTGTTCAACCCCAAAATATCTATTACAATGCATATGAATAATCACTGTTCCTTTAAGGTACAACAAGGTTTTAAGAAGGAATAAAGCATTTCCATGTTATAAACCTATTTTAAAGTGCCTTTCTGGAATCAGTTCATTAGTTAATTGAACACACCCATAAATGTTACATACAGTTTTTACTGTGATAACCATTTCAAATGAAATGCATGAAATTTTGGTGGTTGCAAACTAGAACAGATCTGAAACCAATTAAATAGGTAAAGATCAGTTTTATTCAGGTTGATATTATGAGAAAAATTAGTCAGTCGTCTCCTTTTGATTAAGCTATGTAGGGGATAAAATTAGTTATCTATTTTACTAATTGGTGTATGTGTATAGAAATCATGCAGTAAAATTGATTATATAGTATTTATTTATTTTAGAAGCAAAAAAATAAAATAACAAAATAATGCTCAAAGGCTATAGTAGATTAATTGGTAACACTGATATTATCATAAATAGTTATAATGTTAATATTTCTATCGGAGAGAAATACAACAAAAATGTTTTCGGTAATTTTGAAGTACTTCTATTTCATTGAAAATATTTTCAAAGGCAAAATCTCATCTATGGTAAAAAAAAATTGAACAGCACATGGGTTGTATGGAACAATAACATATTTTAATGAATTTATTTTTATAGAGAAAAGAATAAGATGTCAGTTTTTTCACTGTTCTATTCCTGTTATCATGCATGTATTATGAACATCATTAAATAGTAATATATATTGTTATGACATAAATATCAGTGAATAATATCAGAATAAAAATGTTTTTTTGCACAGGCTAACAAGTGTAATAGATATTCTATGAACAACAGATTTTGACCGTTAGTAAAATTTTGAAATGGTGTTAAGAACATTATTAGCAAATTGTTCATTTTGAGTGACATTCTACTTGGAACATTTTAATTATATGTGAATGTTTACATGATTGCCACCACAGGAATGGAATAATCCATATCATAATCCATATCATGATCCTTAACTATTAAAAGAGTTTGTGGATAATTCTGTTTCTACACACGTTTGCCATAATTACTGTTTCAAATGGAATGCATAAAAATGGTTTCAAACTAGAACAGATCTGACTGACACAGACTATACATGTATCTCTGTAAAATCTGTTATTTTTATTCAGCATTATATCAGTTGATATTATCAGAAAAATTAGTCAGTTGTTTATCGTGATTAAGCAATCTAGGGGAGACAATTTAATTTCTTCATGAAAAGCAAAGATAAATATTATCTCCCCTACATAAATTGCTGAAGGATAAATTAATCTTTGATTTAGTCTTTACTTTTACATGATACAGTATTGCAAATTCATTACTCAGAACTGGTTAAATATATATTGAAGGAATAATGTGTTAAGCATTTTAGAATTTTGCATTTATTATCAAATATTTATTATTTTTGTTGTGATCTCAAAATGTGTTCACTGCCTATGTAATTGTGTATTTGTGACAATCATGTCAAGAATGGGTGTAAGTTTTTTGTCAATTTATTGGTTTGAGTTGTAAATTTATTTCTGGAAATTGTAAGAATGCCATTCCACAAAGATTTAAACTCTTAAATTGTGAAATAAATAGATTTACTTTTAAAAAAAATATACAAATATTGACTCCCAAATCTGTTTGTGATTTCTGTTTTAAATTCATGAATGAAAACTTTTTGCATGGATTATTGTTGAAGACTTGTCAACAGATTGAAAGACATTTTAGTAGAATACAGTGTGACTAACATGTGTGAATTGTATGACCATGGTTGTAATGATGATGTAGAAAATATGTAAAGCAAACTTACAAACCTATCAATGTTTATGTCTGTCCTTGAAATAAGATGACTTCAATTACCATATCTCTTCAATGATGAGTATAAAAATAAGAAGTATGATTCACAATGAGAAAACTATCTGCCAAGGACCATAGAACTGGGATTCTATGATAACTTTTATTAGTGCAAATACTGGTTGGGTTTTGTTGTTTTTAATTTTTTTTCAATTGCGTCTAACAATTCAGTAAAGTTATGTTTATTTTTTTAAAGAAAATGAACAAACCAAAAAGACATACACATTGATAGGTGAAGTTTGATTTCTGAGTGATTGTATGTTATATGTATATATTGTATAGTGTTAAATTTGTCTGTTGTTGATCACAATATCTTCTGTTTAAGGAGCAAATCAATTTACTGCGTTTTTATACATTTATGGTAAGGCCTTTATTTTATCTTTTTTTTTCAGTCTTTACATGTTCGTAGCTTTTACACTTTATAAGAAACTTGGTATGGTTGCTGCTGTACACTGAAAACTGGAACATGTGAAACATTCATCATATAATGTTGCACAGATAATTTGGAATTAAGCAATTTGATAAAAGCTATCTAAAGTCAGTGAAAAAACATTAGTCTCACGTACGTTTTATTTAAAATATTCAGTTTAACTTGTCATTTATAGATCTCTCTGAGAAGCCGCCTCCTTTTGGTATACTACTTCAAAGTCCAGTTTCTTCAAAATATATATATATTGGAAAAGCCTTTCACGAGAGAACAATTGTCTTAGATATTTTAAGGGATTGCTGTTTAAAAAAAAAGACCCAAGAAAATATGGTTTCACAAGAAAGATAATGAATGCTACATAATTCAAGAAGCAATTAAAAGTACAAGGGAGAAAATTGTTATCATTCTTCCATATGATGTTTGCTTTAATATTTAAAACAATAGAAATTATTTAATGAGGGAAGTGCAATCTTCTCTTTATATTGACTGTCTTAAGAAATGTTATTTTAACTTAATTTAGTGATCTGCTGCTTACACAGAAATGATATTCATGTGCTTTTAGTAAATGGCTGAACAAATTTTATTTTAGTCATGTTTTCTTTGTCTCATGAAAAAAAGATAAATCTGTATGTGAACATGAGCTGCATTCCATTTTTAAAATAGTGAGGTCAACAGGAAGAAAGTAAAGCCCTACTATTTAATTCTATTGTCTTCGTTTATACACAATCCGTATTTAGGCTAAGTTTAATGATTTATTGGATGTCAGGTACCAGCAATATTTGATATACCAAGCACCATTTTAATTAAATTATTTCATCGTAATTATTGGACCAGAAGGGTAATTTGCCTTTCAGTCAGACACCTAACACTTGTACTGTATTGTATTTTAACATTTGACTTCATATATTGAACATAGGTTTCACTTTTGTAAATTGAGTACACATAGAGGCTTCAAACAGAAACAACAGGTGTTATAAGCTTCCTGTACTAGGTTTCACTTTTGTAAATTGAGTACACATAAAGGCTTCAAACAGAAACAACAGGTGTTATAAGCTTCTGGTACTAGGTTTCACTTTTGTAAATTGAGTGCACATAGAGGCTTCAAACAGAAACAACAGGTGTTATAAGCTTCTGATACTAGGTTTCACTTTTGTAAATTGAGTACACATAGAGGCTTCAAACAGAAACAACAGGTGTTATAAGCTTCTGGTACTAGGTTTCACTTTTGTAAATTGAGTACACATAGAGGCTTCAAACAGAAACAACAGGTGTTATAGGCTTCCTGTACTAGGTTTCACTTTTGTAAATTGAGTACACATAGAGGCTTCAAACAGAAACAACAGGTGTTATAAGCTTCTGGTACTAGGTTTCACTTTTGTAAATTGAGTACACATAGAGGCTTCAAACAGAAACAACAGGTGTTATAGGCTTCCTGTACTAGGTTTCACTTTTGTAAATTGAGTACACATAGAGGCTTCAAACAGAAACAACAGGTGTTATAGGCATCATGTACTAGGTTTCACTTTTGTAAATTGAGTAAACATGAGGCTTCAAACAGAAACAACAGGTGTTATAGGCTTCCTGTACTAGGTTTCACTTTTGTAAATTGAGTAAACATGAGGCTTCAAACAGAAACAACAGGTGTTATAGGCTTCCTGTACGCTTAAAAATGGAATCAAATTTTACAAAAAGAACATTTTTATGTGAAAAATGTTACTGAAAATGTAACTTTTTTGTTTACTTCTGAGGAAATTACATATCTGTCAGTTCCAGAATTCTAAATTGCAGTTTCCCTTAGTTACAAGCAGAAAGTTTGTTATCCAGTCAGGTCTAAAGTGCATTAGAATTTATTGTGCTCTGAATGTACTTTGTGGTAACACTCTGATAATGCTTTAGCTCCTAAACCCTCAAAAACTACTTTCAGGAGCTGGTTAATGTTCAATTGTTTATTAAAACTGTCGTGGACTTATCCTAAAGCATATTTAAGTAGCTACTCTGTTTTAAACACTTGAGCCTCATATCACACACAACAAACAATGCTGAAAACTCAAAACTTAATAAAATGCTTCACTGGGCGCAGCTTGATACGACCGCAGAGGTCGAACCCTGAACAGTTGGGGCAAGTATGGACACAACATTCAAGCTTGATACAGCTCTGAATTTGGATTGTGATTAAATATTTGACACAGCATAGATTTCTGACACATAAAGAATGTGGTCTAAGAACTTGATTTTTTTCTAATTTACCTATTATGGTCCAATGTCCAAAATCAAAATACATGGTTAGATTCAGCATATCAAAGAACCCCATATATTCAATTTTTGTTGAAATCAAACAAAGTTTAATTTTGGACCCCAACTTGGACAAACTTGAAAACTGGGCACTTATTCAAAAATCTAAACACATGTTTAGATTCAGCATATCAAAGAACCCCGAGAATTCATTTTTTGTTAAAATCAAACTAAGTTTAATTTTGGACCCTTTGGACCTTAATGTAGACCAATTTAAAAAACAGGACCCAAAATTAAAAATCTAAATACACGGTTAGATTTGGAATATCAAAGAACCCCAATAATTCAATTTTTGATGAAATCAAACAAAGTTTAATTTTGGACCCTTTTGACCTCAATATGAACCAATTTGATAGCGGGGCCCACAAATAAAAAATCTAAATACATGGTTAGATTCAGCATATCAAAGAACCCCATATATTCAATTTTTGTTGAAATCAAACAAAGTTTAATTTTGGACCCCAACTTGGACCAACTTGAAAACTGGGCCCATAATCAAAAATCTAAACACATGTTTAGATTCAGCATATCAAAGAACCCCAAGAATTCAATTTTTGTTAAAATCAAACTAAGTTTAATTTTGGACCCTTTGGGCCTTAATGTAGACCAATTTAAAAAACAGGACCCAAAATTAAAAATAAAAAAACACGGTTATATTTGGCATATCAAAGAACCCCAATAATTCAATTTTTGATGAAATCAAACAAAGTTTAATTTTGGACCCTTTTGACCTCAATATGAACCAATACGATAGCAGGCCCACAAATAAAAAATCTAAATACATGGTTAGATTCAGCATATCAAAGAACCCCATATATTCAATTTTTGTTGAAATCAAACAATGTTTAATTTTGGACCCCAATTTGGACCAACTTGAAAACTGGGCCAAAAATCTAAAATCTAAATACATGTTTAGATTCATCATATCAAAGAACCCCATATATTCAATTTTTGTTGAAATCAAACAAAGTTTAATTTTGGACCCCAACTTGGACCAACTTGAAAACTGGGCCCATAATCAAAAATCTAAACACATGTTTAGATTCAGCATATCAAAAAACCCCAAGAATTCAATTTTTGTTAAAATCAAACTAAGTTTAATTTTGGACCCTTTGGGCCTTAATGTAGACCAATTTAAAAATCAGGACCCAAAATTAAAAATCTAAATACACGGTTAGATTTGGCATATCAAAGAACCCCAATAATTCAATTTTTGATGAAATCAAACGAAGTTTAATTTTGGACCCTTTTGACCTCAATATGAACCAATTTGACAGCGGGGTCCACAAATAAAAAATCTAAATACATGGTTAGATTCAGCATATCAAAGAACCCCATATATTCAATTTTTGTTGAAATCAAACAAAGTTTAATTTTGGACCCCAATTTGGACCAACTTGAAAACTGGGCCAAAAATCAAAATCTAAATATATGTTTAGATTCAGCATATCAAAGAACCCCATATATTCAATTTTTGTTAAAATCAAACAAAGTTTAATTATGGACCTTTTGGACCTTAATATAGACCAATTTGAAAACTGGACCCAAAATTAAAAATCTAAATACACGGTTAGATTCGGCATAACAAATAAATAAATGTGGTCAAAGATTTTACAAATCTAATGCGCCATGCTGTGCAATTAAAGATTACTTCTTGAAATTTGAAAAAAAAATAATATTTGAAGAATAATTCTTTTTAATTTCTGAAATCTGAAATGAGAAAAAATGACCCCCCACAATTTCTTTTTACCCCCCCCCCCCCCCCCCCCCCCCCTTTTTTTCCCCAAAAAATTCTTTCCCTCAAGATATGGTCATAATCTCAATTCAAATTTCCAATGGAGTTTGCAACCATAATTACCCATTTAAATTTACCATAGTGCTAACTTAATCTATTTTATAATAGAATTTAAAATATAGTGTCAAATCTTTCATATGGATTTTTTTGTAAAAAAAAAAGATGCAACATTTGGAGATATTTTTACTGGTCTTCCTTTATAAATATGCATTTCTTTAAACATAATTTAAAAGCAGTGTAAGGGAAGTAAACAAAACGTTGTATTTGGATTACCTCCCTTACACTGTTTTAAATTATCTTAATTGTTCATTAACCATTACTTTATACATAATTTAAAAGCAGTGTAAGGGAGATAATTTCAATGATGTATTTGATTTATCTCCCTTACACTGCTTTAAATTATGTTTTGTACTAAAGTATTTGTCCATTAACCAGGACAACCTTGTTTTTCCCCCTTTTTTACCCCTAATTCCTAAATGGTTTGAGCCATAACCCCCCAAAGCAAATCCTAACCATCCCTTTGTGGTATGGAAACTTGTAGTATAATTTCAGAGAGATCCATACACCGTTCCACAGTTATTGTCTGGAAACTAGAAAATGCTTATTTTTGGCCCCTAATTCCTTAACTGTTGGTACCATAACCCCCAAAATCAATCCCCACCTTCCTTTTGTGGTATTGAACCTTGTGGTAAAATTTCAAAGAGATCCATTCACTTAAACTAAAGTTAGAGTGCGAAAACCAATGTGTCTTCGGACGACGACGCCAACGTCATACCAATATACGACCGCAAAAATTTTTTGCAGTCGTATAAAAAGATCAGGCAAACATGGATTGTTATATATTGATACATTACTGAAACTGTTAAAATGTTATTTACAAGTCCAAACAGCATTGATACTTGCCCATAAGATGGCAAGAATATAACCATTTCTTAGGCACCAAAACAACTGAAACCACTTGAAAACTAGAGTTTTTTTAATTTGAAAATGTAATAGATATTATATGCATTCTTGTTATATCCATGCTTATGAAAAAATTCCGACTTTCCTAATATATGCCTTGCAATCGCCACAATATGCACTGATATACATTGTTTTCATAGGACCCAATAGCACAACGTGTTAATAGCTTCCAAATCTATTAAACTTAGATGTCCACACCTACTCTATCATTCATTTGGTTATTTTCATGTCTTGTTTTAATTAAGATTTTGGATATGATATACATTTTAAAAAATTTTATGACGGATAAAACAAGAATATCGTTGTCCAATGGATACCTAGCTCTGCTAACAAAATGAAGAAACCAGTGACAACAAATTTGTACAAGATTTACTCATTATCAGACACCAAATGGATTATTGTCTCACCTGTAATGAATGCTGCAGTAAGCAAGACATATGGATTCAAATCCTGTGCCTGCATAAACCATTTGATTAAAGCTTTATATTTCAGAAGTTGAAAACCTGGATACTTCAGATATTTTGTATAAAGATGCCAAATGTTCTGAAATTTCCATTTTTCATATGTCTATTGTCCTTAACCTCATTTTTAAAAAGATTGGGATTATTGTTCTAATTCTTTCAGTAACTAGATTAGCTACTAAGTCTAGCTAGCTATACACACTGAAATTTAGTTCCCCAAAATAATTCTCATGTCTGTGAAGATATGCAGATTTTAACCATGAAAAATTTTATTATATCTTTAGAGCATTTCATTCAAGTAAGTCTTTTGTTTTCTCAGTTGTTTTCTTGCTTGTTTCTGAAGCCTGCGACAAAAGGTGTAGAATGTGAGACTTAGTTATCCAGCAGCAGCGATGGTGTAAACTACATGTATAAAGCTTTATATTTCAGAAGGTAAAAGACAGATGAAACATAACTTGTATGATGCAAATGCCTTATGTTACAAAGTTTCTATCTGTCATAAAATTATGTCCACTGACACTTATGAGTAATAAGATAACAATATTTGGTCTACATGTCCATCATACAATGTTCACCTGACCTCAACCTTATTTCATTAATCAGTGATCAAGGTTTAGTTTTCGTTATCAATTCTGCATCTCAGACACTGTGTGCAATAGGTCAACTATATTTGGTGTATGGAATGATTATAAAGTTGATATTAATGTATATTCCAACAAGATACTTACTGATATACCTTAAAAGTATATAAAAAGAATAAAGCACTATGAGCAAAACTTATGAATGTCTCACCTCGCAAGTACATGTATAAAAATATCAAATGTTCTTGTTTTATTTATTTATTAAGTAAAAATTCATCTCAATAATTTAACACAATGTGGTTTTTTATTCAACTTGTTAGGTACCTGTCCTCATAATTTAACACAACACTTAATATTAAATCCTTCTTAATCTTACAATTTGAAAAATGAAAATGACAATAATACTTGAACATGTCTTTTTTTGTAATGAAATTGATATTAAAAAAAGAAACACCACGGAATATGTAATAAGATTAATATTCCCAACAGTGCCATTATATATAGTTCTCCATTGATTGCGATCTGGTTATATTCGAAAAAAATTTAGGATCTTTTCTTTTCAGCGGTAGGATACTGGTACATAGAATCATCAGACAACATGATATAAATATATTGTTTTTTTGTTGACAAGTATTTGGATTAGGGAATACAGAAAGAATTAAGGAACAAACATGTCTATCATATGTTTACATATATTCTACTATCTCTCTCTTTATAAATACATTAACATTAAAAACAGCACTTGTCATATCAATTTACCCTTCTTAGCAGCACTTGTTTGACCTAGTTTCTACCAATTTATGACTGTCCATAACTACAATTCACTAATTAATTAATCATAATCTATTACAATAAAATGTAAAAATATTTTATTTTTTTTAACTTACTTTATACAAGACAAAATATCTTAAATTTTTAGTATACACATTTGTTTTGGTCTGTGTTCAACAAAACGGCATATGATTCCCAATCAAAAACTTTGTATTAAGACCTAGCAGGGGCGGATCCAGCCATTTATAAAAGGGGGGTTCCTAACCCAGGATAAAGGGGGGGGGTTCCAACTATATGTCCCCATTCAAATGCATTGATCGTCCAAAAAAAAGGGGGGTTCCAACCCCCCGGAACCCCCCCCCCCCCCCCTGGATCCTCCACTGCCTAGCATGTATGACTTATGAAATACAGGCCAGAATAACAGCTTTTAATCAGATTTTTTTACTTGGAATCTTAGTTGTCTACAGAATCAGGTTTTAGATGAATACATGTCTTAATTTACCATTCAAATGCTCAGAGATTAAAAACAATTTTTATCAAGTAATCTTTGGACTGTGGGTCTGGAGGATTCCCTATTTTTACTGTTTTTGATCCTTTAAATTTATTGGAAAGTAAAAAAAAATGAAATAAAATCATGGTAAAAAAACATGTATATCACAAAATGATCTACGAAAAAAAGTTGTGTATGTTAAAATTTGGAATTTAAGGAAAATGAGCATTTCAGTTTCTATGCATTCTGTCGAAAAGATGCTTTTACTATAAATTCAGAAATTATTGTGCACATTTATTATTTCTATTTTAGAAGAATGGACAAAACTGCGAGATTAATTATTGTGATTTCAGAAAAATATCAATACATATATTTGTATCGGATGTCAAATTGCTTCTTATTGCGATACTCACCCCGTCGCATTATACACATTAATAAACGCCTCACAATAATTTCTGAATTTACAGTAACTCTTAACTGGTATCAAAATAAGGAAATGTAGTTTTACTTCCAATGAGACAACTATCCATCAGAGTCTAAATGATGCAAACAACTGTAGGGGCAATGTATGGTCTTCAAAAATGAGCAGCATTTATTTCAAACAGCAATGAAGAGATCAGCATTAATAAAAAAAATAACGCGTGTATTTGGTGGTATTGGAACAATTAATTATGGCAAAAAGTCTTCATAAATGATTATCTTAAGCATGAATATTATAAAAACACAAATTTCTGTTTTAGTGAAATACTTCTTTTTTACACATTTAGATGATTGAAACAGCAGATTATTAAACAAGAGACAATAGAAATGGAAACAGTCCTCAAAAATGATTATAAACAATATGTTATGAAAACACAAAATTACATTTTGATGTTTCCCTTTTTGACACATTAAGAAGTCAGGCTGACAATGATTTGAAATTAAGTTCACTATAACCTTGTAATTGGGTAGCAGTACAATAAAATCAGGTAACAGTACAATTTGGTCTGCTCGTTGAAGTCAATATAAATTTTATCCTGTTTATGTACACTTCAGTACTAACACGAGCAGCAGAATTTCGTTTGTTCACAGTTTCATCCTACTTTTTTCATGAGTGAAAGACATGTAGATTGTTGCCTTGGAGATTAATTTTATTTCTACTGCCGTCAAAATATATTTGTTCCATAACCAAAGGTCTGCTTGATTCTATTCCAGTAATTAATTATCCATCCTTCCTTTGTCCTTTCAAATTCACTTTCAGGCACACCCGTTTGTGTCAACCTTAGTTCTGTTACACCTTCTTTTTCTTCAAAATCAAATGTCACTTCTGAATAATGGGCATCTGGCCAAGATTTAACTCGCCATCGCTGAACTATTTTCTTCCCAGGTACCTGATAATAAACAATAAGACTGTTGACACAGAGATATGAGTTGTTTATGTAAATGCAAACTAAATAGTTTCAAAATCATTGGGCTATTACTGAGGGGTCAGGCCAAGAATCTTAATAGAAATGAGATGTGCAAATAGTAGTGCAGTAGACTCCACCAAATTGGATATCATCTAAACTAATATATCAGCTATTGTAATATTATTTCAAATCACCAAACCCTTCCCTTTATGTGTAATGTTAATTTTATCGTGTAATCGAATATCAGATATAAGAATATATTGGCAAATAGATAGGAAAATTTGTTAAAACCATGCACAATCAGATATTTTCAATATTTTTCTGACAGGAAATGGACCTGGAAGTTACGCAATTACAATCTCTCAGAGAAGAAAATTTTTTTACTTAATAAAAGAAACTATTTCTTAATAAATTGTTGTCTGTATTCATTGTCTTCCTTTGTAATGTGAATTAGATGCCTCTACAATTCAAATGGTTTGAATTTATTTATAAAATATACAAGAGCAGTACGTTAAAACTCCTTAAGTGGTCACAGAATCGGAAATATATTTTAAACTGAATGTACCTCCTTCTGCCAGAATAATTTATTGCAATATACATATAAATCCCTTTTGTCAGATTTAATTATGTAACATGTGCATGATCACATGTCATGGACAACATTTTCTTTAGTTTACGTAATGTGAAGAAGCCTCGAGAACCATGGCCTAAACATTAACAGAATCTTCAGAAAACTTAAACTTGATGCAATAATATCTTATCAATCATGATCATCTTCATTGATAATCAAATGCATTTGATTAATTCAAGAAATTTCAGTTAACAGACTGTACACCGGACATGCTGTATCTATTTATAGCCCAATTAGGTTACCTATGATTTCACCACACACAAATGTAAATATGGATATTACTTCGTTTATAAAACAAATAAAGACACAAACTATGGATTGTAGATATGAATATTTCAGGACATTTGATTTATTTTAATAAACAAAGGATTTAAAAACTGAAAACAAATATGAGCATTACATAACCAGCTGATCATTTTTACAGTTAACATTGCATTGATGTATCTTAAAAATAAAATGCTTCGCTGGGCGCAGCTTGATACGACCGTAGAGGTCGAACCCTGAACAGTTGGGACAAGTATGGACACAACATTCAAGCTTGATACAGCACTGAATTTGGATTGTGATTAAATATTTGACACAGCACAGGTTTCTGACACAGAATGAATGTGGTCTAAGAACTTAAAATTTTTTAATATACCTATTCAAACCATATCATTATTATTTGCTTTTATATATAAATCAGAAATAAACAATTTAAAATGGAAAATTTTAAAGAAACCCCCCCCCCCCCCCCAAATTTTTTGAACCCCCTTACGATTCATCACCCCCAAACTCAATCCCAGCCTTCCCTTTGTGGTATGGTACCTGCAGTACAATTTCGGAGAGATCCATACACTTGAACACAAGTTATTGTCTGGAAACTAGAAATATGCTTATTTTTGGCCCCTTTTTGGCCCCTTATTCCTAAACGTTTTGGGCATTTACCCCAAAACTCAATCCCAGCATTCCCTGTGTGATATGGAACCTTGTGGTACAATGTCAGAGAGATCCATACACTAACACACAAGTTATGTCTGGAAGTTACAAAAATGCTTATTTTTGGCCCCTAATTCCTTAACTGTTGGTACCATAACCCCCAAAATCAATCCCAACCTTCCTTTTGTGGTATTGAACCTTATGGTAAAATTTCATAGAGATCCATTCACTTAAACTAAAGTTAGAGTGCGAAAACCAATGTGTCTTCAGACGACGCCGACGCCAACATCATACCAATATAAGACCGCATTTTTTTGCGGTCGTATAAAAATCATTCCAACCCTTTTAAACATATACATGATACAGCAGTGGTCAGGGCTAGTAACATCTGAGGATTAGGTAAAATTATCATTGCAGAATATATTCAATGAATATACATTTATTTTATCGTCTAATTGAATATATCGGGTAATGGGCTATTTTTTGCTGACATTTTAAGTATCCAATTTGCCGTAGTCTACTATACAACTGTCTTCCAAATATCAAATTTTCATTAGTGGTACCCCTTAAACTGACTTAATCACAAACTTTAACATGGGTGACACTGACATCACTGATGCCTGAAACAGCATGCCTAAGTCATACCTCCAAGTATTTCTACAATTTTTTCTCTCTCCTTAAAGAAATACCACTTGCTGAACTGCAAAACTTACCAGATCAACAAATTCTCCAGTAACATTGCCATGCATTAAGGAGAACCTTCCTCCTTTTTCTACTTCCATGTCCACAGGTCCTCCAGTAAATGCTTGCACCATCTGAAAAAAAAAAACAATTAAAAATAAACCTAAGATAGAAAAGTAAGAGCTGTAGATTCCACAAACTACAATTGCTCACTAATGATACTCCTGCAATAGATATTAGGATAACAGGAAGCTGATGAGCTATGAATGCGAAACCCATTACACAATAGAGAGTGGTCTCGTTAAACTTGATACCAAATTTCAGGAAGCCATAGTTCCCGAGAAAAATGCAACAAAAGTTTTATGCATGGCCATAATGTTAAAGAATATTCAAGTATTTAATAAACAGGAAGCTGATTAGCAATGACTGAAAATACATCATACTGTTAATCATACTCACATAAAACTTGCTACCAATTTTCGAGAAGATCTCTTTTATAGTTCCCATGAAAAATGTGACAGAAATTTTATGAGATGACAGAATGGACATAGGTCAAGTGGCAGGGTGTGATACTTCCACAGTATATCAGACCTAAACAATTTTTTTTTTTTCATTTTTTTTTTTCTGTGAAGTTTCCTGAAGACAAAATCTCCCCTTATTATTTAAATATTTGACATGGCAGATTTTTCTCATTATTGAGGACTTGTAGTGATTTAGATGTTGAGCATCGTGCTATATTGATCTTTCACATAAAAATATACTCTGTATTTTATTTAATGATTTGTTTTGAACGTCTATACAACATCCCATCTTTAATTGGTCAACAACTATATTTTTGATGCAACAATCCTTCACTTACTCCTTTATCAGTTAAAGATCTGTATAAATCCTGTGCTGAACACATAAATTCCTGTTTACCAGTTAATTTCTTTGTATGAATTTTTACTCCAACTTTACTTCCTTTATTTGGTGACGTAACTACAAGTTTATTTAATTCTTCTCTGGCTTTATTCTAAAAATAAAATTCACAGAAAATTTGTAAAGTGTACACATCTACCTGGATCAAGCATATTATATTCAACCTTGAAATACATGAAACTGAAAATACATTAGTACCACCAAGGATCCGGAAATTTTTCCAGACAATTTCGGTCATTTTGAGATGTTTGAAAAGTTGGTGCCCCTTTTCAAATTGTCGATATCAACTTGACTATATTCATAGCAACAACGAACATGACGAACTTGTATTGCTGTTTCATCGCATTTACTAAGTAAATGTCTTACCATTACCATGAAGGACAGTTTAGGGAATGCAACAGTCTAAAATTGAAATGATTTTAATGACTCAAAATGGTTAATTTCTCAGACATTGCTTACGTTTCTTTCGATTTGACAAAAGTTAAAACCGGAAGTTTGCGATATTTTAAAGTACGAATAATTCCGGATTCATTTTCAGGATTTGTTTTGTTTATCAAATTGACAGGAAATCACCGGCTTTTTATGGCTTTTTTATTTTATTACCTTTAAAAATGTTTGAATATAACAGATAATAGTTGCACTCGTTTAATTTAGCATGAAATCAATTTACATTTAAATGATTTTACGATTAAATATTAAATTTGCTGAAGACAATTTCAGGCATGCGTATTACATAGTAAATAAAGCACATGTGTTACTCATGAAAAAATACTTTTTTCTTCGTAAATTTAGATTTAATTTTTAAATCAGAATTGATGACTGTCTTTGATGAAAAGTAAATAAATAATGAATACACTTGTCAGGGAACTTTAATGTTTTAAAGATATTATTCTGAGCTTGTGATCACTGTCAGGTGTGAATTAAAACCACAGGTAAAAAGTGATTAGCGATCATTAGCCAATGTTTCCCGGAGGCATTGATATAGATATTAGGAGGGCCCTCAGGATTATCAAACTACTGTAGTGGCAGTTTTATTACAGGAAAGGGATTATAAACAAAAACAAGTGATCACAAGTGCAAAATGGCGATTAAGAAATCCGATTTCAAACATTGAGTCAATGAAATGACCTAAATTACTTCTGTAAAAAATAAAATTTGTCCTAAATCCCAATTACTCGTTTAGGACAAATAGTTTCATCTTAGGACATGACTGGCAAATATGACCGTTTCCGGACCCTTGAGTACCACTAAAAATCATAAATTCAGAGTGAAATTTTCAAGAAAATTCAGCACTCATTTAACATTATTAAATTATTGGATATCTGACCTATTCTATTGCAACTGCTGTTAGTCCAACTGCAGGATTTAGGCTTATGGTTAAATATTAAAATAAAATGCTCCGCTGGGGCGCAGCTTGATACGACCGCAGAGGTCAAACCCTGAACAGTTGGGGCAAGTATGGACACAACATTCAAGTTTGATACAGCACTGAATTTGGATTGTAATTAAATATTTGACACAGCATAGGTTTCTGACACAGAATGAAAGTGGTCTAAGAACTTATAATTTTTTAATTTACCTATTCATACATGTGATGGACTGTGAAACTCAGATCAGGAGATTGGGAAATTTTGGTCAGGAGATTAGGACTCAGATCAGGAGGTTTTTAATCGACATAAATTTTGTCGTAAATGTAACCGTGTGCTGTAAAAATGGTCTTTTAAAGTGTGTTTTCTGCAACTTTCCATCCAATTTATTATGTTTATAGTACCCTTGTACTTATAAAGTTTCTCCATCTTTATATTTTACATGTTCAATCTAACATTTTTTTTTTTCAGTATGTTCTTTAAATTTTTTACTACATATTCTATAAAACATTTATTGCAACCAGAACATTTGTTTAACTATCTGCAAATAGCTTTTGTTTGCATACTCAGAAAATCATTCTAACTGTAAAACATGGGTCATAGTTATTATATAAATTTCAATTTAAGCCTTGAAAGGAAGTATAGAAACCTCAAATAATTTTCAAATTATTATTTTTTTATTTGTCCTAAGACATTTAAAATCATTTATTTACCATCCTTTTATGATTATTTGTTCAATTTATATTTTATTTATATTCTTTTAAAAATTTTCATTATTAAGAGGAAAGTAACTTAAAACAGGATAAATCAAGGGAAGTAACCCAATAAATACACAGTTTTTGTTACACAACGGCAGTTAGCCTGAGGTAAAAAATCATTGATTACCAGTATGTTTGACACCCAAGCTGACAAGTGAAGCCATATAATTATGCATGTTAATTGATTTACAGGTAAAATATAACTTCAGGTAATGTGAGTTACACCAGATGCCTGAGATGATATGTTGGGCAGAAATTTTTCATTCATGAAAAATTTCATACACGGGATTATAATTTTCCTCTTCAACCGGAGGTCGGGAGGAGACTCCTGAAAACAGGATTATTGTACTCCTGTCGGGAGGTTCACATGTATGCTATTCAAACCATATCATTATTATTTGCTTTTATATATAAATCAGAAATAACCAATTTAAAATGGAAAATTTTAAAGAAAAAAAAGGAAAAAAAAATCCCCCCCCCCAAATTTTTTGAACCCCCTTATGATTCATCGCCCCCACACTCAATCCCAGCTTTCCCTTTGTGGTATGGTACCTTGCAGTACAATTTTAGAGAGATCCATTCACTTGAACACAAGTTATTGTCTGGAAACTAGAAAAATGCTTGTTTTTTTGTCCCTTTTTGGCCCCTAATTCCTAAACGTTTAGGGCAATTACCCCCAAACTCCAACCCAGCTTTCCCTTTGTGATATGGAACCTTGCAGTACAATTTCATAAAGATCCATACACTTACAAACAAGTTATTGTCCTGAAACTAGAAAAATGCTTGTTTTTTGCCCCTTTTTGGCCCCTAATTCCCAAAATTTGGAGGAAATTACCCCCAAAAATCAATCCCAGTATTCCCTTTGTGATATGGAACCTTGTGATACAATGTCAGAGAGATCCATACACTTACACACAAGTTATTGTCATGAAACTAGAAAAATGCTTGTTTTTTGCCCCTTTTTGGCCCCTAATTCCTAAAATTTGGAGGCAATTACCCCCAAAATCAATCCCAGCATTCCCTTTGTGATATGGAACCTTGTGGTACAATGTCAGAGAGATCCATATACTTACACACAAGTTATGTCTGGAAGTTACAAAAATGCTTATTTTTGGCCCCTTTTTGGCCCCTAATTCCTTAACTGTTAGTACCATAACCCCCAAAATCAATCCCCACCTTCCTTTTGTGGTATTGAACCTTATGGTAAAATTTCATTGAGATCCATTCACTTAAACTAAAGTTAGAGTGCGAAAACTAATGTGTTTTCGGACGACGACGACGACGACGACGACGACGACGACGACGCCAACGTCATACCAATATACGACCACAAAAATTTTTTTGCGGTCGTATAAAAACAGACTAAATAATATTATGATTCATTTTAGCAGGTCCAGATTACTTCTATGGATTTAACGACGAGAACATGACTTTTTCATAACAATAGAGTGGCAATGTTATTTTACAATACCAAATACATATTGAGAACTATCATTACAGACAACATGCTGCCATCCCTTATTTCAGTTGTTATAAAAATTCATTATTATTTGTTGGGTACCAATTTTCATGGATTTCGTTGGAAGAGGCAAACCACAAATTTAATAAATGTTCAACAAAGTATGAATTTCCTATATTTACATGAAAACATTTTTTTAAAGGATTGTATGGAAACTTTACAAATCCATGAAATCAAAGTTTCCACGAAAATATGATTTTGTTTCAATCCATAAAATTTGGTACCCATGAAAAATAACTGAATCCACAGTACAGTAGTTCCTAACCTAACATGGATTCATTAATCAACATTTGTACCAAAGTATAAACCATAACTGAATCATATACACTTCATATACATACTGTAGAATTAGTCAACTTTTTAGCATCAGGCTGCTGTCCATTTTTTGTTGGCAAAATAGCTCCTTTACCATATTCTGAAATAATGCAATCTCATTAGTTTTTCCACAGACTAACATACTCCTACAGGACATTATTCTTCAGATTAAATACAAAACAAATTCTGTAATATTACAGTATACAATGTAATCGTAAGTAATCAAAAGTAATCATGATTACTTGAAAGATGAAAGAAGAATGTGTCTGTGGACACGAATGCCCCGGCTCAAATGGGAAGGACGGAAAGACGGTAGGTCAAGGGTAACACTTAATGCCCCCCGTCGTCTACGTAGGGGGCATAAAAAAATTGCAGATAAATTCTGTACTTTATATTCAAACTTTCTTAGAAGATGATGTCAGTTCATTCCACAAGTTTGCATCTTAATATGGACATTGATATCTTAAAATAGTATACATATATTATTTGCACACATCAATGGTGAATAATGTCAAATGAATAAAGTCTTCTATGTTACTGGCAATATCTTAAAATCATGTTTTCAAGGTACGAATCTTAAATACATACCTTGTTTCAAATCAGAAATATATTTTGCAAGTTTATCTTGAATTTCTTTGGTGCCTTTCTTTCTCAAGAATTCTTTTACTTTATAACTTTCATCAGTCTGGGTGTTGCAGGAAAATTCAACCTAGAAATAATAATTTCAAAAAAACTCTTAAATCTCCTATTTACATAAATATGTATTCTACAGTCAAGGGTACAACTTATGATACTTGAAGATGTTAACAATATTTATTTGTTCAAGTCAATTTGTCAGATTTAAATTGTCTTTTCATTTTTTGATTAATCTCTTATGTAATTTTTTTACAATGACTGAAATTATCAAAAACTTGAACAAGTAAAATCCTTTACTGTTCAAGGGCAATATGATAAAATATTAGTTTCTCAGTCCTATTGAGACAGGGAGCCATCTTCAAAATAAAAAATAAATAAACTAACAGGCATGACACGACATCAACAGGTGGCATTGGTTGGACTTATGACATTCATTAAAATTAGAATTCAACTTGAATTGCCTTTGGCAGCAATTTTATGGGGTTTTTTTTGTATAGACTTCATAAAATAACATAAATATAGAGAATAATATCATTAAACAATTATTTTCCTGGCTAATTCCTCCATAAAATAAATAAAAACTTAATAACACAAGAGTGCACACACTGAAATGTCTCGCCTTCTTTACTAAACATTGATATTATGTTGATAGTCCTAAATGAAAGCTTTACTACAACTATTACATAAACTTAACATGATCCAAGAAAATTAAGTCAAGGTCATATAAACCAAACGAGAAATACATGTACACCTTACAATCATTCAATACACTAAATATAGTTGACCTATTGCTTATAGTTTCTAAGAAACAGACTTAACCAAGAAAACTGAACATTGACCAATGAATCATGAAAATGAGGTCAAGGTCAGATGAACCATGCCAGGCAGACATGAACAGCTTACAATCCTTCCATACAACAAATATAGCTGACATATTGCTTACAGTTTAAGAAAAACAGACTGAAACACATAAACTTAACACTGAGCAATGAACCGTGAAAATGAGGTCAAGGTCAAATAAAACCGGCGAGACTGACATGTACATCATAGAATATTTCCATACACCAAATATAGTTGACTTATTGCATACAGTATAAGAAAAAAGACCAAAAACTTAACTTTGACCACTGAACCATGAAAATGAGGTCAAAGTCAGATGACACCTGCCAGTTGGACATGTACACCTTACAATCATTCCATACACCAAATATAGTAGACCTATTGCATAAAGTATAAGAAAAACGGACCAAAACACAAAAACTTAACTATAACCACTGAACCATGAAAATGAGGTCAAGGTCAGATGACACCTGCCAGCTAGACATGTACACCTTACAATCATTCCATACACCAAATATAGTAGACCTATTGCATACAGTATAAGAAAAACAGACCAAAACACAATAAAATGCTTCGCTGGGCGCAGCTTGATACGACCGCAGAGGTCAAACCCTGAACAGTTGGGGCAAGTATGGACACAACGTTCAAGCTTGATACAGCTCTGAATTTGGATTGTGATTAAATATTTGACACAGCATAGGTTTCTGACACAGAAAGAATGTGGTCTAAGAACTTGAATTTTTTTGATTTACCTATTATGGTCCAATGTCCAAAATCAAAATACATGGTTAGATTCAGCATATCAAAGAACCCCATATATTCAATTTTTGTTGAAATCAAACAAAGTTTAATTTTGGACCCCAACTTGGACAAACTTGAAAACTGGGCCCATAATCAAAAATCTAAACACATGTTTAGATTCAGCATATCAAAGAACCCCAAGAATTCAATTTTTGTTAAAATCAAACTAAGTTTAATTTTGGACCCTTTGGACCTTAATGTAGACCAATTTAAAAAACTGGACCCAAAATTAAAAATCTAAATACACGGTTAGATTTGGCATATCAAAGAACCCCAATAATTCAATTTTTGATGAAATCAAACGAAGTTTAATTTTGGACCCTTTTGACCTCAATATGAACCAATTTGATAGCGGGGTCCACAAATAAAAAATCTAAATACATGGTTAGATTCAGCATATCAAAGAACCCCATATATTCAATTTTTGTTGAAATAAAACAAAGTTTAATTTTGGACCCCAATTTGGACCAACTTGAAAACTGGGCCAAAAATCAAAAATCTAAATACATGTTTAGATTCAGCATATCAAAGAACCCCATAAATTCAATTTTTGTTAAAATCAAACAAAGTTTAATTTTGGACCCTTTGGACCTAAATGTAGACCAATTTGAAAACTGGACCCAAAATTAAAAATCTAAATACACGGTTAGATTCGGCATAACAAATAAATAAATGTGGTCAAAGATTTTTAAAATCTAATGCGCCATACTGTGCAATTAAAGATTACTTCTTGAAATTTTTCAATATTTGAAATTTGAAAAAAAAAATAATATTTGAAGAATAATTCTTTTTAATTTCTGAAATCTGAAATGAGAAAAAATTGACCCCCCCCAATTTCTTTTTACCCCCCCCCCCCCTTTTTTCCCCAAAAAAATTCTTTCCCTCAAGATATGGTCATAATCTCAATCAAATTTCCAATGGAGTTTGCAACCATAATTACCCATTTAAATTTACCATAGTGCTAACTTAATCTATTTTATAATAGAATTTAAAATATAGTGTCAAATCTTCCATATGGATTTTTTTGTAAAAAAAAAAGATGCAACATTTGCAGATATTTTTACTGGTCTTCCTTTATAAATATGCATTTCTTTAAACATTATTTAAAAGCAGTGTAAGGGAGATAATTTCAATGATGTATTTGATTTATCTCCCTTACACTGCTTTAAATTATGTTTTGAACTAAAGTATTTGTCCATTAACCAGGACAACCTTGTTTTTCCCCCTTTTTTGCCCCTAATTCCTAAACGGTTTGAGCCATAACCCCCCAAAGCAAATCCTGACCATCCCTTTGTGGTATGGAAACTTGTAGTATAATTTCAGAGAGATCCATACACCGTTCCACAGTTATTGTCTGGAAACTAGAAAATGCTTATTTTTGGCCCCTTTGTGGCCCCTTATTCCTTAACTGTTGGAACCATGACCCCCAAAATCAATCCCCACCTTCCTTTTGTGGTATTGAACCTTATGGTAAAATTTCAAAGAGATCCATTCACTTAAACTAAAGTTAGAGTGCGAAAACCAATGTGTCTTCGGACGACGACGCCAACGTCATACCATAATACGACCGCAAAATTTTTATTTCTATAACCACTGAACCATGAAAATGAGGTCAAGGACATTGGACATGTGACTGACGGAAACTTCGTAACATGAGGCATCCATATACAAAGTATGAAGCATCCAGGTCTTCCACCTTCTAAAATATAAAGCTTTTAAGAAGTTAGCTAACGCCGCCGCCGCCGGATCACTATACCTATGTCGAGCTTTCTGCGACAAAAGTCACAGGCTCGACAATAAAACATAAACATGATAAATATAGATAATCATATAACAAAACAATAAATGATGTTAATAAAGGTGATACAACTGTCATGTATCCACACCTTTAACAACAATAAATAAACATGACTTACATTAATATTGAAAGGGCCAATTACTTACATCAACTTCATCTGCATCATTTTCCTCACTTAAATTTGGAATGTTGAATTTTCCTTTGTGTTTCTTGTCCCCAGATTTCAACTTTCCTACAATGAAAATATATAAGATTTTTAAAAAATTGATGTATTAAAAGCATTATGCGATGCCTTTAGAATAGTGTTTACGGGTTGCTGTCTCACTGACGTATATCCCTACATCTTTTTTTTCTTGAGAGAGAACTGTTGCTATATCCTTATCTTTTCTAGAACCTTTTTCACAATGAAGTAAGAGAAATATTAAATTTAAAATAAAAAAGATATACTATATCAATTGAGCTTCTATTGGCTGGTGATGGTCACCTTTAATACATTTCAGCAAAATAAAGAGAGAGTATGTACAATCTTATATCAGAATTACACAAAGATTCAGAAGATACAATCAAAATTCTGAATTACTACTTTCTCACACTTCACTCCAGTCCAGTCTTATCTAATAATTCAGAAAATATTGTATTTTTGTTTTTGTTAATAGTTTGTATTACACCCATCCCTATCATGTTTTACTCAACATCTCATGTATTTTATATTTATATTTGTATAGGAAGAGGATGTCACTAATGTTGTTATAACTTGTGTCAAATCCCTTCTGCTACTTTTGCAAATAAAATATGTTTGAACTAAACCTTTTTTCACAGCAATCACATTGCTGAATGTTAAACAAGCAACACCCAATAAAACAGTTGTGATGAAATAAAACAATAATTGTGCAATAAAAATCAAAGCGCGAAAGCGCTGTAAAGGCAGTTAATTACAGGTTGTGTGTATTTTTAGTCCAGTTATATCATTATCTTGCATAGTACATTGTACTTTGATATCAGAGGTGGCTTTCAGTATTTAAGATTTAGAGTTCTCTAATGATATTGAACAAGTTTTATGAATGTCATATTCTGAGCACTATATGAAGGCGATTGTTCTCACTTGTTTATGAACTAGTGCATTATGTCCAGTTTGTACCTTTTTTATCTATGTTTATAGTCAAATACTGTTTAAAATAGTTTGGCATTTTCTTTTTAGTAATAAGTAAATGTTATCAACTGTATTTTATTCAACTTTGCAAATGTGGTTTGTTACTGGTAAGTACAATGTATGGATGATAGTTGTTTCATTGGCAATCATAACACATCTCCTTATTTACTAGTATATAATGATCTATATTCAACGACCTCAGGTGCAAAAAAAATGTATGTAACTAAACTATGATGGGAAACCTTTGACTTCTTTCTTTTATATAAACTTTTGATTTGGTGCCATAGAACTATGTAGAATAAATGTACATTGCAACATGTCAACTCTTTCAATGACAATACTTTTTTTAGAAACTATAACTCCAAGCAAAATTATATTTCCAAGTATAAAGTAATTTATGAATGAAACAAGAGTGCACACGCTGAAATGTCTCGCCTTCTTTACTAATCATTGATATTATGTTGATAGTCCTAAATAAGTGTCACATAAACTTAACATTAACCAAGTAAACTAAACATTGACCAATGAACCAAGAAAATGAGGTCAAGGTCAGATGAACCATGCTAGGCAAGCATGTACAGCTAACAATTCTTCCATACAACAAATATAGTAGACCTATTGCTTGTAGTTTAAGAAAAACAGACCAAAACACAAAAACTTAACTTTGACCACTGAACCATGAAAATGAGGTCAAGGTCAGATGACACCTGCCAGTTGGACATGTACACCTTACAGTCCTTCCATACACCGAATATACTAGACCTATTGCTTATAGTATCTGAGATATGGACTTGACCACCAAAACTTAACCTTATTCACTGATCCATGAAATGAGGTCGAGGTCAAGTGAAAACTGTCTGACGGGCATGAGGACCTTGCAAGGTACGCACATACCAAATATAGTTATCCTATTACTTATAATAAGAGGGAATTTAACATTACAAAAAATCTTAACTTTTTTTTCAAGTAGTCACTGAACCATGAAAATGAGGTCAAGGACATTGGACATGTGACTGACGGAAACTTCGTAACATGAGGCATCCATATACAAAGTATGAAGCATCCAGACCTTCCACCTTTTAAAATATGAAGCTTTTAAGAAGTTAGCTTACGCCGCGCCGGATCACTATCCCTACATGTATGTCGAGCTTTCTGCGACAAAAGTCGCAGGCTCGACAAAAAGGAGTTCTTAATTAAGAAATAAACAGATTCGCTGAGCGCAGCTGGATACACCGGCAGAGGTCCAACCCTGAACAGTTGGGGCAAAAATGGACACAACATTCAAGCTTGATACAGGTCTGAATTTGGATTGTAATTAAATATTTGACATATTATAGTTTCTGAATAAATGTAGTCAAAGAACTTGAAATCGGTTATATGAATTGAATTTATATTCAATTTAAGATTTCTTGCTGTTGTGCAATACACTGTGCTGTTGCGCAATACTTAATAAATCTGTTGCCAGACTATAAACAAATAAAGTTCAATTACTTCTCAATGTCATATTTGAAATTTATGAAAATCAATAAAGAGATTACATCAATAGCTATAAATAATTCACCAAAGTTTCATGCGGACTGCTTAAAGCATTTTTGAGTTGTTGTCCAAAAACTGGAAAATCCCCCCTTTTTTAATGAATAAAACCCCATAACTCAGAAATGTAAAATCTAAAATTTATAAAATTCTAAAGGGAGCTTACGGATTGATAATTTAGTCTTAGATGCAAGATTTTTTAATCAGTTGTTAGTGGCTTTGAACTAGCTGTCAGTAAATGCGAGTATTCTCAGATCTGTACTTGGTGTCTTTTTGTTGTTTGGATGTACAACTACCCGGCCATCTCCACTTGTATTTGTATTTATCCATTTGATGAGTTAAGCCTCTTTCAACTGATTTTTATAGTTCGTTCTTATATTGTACTGTTACACCACTGTCCCAGGTTAGGGGGTGGGTTGGGATCCCGCTAACATGTTTAACCCCCCCCCCCACATTCTGTCTGTACATGTATGTGCCTGTCCCAAGTCAGGAGCCTGTAATTCAGTGGTTGTCGTTTGTTTATGTGTTGCATATTTGTTATTCGTTCTTTTTTTGTACATAAATTAGGCCGTTAGTTTTCTTGTTTGAATTGTTTTACATTGTCATTTCGGGGCCTTTTATAGCTCACTGTGCGGTATGTGCTTTGCTCATTGTTGAAGGCCGTACTGTGACCTATAGCTGTTAATTTCTGTGTCATTTGGTCTCTTGTGGAGAGTTGTCTCATTGGCAATCATACCACTTCTTCTTTTTTATATTTACATCAACAGATATAAACAATTCACCAAAGTCAAGGTGAGACAACAAAACTTAGTTGTAAGATCTCTGAAATTTTTTACACAGTACAAGTTTTTCTAATTGTTGGAGATTGTACGGTGACAGTAACACCTGTAACTGCTTAACCCATTTCTTATGCACTTTGGTTCGATAAACTCACTGAATATCATACCACATCTCCTTATTTTTATATGCATTACAATTTACATGTTCATGTAATTGTAAATAATATTTATATATATATATCAGAACAAACTTCATTGCGTCACTTTTATTTATGCATCCTTTGGCACAATACAAGTTCTAAAATTACACAACATAAAACAACTAAATGTTATTTGAGATGAAAGTTTTGTTTTAGTTCCATTCATAGGATTTATTAGAATTTTGTATGTTTTGCCAAGTCCAATAATTAGCTCTATGTGCACATGTTAATTGGAGACTTTTCTATCCTGTATAAGAGTTTTCAAACTAATTCTGTTTCTTTTTTTGAAAAAAAGTGAGCAAACAAATCTTGCACATTTAAACCTTTGTCTGCCATCAGACTGTCACCTGGATCACATAATTGAACTATTCTACATCTTTCAACTATTTCAGTCACTGGTACAACCAACATATGCATTAGAGACATAGTTGACTAAACCACCAGGTGTTGAACATACAAGTATTTTCAGTGTTTCTGTTTTTATATGATGAAAAGGTTGCCTGAGCTCTAGGAGCTTTAGGTTTTATCACGGGATATTCTGTGCTGTCAATAATAATCCAAGTTGTAGGAAACTTTAATTTGAAGTTGGATGGCGAAAAATACCTGACTAAACCACTAAATGGCCAAGTGTTAGCCTCACGCCACTGTTTAGACATAATTAACAATCCATGTTTACACAATATTCTTAACACTAGTTTCAATCTAGAATCTAGACAGTTCAAAGTTGGTTGTATAATGCCTCAATTTCATCAAAGTCATAAAAAAACTGATTTTCAAATGACACCCTATCAATTTGAAAATATATCTATCTCAAACAATGTGCTGCTGGACCAAGTGTGGTCAAAACAAATAAAAATTTAGTATACAACTCTAAACCGGTATAAAAGTGCGTGGCTGTGTCACGTGTCTTCATTTCAAAATTCTCTGCTGAAAATATAGGCATTGATGGTGTTTGCGTAATTCCATCTGTGAAGCTCAACATTAGCTCGGTAGTTGGTGGTGGACAGTCATAAATCCTGTCTGCAGTATGAATGACTTCTTCAGGAAAACCAACTTTACAATCAAAACTTTCCTCTAGATTTCTACTACAATATTCATCAAGTTTAGTTCTTTTGTTTTCACAGGAAACTGCCCTGATTTTTCTTTTTGCGGACGATTCAGTCTCTTGCTTGGTCCAGGAAAATAGGCTGGGAATGGCAGTAGACTTAAGTCTCTGTATGGTGGGTTTGCGCCCTGAAAAAGGTTATAAAACATTAGTTTTTTTATAATTAAATGAACTTCCATTAGCAATGCATACTTTGTACTACCTGGCAAAATATTAACTAGATTTATTCATTACAATCTGGATAAAACTATGTTAGCCTGATTCAATGTACATCAAAATGTATGTTATGTAAATCCAAAGGACAAACAATGAGAGACGTATGCAACAAACATACATTGTTTGTACCTAAATAACTATAATATAGATGAGAGCATGTCATTGTTTTGTTCCTGTTAACATTGTCATTGATATTTTTCAAGAAAGTCTATGAGGCATAGCTTATGCATTCCTGTCATTACTACATTAGCATAATTACTGCTAAAATAATTCTCAGTATGATATACCTCTTGTAAGAAATCATTATAATTGTAGCAAGCACCAAAAAATCTCAAACAGATCACCAAAAAATCTCAAACAGATCACATTGAATCGTAATCCAAAAAATTATGACGTCTTGAATTAACCACCCCCTTTTATTCTAAAACGATAATTGCGGTTGTAAACAGACTTTGGTTTATTCGCATGGCGATTACATATATAACAATATATTTTAAAAAGAAAATAGAGTTTTACCATGAATAGTTTCCTGCACGTAGTCTTTTTCAGTAAAATGTGCCTTGCAAACAACAGCTGATTGAGATGGACTCCACGATTTCATCGTGTTCTCGTCCAACCTGCGTATGGGCCATGGCGTTGATCCAACTTTTCCTTCTTTTTAAGTCACTTGGAAATGCATGTCCTCCTCTTAAATGACATCTAGGTACACAACAACAAGTACTTGGCATCGTTAATTAAAAATGCAACTGTAATAGTTGCACAGTGCAGAAACCGGAAGTTGAAGAACAGGATCGGCTACCACGGCGCCACCTATTCAGGAACGATAATTTGCCACTTTATATAACTGCGAAATAACAATAACGTTAGACGGGTTCGCGTGCATAAACAGAAATGCGCTTTAAATTGTATAATATAATTCATGTTCAGTCGACCTCTTATTATTATATCGACGACTGGAATGATTTATAAACATCTAGATTGTAGATAACACTCGAAATTAACCCGACCTCTTTCCACACGGAATTCAAATAATTCTAGTTTGTCAATCGGTTGACTGCTTATAATGTAAAATACAAATATATCAAAAGTTTTTAAAACTAACAAAACACAATGATCGTTTCTCTATTTCCCAATGTAAATGAAATGAAACAATAAACATTTTATATCACAATAAGAAGAGGAGAGAATCAACATTTTCCGGATCTACTTGGAGCCTAATGACCCCCCACGTAGATAAGTTGGATATCGCGGAAAGAAAGATTAACACGGCAACTAGAAAGGCATTAAAGCACTGCCTTTAAAAATAAATATGTAATAATATTTTTTAAAGGAAATTTATATGGTCCCAAGAGCAAAATTATCCATTTGAAATGTTTTTGTGTTTCCATATTTCCTAAGATCTGATTAAAATTGTTCTTTCCTTCTGATACACGTATGATAATATTATTTTCTAAGAAGCTTGTTCAAATTGATGAACAATCAGTGCACTTTAAATTTCCCAGTAGACACATTCTGGTAAGCTTTACTGTCTAGATGATTTGTTCTACCTTCAATACTTTAAAAATTGTCATTTTCTCCTCTGTGAGGCATGCAGCATTAATTAAGAAGTGAGAGCAAAGACCAGTTGGCTTAGAGTAAAAAGAATTTGTCATGGTAAGTTGACATGTCTTCATACAGAGAGTGACACAAACAGTCCAAATCAGGAATATATAAATGACTGAGCACATGTGAAATATTGTTAAAAATAGCAGGAAGGGCATAAAACATCATATATGCAGCTAAAATATCTTCATATACATACAGTGTAATGGGTTAACAAATGTTCAAAATATATTTTCAGAACCATCCAAGTATTTAACATTTTTGTTATATTGAGTGTGACAGAATAGTGTATGAGGTACCGGTAGGTAGCCACTTTGTGGTCTGGGATATGTTACATATTAGAAGACAGTTGGTTGGCTATTGTTTCATACACTATGTACCACTCACCTGACCATTCTCCTTTGAGAACCCATTCATAAAAGAATATTAATTTAGCTTTTCTGTTATTAGCTGTAGCTTCACCATCTATGTTTGTCAATTCTGTTAATTCACCAAAATCTAAAATAAAAATCTTTCATGTGGAAATATATATCACCATAATTGAAGGAGTTTTTAAATGTACCCTATATATGCTTTAATGAACCTCATGGGTAAGTACTACCTGCATTCAAATGAGCTTGCACACATGTAGATTAATCTTTTCACATTATCACTTTGCTTCAGAACATTCTGCTGAATTTTCAAATTTTTCAAAAAAAAACTATCCATATTCTTTGATTCAGGTTAATAAGATAAATAAATGAAGACAGAAACACACATTTACAACAAATTTCTGATTTTATTAGGTATCCACAATTTTGCCATTTAGAGTGGCCTCTTCAAAGCACATAAGGAAGTACAAAAAGTGGTTTAGCTGTTAAACAGGAAGTCACAACACAATTCACATTGTTATGGAAATATTATATAGTGTATTGAGAGAGAGTACACTTGATTAATTATCATCTTTAACAGATCTTTGTATCCTCACATAATCATGATAATAGAACCACTTATGTAATCAGAGATATATGTGTGCTTTTTGTCGAGCCTTCGACTTTTGTCGAAAAAGCGAGACATAGCGATCCTACATTCCGTCGGCGTCGTCGTTGTCATCGTCGGCGGCGTCCACAAATATTCACTCTGTGGTTAAAGTTTTTGAAATTTTAATAACTTTCTTAAACTATCCTGGATTTCTACCAAACTTGGAAAGAAGCTTGTTTATGATTAAAAGATAGTATCCAGAAGTAAATTTTGTAAAAAAAAAATTCCATTTTTTCCGTATTTTACTTATAAATGGACTTAGTTTTTCTGCCAGTTAACATTACATTCACTCTGTGGTTAAAGTTTTTAAAATTTTAGCAACTTTCTTAAACTATCCTGGATTTGTACCAAACTTGGACAGAAGCTTGTTTATGATTAAAAGCTAGTATCTAGAAGGAAATTTTGTTAAAATTTTGTTCAATTTTTTCCGTATTTTACTTATAAATGGACTTAGTTTTTCTTCCAGTTAACATTACATACAGTCTGCAGTTTTAAGTTTTTTAAACATTTATTAGATTCATAAACTATCCTGGATTTGTACCAACTTTGGACAGAAGCTACTTACAATCAAAAGATGGTATAGAAAGGAATATTTTTATTAATTTTTTTCCTCATTTTTGTTGAGCCTGCGATTAACAGCAAAAGTAGGCGAGACACTGGGTTCCGCGGAACCCTTACGAATTTTTATTTCATTTACCCCAAAAAATGGACATTTTTCATCCTACATGTATTTCATACGATATGAGATACTGCTTCAAATCATCAAGTTTCAGACTTTAAAGTTATATTTATTTCAATATAAGAGGATCTGTGTTTTCTGTGTTCTTGAACATTTTTTTTTTAGCTCATTTTTCTCTAATCTTTATATTTTTTGCCAAATATTCTCTATTCTTATTTTTTTTGGTTCATTTTTCTCAATTTTTTTATTATTTTGGCCTTTAATTCTGCACTATTTGCCCACTATTCTCTATTCTGTAAACCCCATCCAGACCCTCAACAGATAAGTGACAAATAGTTACATACATTCATCATCTTCTATCACCATTCCTACAAGTAATTCTTTAAGTTTCTCTTTAGACCATCCTGTTGCATTCTTCTCTACCCTAAAATTATACAAATCATTCAATCAATAACTCTACAAATTCACCATCATACTGTAAAGACTAAGTATTTTTATTTACTCACTTAAAATATTATCCTCAACATTTTGCCCAAAAGATTTACTTCAACAAATTCTTCAATTATAATTTTTAAGCTTATTTTAGGGGGTGGATGTGCCAGGTACTTCCCCACCTGAATCCACTCAAGAGTTGGATAAATATAGATTCTACCACTGCATCGAGTGTGATACAATATTTATCCACTCGAGACAGTTAAATTTTCAAATTTAAAACGCGAGGCTTGCCGAGCGTTTTAAATATTTAAAATTTAACTGTCGAGAGTGGATAAATATCGTATTACACGAGATTTGGTGGTGGAATCTGTTTCTCTAATGATTTTCTAACAATATGCAGGCAAAGTTATTCCTTCTTTTCGAATGATCTGCAAAAAGATGTGTTCTTTCTATGTGACGTCATCAGACATGGTCGCCTTTTTTCATGCCACCACAATAGGAAATTCAGAGGAAAGCAAGAAAATTCGGCGTCATAATCGGATTTTAACCAATGATGAACTGAGATCAAACGAACCACACGTTGATTAAATTTTTTTTATACAATGGGTGCAGAAACGGATAAATTGACGAAGAATTAGAGAAACAGTTATATCTTGCTTATTAAAAACAGGAAACAGAATACATGTACATCTTTGGATATAAAATTAATATGAAGCAAGCCATTCACTTTGGGATTCATAATTCTGTCAGGCCAAAAATAAAACTTAAATTGTTTGATGTTGCCTACATATCAACCTAAAACACAACCTTCCCAAAAACTTTTATGACACAAATTTTTTCGAATTTTTTTTAATAGATTTTTTCCTGCTCTTACTTTTTCTTGTTTAAAACATCATGAACATGTAACTTATGTTGTTGGCATCTTTGATATGACTGATAGTTGTATAAATTTTCTTAGGTGCTGGTCCGATTTAATAATGACAATCATATATTTATTAAAAGAAAACTAGTAAGCTTGGAATGAGAAAAAAAAAACAATGCAGGTGTGAAGTGGTCTTCAGTTGTAATAACAATCATGATGCACAGGAGTATCTAGTCCAGTCGCTCCCATAACATAATTTGGTATTATTGTCATGCCTTTGAAAATCATAATTGTTGTTATAAATAACTAGCTTTGGCATACAGTAGTTACCTAAAATATTTCAGATTTTTTTTTAATTTGGAAAAGTGCACAATTTGAATGATTGTGTGAGCTTAAAGTTTATAATGGGAGAAGTTTATGATTGATTCAAGCTTTTGACTCATGGAAATAAATGATTTGAAGCAAACTTATAGCTGAAATGCAACACCATGAACACCTAATAAACATGTGCTTTGTTTTCAGTTATTTGTTGTTGACGTGCCAATGTGATGAGTTTGATAGCATTTGATATCTTCCGCCTTTCTTTTACAAAGAAGTCTCAGATGAATGAACTTGGTCTACAATCATCACTACAATATTACGATTACTCATTTCATCAAAATAATTCATAAACACCAACGGAAACCTGTTTTTAGAATGTCACTTTATTTTACAACAATAGAAAAAACTTATCTTTATTTCATAGTATTACAATAAATTAACTAAAACACTCATATTATAAAAGAATTATTCAATACAAAACCTTTTACACTCTTGCTGCAGGTTTTCATATGGTTGCATTTCGTGTGCCAAAAAATATGACAGCTGGATGTCTGTGATGTCAAATGCCAAACAATGACGTCATTAGATATATGAAGTCACACCCTAATGACGTTACATTGGGGACCCATTGAAGAAAAATATTATACTGTTTAATCTTCAGTATTTTATTTGGAAGAGATACAACAATGATGAGAAGCTTGCATAAATCTGGCAGCAAGACCGTTAAAGAGGGTGCGAACATGAATGGGTGCGGATGTGAAAGGGGACAAACATGAAGTGGTGCGGATGTGAAAGGGGACAAACATGAATGGGAGCAAACGTGATTTAGGGCGAACAGACCTAGATTCCAGGCCTTGTGGTCATAAAACTTTCGAGCACGATTTTCGTAATCAGACTCAGAAATCAACCAATCAAAATCCTGGATTTGGTGTTTCAAGCACAAATTTTGAACTCTGAGTACTGAATAAAGTTTTCTGACCGAGGGCCTAGGTTTACAGCGAACAGGTATCAGGGTGAACGCGAATCACTGTGCACTGACCCAGATTGGAATGATGTGGTTTGAATAGTCACTTGGTTTCGATATAAAAATAAGATGTGGTATGATTGCCAAGACCACTCACTGTTTATTATATTTTTATGCAGATACATGTAGTTCATTTTGTTATTTAGTTTTGAGATTTTATAATCTTAATTTGATTCAAAGAATGCCTATACTTTCATACCAATGCCAGTTGTTTACATTCGTTCCATCCGGGCGTTCTTCAACTATCCACCTAGGGTCTCCTTCTCCCCATTTGGCCATATTTATTAAAATTATGTGTTTATAGGGAATTTCAAGAAGTTTAGCCTGTGCACGTTGAGATCACTTGTTTCTGGAATAAACAACGGAAGTAGATGTAAAGCGCTACGTATGGGGAGAAATTTCGAGAAGGACTGGATCACGGTCAATGAGATAACATGGCCAAAATTTATACTGTTAAATAAAATTAAGGGAGACAATTTATGGAAACTTGCATCTTATACCACAAAATTATGTTTGTTTACTTCCGGTTTGCAAAACGGCATGGAGGGACTGCAGCTGTTCAGAAAACTTGGAGTTGGTGCTAAATTTGATTTGAAAAGATTTGCAAAGGATGCAGAGAAACTAAAGGCATGTTATATGGACGTTTTTTTTTAAAAAGTTGCCCCAGATCATGCAGATTACTGAAAAGAAACCGTTTCCGTTCGCCTTGATTGTGGGTCTCATTGGGGTCTTCTTCTTCTTCTGGTATACAGTTACAGCTTCATTTATATTGAAGATTACGAACTGTTGCACGTTGAGATCAGTATAATCCGTGGTATGCGGTGTGACATCCGAAAAACACGGAGATCGGAAAAAAACAATCTCGAATCGATCCGTTTAAATGGTACTGTAGGTCAGGCCTATTGTATTATGTATTTGAACATTACAGAATAAATTTGATATCAAATAACAAATAAATATCTCGATAAAAAGCAACATCACGAATAAAGTGGAAATCCCCAAATGTCACGAACTTGCAAGCATTTATCGAGATATTTATTTGTTATTTGATATCAAATTTATTCTGTAATGTTCAAATACATAATACAATAGGCCTGACATACAGTACCATTTAAACGGATCGATTTGAGATCGTTTTTTTCCGATCTCCGTGTTTTTCGGATGTCACACCGCGTACCACGGATTATACTACCAATTTCATCCAAAGATTCTCTCCCAACACCATGTGGCTGTTAATTGGTTCATTGCCCATCGGATGTCCTAAAAATTAACAACGTGTGACAACATAATCGGATTAGCCAGATTATTTACCTATGTACATCTAATCGATCTTGATTGTACCTGTGTGCTTTAAAAAAAAACGTATTAAAATTTTAACAAATGTTTTCCTCTTTGACAGATAAAGATGTGACATTATCATTCAGCATAAGATAATTATTCTTATATGTTTTTGCCCCATGTCATTGTCATTTGAAATAAAACGTACAAACAAAGAAAAATACGAAGAAAAAACTTATTTTGTATTTCTATTATAGTCTGGTCAGGTCATACTTTGTGTTCTTTCAACAAAGACGATTTTACCACAATTAGAATCTTTTATGACTTACTCAGTAAGCAATTTCCGGTGCATATTTATTTTGAAATGTAAAATATTATGTTTCACTACCTCGGTACATGACCGACTTGAATTATTTGAATTTCGAAAAGAAACTGTAAAGTGACAACTCTGTTGAACAAAGGGAATAAGTTTTGTATGCATGCCCTTTATTCATAAAAACAAAACACTGAGAGAAATTCCCCGCCCTGGCACAACACAACATTCACAACTTAATTAATTATATGGAAAAAAATCATGCGTTTATCTCTGTTATTGATCTTTAATTATGTTAAATAAAATTGGATGAGCGCAATCTGTAGTTTACTGCTCGTTAAAAGTCCTTGGCGAAATGAAAAAAATGAATTATTTCAACAATTACTATAGAAAAAAATCAAATATACGAAAAATATTAAAATGAAATTATATCGTGTACCCAGATACTACAAGAAAAAATATGTGAAAAAATAAGTGGACAGGATTTTAACGATCTACACATTTTCACAGAGGATCTCTACCAACGCCCAACTTAACGACATGCATCGTGTTTTCATCTACAATAAATTTATATTGTTGACCATGGACGTATAACTAATGTTCAGGTCTATGTCCTGTTTTGACTGATAAAACATAAAAAATAAAATAGTTAAAGAAGACGTGTGTTCGTTTATTCGGAAAAGGATTATATTTTAGATTCCGGTTAATCAATTGTAAAAGGACCTTCTAAAGCCTCAATACTAATGCACAAAAATGTCAATCATTAATTCAAAGCAACTTTAAAAACCTGAATGAATTTTCCCACGGTCGTTCATAGAGGTCACCTGAGTTTACTGGTACGTGATATTATTTCCCGCCATATAAAAATCTTGTGCTGTGGATAAAATTGATGTCAGTTATTTTTAGCATTTAATATTGTGAGCGAAGTCAAGTTCAAGTTCAACCACACACTGTTGATCACTGAGATGTGTATCGTGGAATTTTCTTCCCATGGCAAATTAATTTCTTTTAAAATCTTTTAAGATCACTGTCCAAAATACAACACACAAGTTTACATTCATTGTGCGTAAATAAATATTATGCAAAGACGAGTTAATGCAGCTGTGGAAGTATTCCTGTTGTACCCGAAATGTATTATTATCCTAAAGTAATGCCAACAAATCGTAAAAAGAAAATGCCGTAGACTTATTAAACATAACGAATGGTGAATAATATTTTCTTTTTTACTTGCATATACAAAACTTTGAGACACGTAGTTTTCTTTAAACTGCTCACATTTGATCAGCGGTAGTCTCCGTTTATTTTTACACAAGTATGTCCTTTTTCGTAAATAAAATATTAATTTACCGATGAAAAAAAACAAGTCCATTTAGGTAAAGATATTTTTAGATTAGCAAGCAAGAAATATGAAAATATTTTAACTTATTTTTAACACAAAAATTAAACTTAACCAATATAAAGAGACATTTAAAATTATACACTTGTTTGACACTTAAACTGGTACAGTAGACCGGAAATATAATTGTTTATTACATCAGGTAATCCAACTATCCTATCAGTCGTGTGCCGGCATAGATTGAAGTAGGATTAGGGCAATTAATATCTCGGTGTTGGGAGTGAGCTCGCTATCACAATTAACATTTACGCGATTTTGGGAGAGATTACTCTTAAATTCCTCCCAACATTTTGGGAGGAATATCAGAGTTTCTTGGAGTGACTCCGAAATTTTCCTCGGTGTAGGGTGTGGGAGAGCTGGTCCGTTTGAATGGTACTGTATATATTGTTGCACATTCGCAAAAGCCACCGTCCAACATTTGTCCAAGACAAAGGTAACGAACTTACAAGCATGTCTACTTATTTTACGGAATCAGGTCACAATACGAAACATAGACGGACCATGTTTTGAAGTTATTCATCAATTAAATGTATCAGACTGTTTGCAAATAAGTAAAGAATATTTACATTCACAGATGTTAATATTTGCTCCAAGGTTGTGATTTTTTTCTTCTGTTTCCAAAAAAAAACATATGTCTGTTTACGGTTACCCGACCGATCCTACTTTTGAGCGCTGACCCTAAGTCATTTTATTTCCGTCGTAAAGTGAAAAATAAACTGAAAAGAGAAGTTAGTGTTGCCAATAATATAAATCAATTGCCTGATACATCCCAATGTTCACAATCGTGAATATGACAGCTGTTTTAAGGAAATTCGCGACTCGTGTGATGAAATAAACATTTTGCCGCCATTTTTTTCCAACCAATAACCAAAGGAAATAATCCAATCATTAAAATAACGGGCCCATGGTCAACTCGGACCACGACAAGACAAAACCGCATGACTCAAAATCATGTCACAAAAAACAAAATGGAAATACTGACCTACCTACCCTATTTTTTTAAAGTATGTAACCTTAAACAGACATATATTTTTTTTTAGCCTTAGGGAAACGAACTTCCAATCATCGAGGATAAAGGACAACATTTTGCCTATAGACACCATGACTGAAATATCTTCAAGATAAAAGTTAACAGCCTTCAAAAAGTAACAGGGGTATGGAAATGCTATGCCTGACTCACCTGACTTGTACATTTGACGGACCGGTCAAGCAATTTTTTCATGTCTTTGTAAAAAAAAAGTTGCTTCACAATGTAAATTTATTCATCAAAGAAGAAAAAATATCAAATAACAAGACAAAAGCAACATGTTTAAGTAAAACAACATCAATCTATTATCAAACAACAAAAAATTAATATGCGTACCCAGGTTTCATTAATATGATCAGGTTATAGCAACGATATACAGGAAATGATCATTATTAATTTCGAGTTCAGATTTCTCAAGAATGAAAACTAAATGACTGGTTAAGTTGGATAAGCATCTTTAAAGAAGACATTTTTGTTGAATAGACTGAATGTGATTAATTCTCTGTGAAATACTGGATATTTCAAGCATTACTGTCAAATTTTGTCATAATCAGCTCAATAGTTTGAGAGAAATTTAGTATAACATCTACAGCGATTTGAGCAAAACTTCTTTATAGAAAAATCCAAACACGCCGCATCATAAAAGAATAAAGTGTGGATCAATAATATCACCAATAAATGATCAAATATTCATCTCATCTGCATTAAAACAGTTGAATATGATACAAAAGATGACTATCAAAAATGATGAAAACCACTAATGTTCCTCTTTGTCTTTATTATAAGGTCCCTTATGGTCCATTTATACCTCTCATTCCCTCTAAATTTTTACTTTTTAGGCAAATAAATCAAAATTTTGGGGTAACTTTCACATATTTAATTTTATGTAAGAAATGTGATAATAAAGTAATTGTAAGTGTTCACGCTGAATGAACTATCCTTATAAAAGTTTATTGACTCCATGTAAGTCCTTACATAAATTTAGATTTACGTCGCTTTCCAGAGAGGGACATAAAATGGTTCCCTTTCAGTGAATAATTTGTTGTTACTACTTCAAAAACATTTTATTTACCTATTACTGTATATTTCTTAAAGAATTACTTGGGGAAACAGTTTTCTTGTATAGCCCAATTATTTCCTGTAAAATGTATTTTTGAGACTCAATCCACTCAGAATATTTCAAGTTTGCTATATTTGAGTGAAATAGCATGAATTTTAAAAAGAAAGCCTGCTTAAGAGACCACCTGTATTAAGCAAAAACCTGTTTTATAAGACCACCAATTTTTGATCTGTCTGTAGTACATTTCATATAGATTGAACCTGTATTAAAAGACCATCTGTCTTAAGAGACCACTTTATTGCTCTCCCTAAAGTGGTCTCTTAAAACAGGTTTCACTGTACATACAAAGTCAAAGGTGCATATGCAGTAATACCACCATTGATTTTCCCCTATTAGTCTTTGTTAAATTGGCACTTTTCCAAAAATTGTGCAGAATTTATGTATGTTTCAAATAAAGAAATACTTGGCATGAGTAAAGTTTTATCCTGTCCAGTACTCCAGTGAACATTTCACATAACATTTCATTGCATATAAGATAATAACCATCACCGGAAGTAATCAACTTTTCACCACTTTTTTCCTGTTGACAAGCTTTAGTAACCATGTCACCTGCAATTTCCAAAATATTTTATTGAAACAACAAATAAAAATGAATGGTGCTTTTAAACCCTCTAGATGTATGTTTATGACTCAGAAATTTTTTTCTGCAATGAAATGGAGGGTTAATTTCCTACAACTGTCAAAATCAAGGGGATATTTTTTTTCAACCCTTTTTCGTATGAAGCCAGATATGACGTACTATGATATGGTGGTATTACACCTTTAGATAGGTCATCGCTCAGAAGTTGACCAACAGAGAAGAGGCGCCTCATAAAAAATAAAATTGTTGATCCGAGAACTTGGTTTTGACGGAAATCAGAAGCGGCAAAGGACAAATATCATGAAAATAAACAGAATAGAGGATTTTATAAAGTTCTAAAATGTTTTGATTTCGCTTAGTTATCTTAAATAATTTCAAGTTTACAATTGGCCTATCAAAAGTTTTTTTTAGGGGAAAAGTAGGGGGGGGATGGGCAAACAACCATTCAATAATTTATCAATTATTTGGTTTTCATCTCTTCATTAACTTAATTTTAAACATGTTTTTTGGTTGGTTTCTATCTCATTGGTGTATATTCTACTTATCTTTTTATCAGTCTACATGTTCTAACATACTAACAAAGACCATGAATTCCATTTTCATTATGTTTCAAAACTGTTTTAGAAACATACACATTTACAGTAAAATACATCATCATTCCAAAATTCATTAAGAAATCAGGGCAAGTAACTTTTCTTGTGGACAAGTGGTCACAACAAATATTTCCACACCAATAGTAGGATTTTTGGAGGCCATTATCTTCATATTCAGTTCTCATTTGAACTATGTTCTAAAAGGGAAAAATGTTGTCATTTAAATGAATATTTGCGCCATGACAATAATCATCATGAATTACAAAATTTGATTTTTATCGCTGTAAATTGATACCCTATTTTGGTATAATACCCATAAATGGGGATAGTATCCATTTATAAGTATCCTCCCCAACATTTTGATACAATATACCATGGCAATGTATGAAATATACATGTGTACATAGCAAAAAAATAGATCACAGAAGTTGCTTTTTGAATTAAAAGTCAAGTTCATTAATAAAATATTTCTTTATTTCTACAGGCTGAGACCAATAACCCAAAGGGAAATATCTTTATTGTAAATAAAACTTTGAATCAAATATTTCATTTGGGTAATAAGAGAGTCTGGTGTTATAATAGTGGGAAAATGTACAAATGGAGCTCCCCTGGTAGTTATGATATACTTTACATTTTTGTGTTGATAGTCCATAAATGTCCATAGTGTGACTATTGAAAGACGACACATTCCGTAAAATGATACATTCCGTAAAATGGTATGGATTTATTTACATTTTGTTTTTTCATATTATTTTTATGGGAGTAATCGGAGTATATCTTAAAAATTATAATAGATAAACAGAAACTGAAATAAGCAAAAATGATCAGCAAGACAAGACCTACAATTAAGACAATATGGAGGAAATCGTCTGACAACTCCTTATTGGAGTTATTGCTCATTTATGATGATGATTTTTACTATTTTTTTTTTTGCGTTTTGCCTTATACATCATACATGTTATATGATAAAATTAATAAAAGATAAATAGACACTTTAAATCACAAAAATGAACAAAAAAGGCAAGATCTATTAACAAGTGAAATTTTGTCGATATAGTTAGTAGACTGTCATTCTTTAGGAGTGATTGCCCTTAAATGATGATTTGTTTACTCTTTTTTTGTGCTTTGAGCAAAATTAAAGAAGCTAGAGAGACACTTAACAGACTAAATGATCAGTACTACAAGATCAACAAAACAGAGATTTTTATCATGAATTCTTTTCTCATCTATAATGTTGAAGGGTGTCCTTTGTTGAATATGCACATAGACCAAGATGAGCGACACAGGTTCTTTAGAGCCTTAAGTTTATTTTTTTTGGCCATACAATCATCTGCAGTATTATAAATCTTTCACCTTTAATCGTTTCAACTGCTGAGTACAAAATGTATATAATGTATTCCTTCCCATTAATTATGTTTTCCTATATACATGTAATGATCCTGTCAAGTAAATTTTGTCAATTGTGAAATCCACAAGATGGTGATGTAACTTTGAAAATGAAGATTATCAATAATTTTAAACACTTTTCCCTGTATTAAATTGCATAGTAAATCTAGTTCCATTATTCTGGTAAAAAATATTTGAGAAGAGTGTCATTTGGGATTTTGGTATACATGGTATATTAGCATGAAACACTTGGAGTTTTTGTGTTTTTAGTAGCAAAAGTGATTTTAATGTGTTTAATTTAAGGCTTATTATAGATATATAATCAGAAAAGTTAAAAAGCTAATTTTTTTCTTAATCCTAGAAATTATTTAAGATGAGGTGATTATCACTTATTTGTCAGTAGAAGATTTGGTTCCAATTGAATATATGTAACAAAATTTCCATAACACTACTTCTAGATTATTTCTAAAGATTCAAGCTCTCATAATACAACATTTGAGAAAGCAGACAGAAAAGAAACACATGAGCTGAAGAGGAAAAATGATTATGAAAATAGTACATCTCTATCGAAAAGAGTTAAAGGTACATATTAGTTTATTTATTACATGTAATATGCACACATGACAAAAATACAATTGCTCATTAGATTAAAAACCTACCATTACATTTTTAAGAAAAAATTATTTCATATATGCTTAAAATAATATTCTGAGAAGTCAGACATATTATTCGAATACATGTACTTTAGAAAGCGAAAGTGCTTGTAACTAATGTATTAAGTGGCATTTGCATACTTTACTAGGGGCTTATGTCATGAAACATCTGTTTAATACTTATTGTATATTGTATTTGAATGTCAGTCTAATTACCTGAAAGCAATGTTTTACTTTTGAGTTTGCATTTGTACAGTGAAGTTGATCTACTTTTGCTAAAGGAAAATAGCTCTTTATAAATTTCAAGGTGAACCAAGTGCTTTTCAAGGTTTACCCTAATTGGGAATGCTCAAACCCATACATTTGAAAGCCAGTGATGCATAGATATGTAGAAACGTTCTTGCAACAGGTTGGATAATTCACTGTACTTTTAATTTTTATGTGATCCTGTTTGTTTTATTTACAACAGTTGATTCTGAGTCTTCTGACGAAGATGACAGTACATCAGAACCAGAGCCTGAAACAGAGCTACAGATACTTGGTAAAATCACATCTAAAGGTGCAGAACAAAGAAGAGAGAAGAAGAAAAAAGTCAAAACAAAGGAAAAGTTAGCAGCATTGCATCAAGAGGAGGTCAGTCATACCTTATTTATAGAAAAAAAAAATATTGGAATTAAAGAATAAATTAGCCTTTTAACTTTTTTCTTCTATCTTCACTGATGAGTATTTTGTAGAGGAAACATGTGTCTGGCATACATGTAGAGGAAACATGTGTCTGACGTACATGTAGAGGAAACATGTGTCTGGCGTACAAAAATCTAAGCCTGGTATCTTTGATGATATTTTATCACATTTAAGATGACTCTATTTATGTAAAAAAATATAGATCCTGGAAAATAAACATTTCATAATAATAGAGCTTATTGGTTTACATCATAAAGATTGCTGGAAATCTGAACTCATTACAGCAAGATGAAGACAGTCCCTATCATCTACTTTAGGAAATGAAATGGAATAAATGGTTAAGTATTTGACAAATACTGTCTTGCATTGTCCAACATTAGAACATATTATTATTACTATAACAGTTACAGAATAATAGTTAATAGACAATCAAGACAATCACAGTCAAGCACTGTAAGTAAGAAGTTGACATTTTAATCTTAATTATAAACCTTTTCAAATTAGATATCCTTAAATATGATACATTGTAGTCTAAAACAGTACTGATTTTCAGGTTAACAGATTACGAAATCAACATAAAATACATGTTTATGGAACTGATAAGCCAGAACCATTGAAGAGTTTTGAACATCTTTTAACTAACTACAAAATGTCAGATGTCATCCTGAACAACGTTGCTAAAATTGGGTACACTGAACCTACACCAATACAGAGACAGACTATACCAGCCATGCTGCATGTAAGCATACTAAATTACTTATAGAATATATATGAGTAATTTATAGTTCTTCAAAATGATTAATTGAAAGAGAAGAATGCATACAATGATATATGATTGGCTTTTGAGAAAAAGAAAGGATGCTTATTTGTGTTTGGTCAGAAATCTGGTCATTTATGTATATTCACAAAGAATTCTTGTAATTTAGAGCTCGGCATATTGTATAGACACCTATTTATTCTTGAAAGCAGTATGTAGTACTCTTGATGTCTATTGGTTATTCATGTCAATGGGTTGCTGTCTAATTGACATAAACCCCATATCTCCTGTTATTCATTAGAAGGTTTCTATGAATTGATTGGTACTCTTCCAGCACTGGTTCAGGTTTGGACTTTCCTTCTACTTTCCCACTGTTACTGGACATTACATGGATTGAAAGATTTAGATAACATATGTACGATAAATGGTCCATACAATTTATTTTTGCTTTACAGAGAAGAGAGATTATGGCATGTGCTCCTACAGGATCTGGTAAGACGGCAGCATTTATCTTACCAATAATACACCATCTACGACAACATAGTAAACATGGGTTCAGAGCTTTAGTGTTGGCACCAACCAGGGAATTAGCTAAACAAGTAAATAAACTTAAAATATATTCATCATTAAATCTTTAAAAGTTTTTGTGATACTGTACTAATTAATGCCTTTAAAAATACTTGATATGTTCTTATTATCATGTACAGTCAAATTCAGACAATACCTTTCTTTGTTGTGTTTCGTGGAGCTACAACATTAGCTGGTAACATTATAATTTTGGAGTTATTCCTAAAACTGAAGTTTCTTACATTTGATGAAGGTAATGATCAATATCATACCTGATGACATCACATACTGTAAAAAGAACACAACTTTTTGCAGATCATTGGAAAAGAAAGATTAATTTGTCAATAAATCGTTAGAGAAACAGATTCCACCACTGAATCTCATGCAATACCATATTTCTCTAATCTTGACAGCTGAATTTTTAGTATTTAAAACACTTAACTGCCTTGACCGGAGCGATATTGTATCTCACTTGATGCAGTGTTAGAATATATACCGGAATATATATATACCGGTATAAACAAGTCTAAATTGAAAACAACGTTCAAACCTATGATTGCGTTGGATAAAACCACAATTTTTATACGTGTGCATGCAAAACAAATTTCTTGGTAGAGGGGTCTAAATACAGCACAAACAACGTTTTCCAAAAGACCAAAAAAGTGAAAAAGTATATTTAACAAAACGCATTTGACTAACAGGTCGAACAACTGATGTTCTCAAACCCTGCTGACTGCCATTGGCGATTGCCAAATAAACAGATCACAAGATGTAACAAAATGGATCTTTATTATTAATTACCAAACAGAAAACAATAAACTTGGGGAAAACCTGTATATATATATTTATATACAAGTCTAAATTGAAAACAACGTTCAAACCTATGATTGCGTTTGATAAAAACTGCAATTTTTATGCGTGTGCATGTAAAACAAATTTCTTGGTAGAGGGGTCTAAATACAGCATAAACAACATTTTCCAAAAGACCAAAAAGTGAAAAGTATATTTTAACAAAACGCATTTGACTAGCAGGTTGAACAAAGGATGTTCTTAAACCCTGCTGACTGCCATTGGCGATTGCCAAATAAACGGATCACCAGATGTAACAAAATGGATCTTAACTATTAATTTAATACCAAACAGAAAACAATAAACTTGCGGACAAGATGGTATACCGCAAACAAAAGGTGCAAAAATAAGTACACCATATCTGGATTTCGACAATTAATGTCTCTTCAGTGATGTTAGGAATCGAAACGGTATTTGGAAGGCCATATAATTTACCTCAATTTAGGATAGACTCTTGAATTTTGAAGAGTCGTAATAGGATGAACGGATCATATAAACCCGAAGGCAAATATAATACAAGCCCAAATGAAAAAAAAACAAATCTAAATTGAAAACAACTTTCAAACCTATGATTGCGTTGGATAAAAACCACAATTTTTATACGTTTGCATGCAAAACAAATTTCTTGGTAGAGGGGTCTAAATACAGCACAAACAACATTTTCCAAAAGACCAAAAAAGTGAAAAAGTATATTTTAACAAAACGCATTTATATACCAGTATATATATGTAAGCCTCAAATCTATGTCCGGCCTCAAATCTATGTCCTTTCCTCAAATCTATGTCCTTTCTAGTATTGCGTCATAAACGTCCCAAATCTATGTCCTTTATTGTCTCAAATCTATGTCCTTTTTCGAAATCGGTTGACGCAAGACAAAGCAAGACGTCATCGTGTATATGAAGTCACTGCATGAAGTAACAGCGATACAAGGAATGAAGGAGTATTTTCAAAAGCAACAACTAAAGATTTATCCTCTTGAAATGTGTTCTAACAATTATCAGGACATCTTTACTCTAACTATTGGGGAAAATTTACAATTCAGGACAAATCTAGACATAAACAAAGGGATTGCGGTATCTAGTTGTCTGGTTTTTGGAGAGAAGGAACATGCCAACACATAAAGAATTCATGACACTTCTCGGGGAAAAATCTTTGCCATTAAGACATTATTGCAAATTGTACATTTAAACTAAATAAATATCAGTTCTGACCAAAAAGTTAGTTTATGTCCCACTATGGTTTACAGATTCTCCTTATTATAAAAGAATATATAATATTTTATTTTAATTTATGTGGTTTTGAATCAGATTTTTTTATTTAATGTAAAAAATAAATAAAATATAAGAATGGGAATGATGCATTTACAACTGTATGGGCAGGGACAAAATGACGTATGAAGATGTAGCAATAAACAAAACATACATAATGTGTAGTATAAACTTTCTAATTTACAAAGTAATTAATAAAAAAGTTGCTCAAATTATTGTTGTTGAACTTAATAAATCTGACCGTTTGCATGAAATAACAAAAAAAAAAACAAACATGAAATAACATTTTTATGTGGTATCTATACATTGCAACATTAAACAAAACATATGTAAAGAACCTGTTGTTAAAGGAGAAGTCTCTATATTTACTAGAACAAACATGAGATCAAGGAAAGCAAAAGATTTGAAAACATCGTATCTTCACATTATCCTACTATAGATAATAGGTTTAATTCATTGTTGAAGGCCATATATTTACCTTTTATAGTTGTTTATACACATGTCATTTTGTCTTAGATTGTTTATTAAAAAATAAGTCACAAACATAGGATCAAGAAAAAGTTTTAATTTCACAAGAGTAAGTTCAATTCATTGTTGGAGGCCCTACATTTACCCTTTAGTTTCACATTAAAACATAAATAATATAATAATTACGCACACATATAAAAGAATTAAGCAAGTTGAAAATATTTCCAGACATAACATTACGTTATGGGAAAAGACTTAATAGTACACAAGTGTAAGGCCATACTTATTAGACGGACACAAATTCGCACATGTCGAAAAAAACACAAACAATTGAGAACAGGACACAGATTTGAGGCCGTATCTTTTTTTACAGACATAGATTTGCGAATGACGTCGCGATTAGACACAGATTTGAGGAACGGACATAGATTGGAGGCCGTACACAGATCTGAGGCTTACATATATACATACATAATTACTCTAAATATCAGCACAACAATGTTAAATCTGCAAATTTTCAGAAGCAAATTTTTTGTTCTTCCCTCACCGGGATTCGAAATCATGCTATTGGGATATTGTGACAACACCGCCTGCACTGTGACCAGCGCTCTAGACCACTAGGCCACCTAGACTGAACTAAAAAATTCAGCTTTCAGTACATATATATATATATATACACACAATTAACAGTGATATTATGACTGTTACTTCATGCTCATGTAATGATAGTGGTGCATATTTTTATGCCCCACCTAGGGGCATTATGTTTTTCGGTCTGTGCGTCCGTCTGTCCCGCTTCAGGTTAAAGTTTTTGGTCAAGGTAGTTTTTGATGAAGTTGAAGTCCAATCAACTTAAAACTTAGTACACATGTTCCCTATGATATGATCTTTCTAATTTTAATGCCAAATTAGAGTTTTGACCCCAATTTCACGGTCCACTGAACATAGAAAATGACAGTGCGAGTGGGGCATCCGTTTACTATGGACACATTCTTGTTTTTACAGATTTACAGAGACTTTCAAATGATATCAGATGGAACTGGTCTAAAGCTACATTATATAGAAAAAGCTGATCCAGAAAATGAAGGGAAGTCAGTAAAGAAATTTGGTATGTTTCTTCATTATATTAAATGACTACTGCTTAATTAAGACTATTTTGTCGAGCTTGCGACCTCTTGTTGCTGATGCAAGAAAAAGCACATATGCGTTGTTGGTCTTTTCAATTTTAGGTTCAGTCTGTGGTTAAAGTTTTATAAACATCAATAACTTTGGCAAACCTTAATGGAATTATATGAAACTGTCAAAGACTGTTTTTATGATCAGATGATTGTATTAAGAGGCCACATTTTGAAAATATATATTGTTTTCATTTTTTGTCTCGCCTGCGACGAAAGTCGCAGAAAGTGAGACATAGGTATTACTATCCGGCCACGGCGGCAGCGACGGCGGCGTAAACTATTTGTATAAAGCTTTATATTTTAGAAGGTAGAAGACCTGGATGCTTCATACTTTGTATGCAGATACCTTATGTTACGAACTTTCCGTCTGTCATATGTCCAATGTCCTTGACCTTATTTTCATGGTTCAGCGACTGCTTGAAAAAAAAGTTTAGTTTTTTTGTTATGTAAATTTCTCACTTATTATGAGTAATAGGATAACTATATTTGGTATATGGGTTCCTTGCAACATCTACATGTCCATCAGACAGGGTTCACCTGACCTCAGCCTCATTTCATGGATCAGTGATCAAGGTTAAAGTTACGTGATTAGGTCCGTTTCTCAGATACTACAAGCAGTAGGTCAGCTATATGTGGTGTATGGAATGATTATAAGGGATACATGTCAGTCTGGCAGGTTTCATCTGACCTTGACCTCATTTTCACGGTTCATTGATCAATGTTAAGTTTTTGTGTTTTGGTCTGTTTTTCTAATACTATAAGCCATTGGTCAACTATATTTGGTGTATGGAATGATTGTAAGGTGTACATGTCTGTAAGTCTCATTTGTCCTTGACCTATTTTCATGGTTCATTGGTCAATGTTAAGTTTTTGTGTTTTGGTCTGTTTTTCTAATACTATAAGCAGTAGGTCTACTATATTTGGTATATGGAATGATTGTAAGATGTACATGTCCAACTGGTAGGTGTCATCTGACCTTAACCTCATTTTCATGGTTCAGTGGTCAAAGTTAAGTTTTTGAGTTTTGGTCTTTTTTTCTAATACTATATGCAATAGGTCAACTATAAATGGTGTATGGAATGATTGTAAGGTGTATATGTCTGTCTGGCAGGTATCATCTGACCTTGACCTCATTTTCATGGTTCATTGGTCAATTTTAAGTTTTCATGGTTAAGTTTGTTTCTAAGATACTATAAGCAATAGGTCAACTATATTTAATGCCTAAATTGATTGTAAGGTGTACATGTCTGTCTGGCATGGTTCATCTGACCTTGACCTCATTTTCATGGTTCATTGGTCAATGTTAAGTTTTCTTGTTTAAGACTGTTTCTTAGAAACAATAAGCAATAGGTCAACTATGTTTGGTTTATTGAATGATTGTAAGGTGTACATGTATTTCTCGTTTGGTTTATCTGACCTTGACCTCATTTTCTTGGATCATGTTAAGTTTATGTGTTACTTGTAGTAAAGCTTTGTATTTAGGACTATCAACATAAAATAAATGGTTAGTAAAGAAGGCGAGACATTTCAGCATGTGCACTCTTGTTTTATATTTTACTGATAAATGGACTTTGATATCTTTGTTAAACCTTCATGGTATGTTATGAAACATGAAAAGAAGTCTCTGGAAGATCAAGAAGAATTTAAAGGTTTTTTCATGTATTTTACTGATAAATGGACTTAGTTTTTGGCAGTCAACATCACACTATAATTCTGACATCATGTATAGCAGGCAAGACACAGAGTTCCCACTTACCCTTTACAAATTTTCCTCAATTTAGGAAAATATTGCACAATATATATATATTTATTGAGAATGAATGATTAGAATAAGCATAAACAAATTTCATTAACATGTAGAAATATCTAAATATCAAGCAATGAATTATCTCCCTTGAAAGGACATATCAGAAATTTTCAATTTATATGCTGTTAATCTTTAACTACAACTTTCAAAAACAAAGTTATTTTTATTTTTACTTAGTTTTTGTTGATAGTTTTGTTTTTCTGTAGATTATTTATATTTTTCATGTCTTTTGTATATTGTTGACTCTGTCATGGCACAACAGTAGTTTTTATATTACTGGAAATTGTTCCGAACATTTATTATCGTGATTTTGAGATGACCAACCTAAATTTGAGATTGATTTTTGCGATTTCAGGAAAAGCTGCATACAGATATATGTATAAGATATTAGAATGCAAGTTCTTATTGTGATATTCATCCAGTAGCATTATTCACATTAATATAAACCTTGCAATAATTTTAAGTAACTAGCAAACTAATATTTTGCAGATATTCTGGTGTCAACGCCTAACAGACTGATATATCAGTTGAATCAAGATCCACCTCAGATAGATTTACACACGTAAGAATTAAAACAGATTAACAATTGATAGAATAATGATTTGATATGTTATGAAAACTATGATCATCAATATTGTCATGTAAGTAAATACATAAGAAAGAAATTGAACAAGACAGGCAAAAGTGAACATTAAGGCATTTTTATACGACCTCAAAAAAATTTTGCGGTCGTATATTGGTATGACGTCGGCGTCGTCATCGTCATCGTCCGAAGACACATTGGTTTTCGCACTCTAACTTTAGTTTAAGTGAATGGATCTCTATGAAATTTTACCATAAGGTTCAATACCACAAAAGGAAGGTGGGGATTGATTTTGGGGGTTATGGTACCAACACTGAAGGAATTAGGGGCCAAAAATAAGCATTTTTGTAACTTCCAGGCATAACTTGTGTGTTAGTGCATGGATCTCTCTGACATTGTACCACAAGGTTCCATATCACAAAGGGAATGCTGGGATTGATTTTGGGGGTAATTGCCTCAAAATTTTAGGAATTAGGGGCCAAAAAGGGGCAAAAAACAAGCATTTTTCTAGTTTCATGACAATAACTTGTGTGTAAGTGTATGGATCTCTCTGACATTGTACCACAAGGTTCCATATCACAAAAGGAATGCTGGGATTGATTTTGGGGGTAAATGCCTCTAAATTTTAGGAATTAGGGGCAAAAAAGGGGCAAAAAACAAGCATTTTTCTAGTTTCATGACAATAACTTGTGTGTAAGTGTATCGATCTTTATGAAATTGTACTACAAGGTTCCATATCACAAAGGAAAAGCTGGAATTGAGTTTGGGGGTAATTGCCCAAAACGTTTCGGAATAAGGGGCAAAAAAGGGGCCAAAAATAAGTATTTTTCTAGTTTCCAGACAATAACTTGTGTTCAAGTGTATGGATCTCTCTGAAATTGTACTGCAAGGTACCCTACCACAAAGGGAAAGCTGGGATTGTTTTTGGGGGTAATTCCCTCAAAATATAAGGAATTATGGGCCATAAAGGGGCAAAAAAACAAGCATTTTTCTAGTTTCAGGACAATAACTTGTGTGTAAGTGTATGGATCTTTATGAAATTGTACTACAAGGATCCATATCACAAAGGGAAAGCTGGGTTTGAGTTTGGGGGTAATTGCCCTAAACGTTTAGGAATTTGGGTCCAAAAAGGGGCCAAAAAACAAGCATTTTTTCTAGTTTCCAGACAATAACTTGTGTTCAAGTGTATGGATCTCTCTGAAATTATACTGCAATGTACCATACCACAAAGGGAAGGCTGGGATTGAGTTTGGGGATGATGAATCATAAGGGGGTTCAAAAAATTTTTGGGGGGGTGGATATTTTTTTCCTTTTTTTTCTTTAAAATTTTCCATTTTAAATTGGTTATTTCTGATTTATATATAAAAGCAAATAATAATGATATGGTTTGAATAGGTAAATTAAAAACTTTTTAAGTTCTTAGACCACATTCATTCTGTGTCAGAAACCTATGCTGTGTCAAATATTTAATTACAATCCAAATTCAGTGCTGTATCAAGCTTGAATGTTGTGTCCATACTTGCCCCAACTGTTCAGGGTTCGACCTCTGCGGTCGTATCAAGCTGCGCCCCATCGGAGCATTTTATTGTTAATTGTAACACAAGTTTTTTTTGTGAAAATTTCATTTTGTTTACAGTAACATATAAAATGAGAAAAAAAATTATTGGTAGGTTAAAATCAACAAAAATAATTCAGTAATATCCTGTACAATTACTTAAAATGTATTTACATATTACTTATGTTTCTGACTTAAACTTTATCTTTCCTTTTATTTATATTCATAATAAAAAGATTTTAACCACAAAAGAACCAAACACATCTCTTTCACATGTGATAAGTGTTTTTATACGACCGCAAAAATTTTTGTGGTCGTATATTGGTATGACGTTTTGGTTACTTCCCTTACACTGCTTTTAAATTATGTTTAAAGAAATGCATATTTATAAAGGAAGACCAGTATGGCGCATTAGATTTGTAAAATCTTTGACCACATTTATTTATTTGTTATGCCGAATCTAACCGTGTATTTAGATTTTTAATTTTGGGTCCAGTTTTCAAATTGGTCTACATTAAGGTCCAAAGGGTCCAAAATTAAACTTTGTTTGATTTTAACAAAAATTGAATATATGGGGTTCTTTCATATGCTGAATCTAAACATGTATTTAGATTTTTGATTTTTGGCCCAGTTTTCAAGTTGGTCCAAATTGGGGTCCAAAATTAAACTTTGTTTGATTTCAACAAAAATTGAATATATGGGGTTCTTTGATATGCTGAATCTAACCATGTATTTAGATTTTTTATTTGTGGACCCCGCTATCAAATTGGTTCATATTGAGGTCAAAAGGGTCCAAAATTAAACTTTGTTTGATTTCATCAAACATTGAATTATTTCTTTGATATGCCAAATCTAACCGTGTATTTAGATTTTTAATTTTGGGTCCCGTTTTTAAAATTGGTCTACATTAAGGTCCAAAGGGTCCAAAATTAAACTTAGTTTGATTTTAACAAAAATTGAATTTTTGGGGTTCTTTGATATGCTGAATCTATACATGTGTTTAGATTTTTGATTATGGGCCCAGTTTTCAAGTTGGTCCAAGTTGGGGTCCAAAATTAAACTTTGTTTGATTTCAACAAAAATTGAATATATGGGGTTCTTTGATATGTTGAATCTAAACATGTATTTAGATTTTAGATTTTTGGCCCAGTTTTCAAGTTGGTCCAAATTGGGGTCCAAAATTAAACTTTGTTTGATTTCAACAAAAAATGAATATATGGGGTTCTTTGATATGCTGAATCTTACCATGTATTTAGATTTTTTATTTGTGGGCCCGCTATCAAATTGGTTCATATTGAGGTCAAAAGGGTCCAAAATTAAACTTTGTTTGATTTCATCAAAAATTGAATTATTGGGGTTCTTTGATATGCCAAATCTAACCGTGTTTTTAGATTTTTAATTTTGGGTCCCGTTTTTTAAATTGGTCTACATTAAGGTCCAAAGGGTCCAAAATTAAACTTAGTTTGATTTTAACAAAAATTGAATTCTTGGGGTACTTTGATATGCTAAATCTAAACATGTGTTTAGATTTTTATACGACCGCAAAAAATTTTTTGTGGTCGTATATTGGTATGACGTTGGCGTCGTCGTCCGAAGACACATTAGTTTTCGCACTCTAACTTTAGTTTGAGTGAATGGATCTCAATGAAATTTTACCATAAGGTTCAATAACACAAAAGGAATGCTGGGATTGACTTTGTGGGTAATTGCCTCCAAATTTTAGGAATAAGGGGCCAAAAAGGGGAAAAAAACAAGCATTTTTCTAGTTTCCAGACAATAACTTGTGTGTAAGTGTATGGATCTTTATGAAATTGTACTACAAGGTTCCATATCACAAAGGGAAAGCTGGAATTGAGTTTGGGGGTAATTGCCCAAAAAGTTTAGGAACAAGGGGCCAAAAAGGGGCCAAAAATAAGCATTTTTCTAGTTTCCAGACAATAACTTGTGTTCAAGTGTATGGATCTCTCTGAAATTGTACCGCAAGGTACCATACCACAAAGGGAAGGCTGGGATTTATTTTGGGGGTAATTCCCTCAAAATTTTAGGAATTAGGGGCCATAAAAGGGCAAAAAATTTTACAAGCATTTTTTCTAATTTCAGGACAATAACTTGTGTGTAATTGTATGGATCTTTATGGAATTGTACTGCAAGGTTCCATATCACAAAGGGAAAGCTGGGTTTGAGTTTGGGGGTAATTGCCCTAAACGTTTAGGAATTTGGGGCCAAAAAGGGGCAAAAAAACAAGCATTTTTCTAGTTTCCAGACAATAACTTGTGTTCAAGTGTATGGATCTCTCTGAAATTGTACTGCAAGGTACCATACCACAAAGGGAAGGCTGGGATTGGGTTTGGGGGTGATGAATCATAAGGGGGTTCTAAAAATTGGTGGGGGGGATTTTTTTTCCCTTTTTTTTTCTTTAAAATTTTCCATTTTAAATTGGTTATTTCTGATTTATATATAAAAGCAAATAATAATGATATGCATACATGGGAACCTCCCAACGGGAGTACAATAATCCCGTTTTCAGGGGTCTCCTCCCGACATCCCGTTGAAGAGAAAAAAATCCAGTGTATGCAATTTTTTCCCCAACATATCATCTCAGACATCTGGTGTAACTGACATTACCTGAAGTTATATTTTACATGTAAATCAATTAGCATGCATAATTATATGGCTTCACTTGTCAGCTTGGGTGTCAAACTTACTGGTAATCAACAATTTTTACCTCAGGCTAACTGCCGTTGTGTAATAAAAACTTTGTGTATTTATTTGGTTACTTCCCTTGATTTATCCTGTTTTAAGTTTCTTTCCTTTCAATAATGTAAATTTTTAAAAGAATATAAATAAAATATAAATTGAACAAATAATCATAAAAGGATGGTAATTAAATTATTTTAAACGTCTTAGGACAAATAAAAAAATAATAATTTGAAAATTATTTGAGGGTTCTATACTTCCTTTCAAGACTTAAATTGAAATTTATATAAGAACTATGACCCTTGATTCTAGAACTTATATATATATTTCTTAATATGCAAATATAAATTAATTGCAATTGCTGATAGTTAAACAAATGTTCTTAATGCAATGATTGTTCTATAGAATATTGATATAAAAGATATGAATTAAATTTTTTTAAAAAGATAGAGAAACTTTAAAATTACAAGGGTACTATAAACATAATACATTCGGATGGTAAGTTGAAGAATACACACTTTAAAAGACAATTTTTACAGCACACGGTTACATTTACGTCAAAATTTATGTCGACTAAAATCCTCCTGATCTGAGTCCTAATCTCCTGATCTGAGTCCTAATCTCCTGACCAAAATTTCCCAATCTTATGATCTGAGTTTCACAGTCCATCACATGTATGGATATGGTTTGAATAGGTAAATTAAAATTTTTTTAGTTCTTAGACCACTTTCATTCTGTGTCAGAAACCTATGCTGTGTCAAATATTTAATTACAATCCAAATTCAGTGCTGTATCAAGCTTGAATGTTGTGTCCATACTTGCCCCAACTGTTCAGGGTTCGACATCTGCGGTCGTATCAAGCTGCGCCCCAGCGGAGCATTTTATTTATGTAATAAACTATGATTTGGAATGAGTACTGTAAATTCAGAAATTATTGTGCATTTATTATTGCGATTTTTCAAGAATGGACAAAAATGTGAGATTAATTATTGCGATTTAGAAAAAATCTGCATACAGGTCTATTTTTTAGTTATCAGAATGCGAGTTCTAATTATTGCCAGTTGCATTATTCGAGTTAATAAAAACCTTGCAATAATTTCTGAATTTACAGTATATAAATGCTTAAATTGTCATTTTATATCTTGTGTATGCCTTTTTTGAGGTATTCACTTTTTATAATAGACAATTTCAAGAGTCAGATAAAACACCTCATACCCCATGAAATTCAGGTCTAGAAATATAACCAGTTTTACAATATATTTCTTTCTCTCTAATGCATATATGCAAATATTAAAAATAACTTCCTCTAAAAAATATAATGATCAGTATGAAGTTGAACAAGTAGACATGATATTAATAATATCTATTTATTTTGTTTCACAGGGTAGAATGGTTAATTGTTGATGAATCTGACAAGCTTTTTGAAGAAGGAAAATCAGGCTTTAGAGATCAGGTAAAAAGTATTACTAAGTTATTAATGAAGACAAATGAATGAAAGGTGCGAGCAAGCAACTTTATCCTTCCATTGAACAAAGGGCAAGACAGCTTTTTTTTGGAGCTAATTTCCTAATGCTTGTAGAATAAGATTTTGGTTGGCTTTCTTGCTTTGTTTGTATAAATGTTTGCTCAAGCATTGTAATTAAGATTGACATCTGCAAACAATATAGATAGGCGGAGTTAAACCTGTTTTCATTATATTTAGATTTCTAACCTCCAGGATAACATCCAATCAAATTTCAGTATAATGTATACAGGTTTAACTCTGCCTTTTTATCTTGTTTGCAGTTGTCAATCTTAATTACAATGCTTGAGCAAACATTTATACAAACAAAGCAAGCAAGCCAACCAAAGTCTCATTCTACAAGCATTAGGAAATAAGCTCTAAAGGAAGGTGTTTGATAACTTCAAATGAACTAAAAAATATTAGTTCTAATTTTTTTTAACAATCTGGCATTGATATCTTAATATGAAAAATAAATTTTACAGCAAATGTGGTATTAATGCTAAAGACGTGTATGTAACAACAAATTTGATTTCAACGAAAGAAATCTCTGTATTTCTGAAAAATTATTACACCAGGGTTTTCGATATCACAAACTAGTCAAAACATTTACTAAATTTTATCATCGGTACAAGGACATCATTCGTAAATATAAATCAACATGCAGACATCTTATACGTTCAGGTATTCCAATGTTTTATGGTAATATTCTTTACAAAGCACAAAAATGTCGGCATTCACCTCAAAGGCTAAACAAACCTTTAAACAGACTTATTCGTAAAGGATATAGTTGCGATACTCTTGTCAGGTCATTAAGGATTGCATATTTTGGTATTAATATTGATTCACTCATAGGGTCTTTGCATCGGAAATAAACACATTTATTCTAAAACCAGTTGTTGGCATGATACGGGTTATGTTCTTCTCATATATTTTATGATGGTATGATACTAAACCCCTAACGGGAGGGATTGTACTTGATTTTCATATGATGAAGACATAATCTTTCAATCAGTTTAATTGAGGTCAGGAGCTGGCATGTCAGTAACTGCTAGTAGTCCTTTGTTAATTTATGTATCATTGTCATTTTGCTTAGTTTCTTTTGTTACCTATTCTGACATCGGACTCGGACTTCTTTTAAACTGAGTTTTACTGTGCGTATTGCTATGTGTTTATTCTACATTGGCTAGAGGTATAGGGGGAGGGTTGAGATCTCACAAAACATGTTTAACCTCGCCGTATTTTTGCGCCTGTCCCAAGTCAGGAGCTTCTGGCCTTTCTTAGTCTTGTATGTTTTTTAATTTTAGTTCATTTATATGTTTTGCAGTTTAGTGTGACGTCTATTTTCACTGAACTAGTACACAATTTTATTTAGGGGCCAGCTGAGGAATACCTCCGGGTGCAGGATTTTCTCGCTGCGTTGAAGACCCATTGGTGGCCTTTGGCTGTTGTCTGCTCTTTGGTCGGGTTGTTGTCTCTTTGACATATTCCCCATTTCCATTCTCAATTTTGGAGACAAGTATTTGTAATTGTTAAATAAGTGATTGTCATGGATTGATATTCAAATGCAATATAGTAATATTGATCATAAAACACAGCCAAATTTTCATTCCAGCATTTAAGGGCATACAATAAAGAAAAGATTCCTCGTTAATTTTTCCCTTAAGATTTTGACTCAAATTTTGATATGCGCTTTCCTTGGCTTACTTTTGAATATATTTCAACTTGCATGTTTAATGTAAAAACACAAATTTCATTTTTCAATTCTTTTATGAAAAATTAGTCAACTTTCAAACAGAAAGAGATATTTTCCACTGGTTTTTTGCAAAGTGTTCCTTCATTTTATAGACTTTTAAGTAAGTCCCTAAAATGAAGGCTGAATGTGATGAAATATATATGAAATCATACAATCATTTATAATAAAAAAAACTCTTGACAATTTTCTTGCCAAGTACAAACTCATACAAAAATAAAGCATTCTTTTAGCAGTACATAGTCGATTAGGGGGGTCAATTAGCTCATTTTTGAGCTAGAACAAGAAAAGCTAGGGATCCCATTTCCATTTTCTGGGGCTATAAAGTAGCAATGTATTCTGAATGCAACATTGCTGTGCAGTTATTCCCGCCTTAAATCAAAATGTTTTACGAATGACTGTCATAAATGAGTTTATTGATTGATTTTCTCAAATTTTATGCCCCAGCAGTAGTTTTTGAGTGCTTAAAATATATATATTATCTCCATTTTAATTTACAAATACTTTAAAATCCAAGTAATCGATTTGATGACATTTTCAATGAACTTTCCATGCTTATCATTGCTAAAACATCACAAATTGTATGTCATTTATTCACAAATTTACTTCTTCATAATTTTGACATCTTAAAAATCAAAATTACGAACAAAACTAAATCAAATTTATGATTTTATTTGCAGCTTGCTGTAATTTACAAGGCATGTGATTCTAAGAATGTTAGAAGAGCAATGTTTAGTGCTACATTTGCTTATGATGTTGAAGAATGGTGCCGACTGAATCTAGACAATGTCATACAGGTGTATGTGGGTGCAAGGTAGGTGCTTTGTTTCTGACTATAATATAGAAATGAGGCAATGTGGTATGATTGTCAACTATCAACCAGACACCAAATTATTCATGTTATTAGGATGCAAACAACTATAGGGTACTGTTTGGCCTTCAACATTGAGCAAACCCATTGAGTAAGCTACAAAATGTGAGACAATTCAAAGAGAAAACCGATGACACAATTGATGCTAAAATCAACAAAGGAAAATAAATAAAGCAGACAGCAACCAATGGCAATGACTGTATTACAGGCTTCTGACTTGGGACAGGCACATTAAGGATGTGGTGGGGTTTGATATGTTTGTGAGTGCTCAACCCTCCCCTTAACCTGGGACAGTAGTGTAACAGAACAATATATATTAAATGCTTTTATACACTTCCCTAGAAACACTGTATTTGATTTTCAAGAAATCATACAGTGGCTAAAAATCAGTTTAATTCAAAAGAACATTAATTGATATTTCAGGAATTCAGCAACACAGACAATAGAACAAGAGCTACAGTTTGTTGGAACAGAATATGGAAAGTTATTTGCTATCAGGGAAATAATACGTAAAGTAAGTAATTTGTATGAAAACATCATCTCATCTTTCTTATATTATGTAGCTTAATTGACTAAATTTTCCATAAACTTGGACTATCTAAGATTAACTTTCATTTGAGGTTGATTCGCAAGTTATTTGAAATCAAATAACTGAATTAAATAAAATCTTTTTCATTTAAGTTTCATCTGAATTGAGTTATTATGTTATTAGGAGCTTACAGTTTCCAGTATTAACATATTTATTTATTTGATAAGTTTAAAATTGATAAAAATAAATTTATTATAACCCAACTTACTGAGAGAGTCAATAACTGTAATCATCTTTTTCATGCATCTGACCTTCATGCAATTTTCACTACATATTTCTCCGCTTTTGTATTAAGGATGGATTAAAATTTGGTCAAGAACTTCATGATTTTGAGTTGAACCATGTAAGCGATTTTTTAACTGCTGGTAGTCACTTCCTGTTTAACAATACTTTTTATGCTTCTGCCGTAGCGGAGGGGGCATTAAGTGTTACCCTTGTCCGTCCCGTCCGACGTGTAAGTCCCCAAAATTGGTTTCCGTTCTCTAACTTTAGTTTCCTTCAACCATCTGTGGCCCATAGACACATTCTCCATTTATTTTTTATAACGGCCACTGAGTATATTTTTTGTGTCCAAATGGAGTTTACTTTACAGGACATAGCTTATAACATTTTGTTTAAATTTAGATCTAAGGAAATCCATATTTTGTGAAAAATTTGTTGTCTCTGCCTGCATTTACATGCCTCTATTGTAATGAAAAGAATCATTTCGTATTAAAAAATTATCATATCTTCATTTTTGACTTTTGCTTATTTTTTTTTTATTCTTTATAGGGTATTCAGCCTCCAGTACTAGTGTTTGTACAATCTAAAGAAAGAGCTCAGGAGTTGTTTAATGAGCTGATATATGACGGTATGAATGTTGATGCTATACATTCAGGCAAAACACAGATGCAGGTAAGCAATTTTTCATCCCTTAGACATGTTAGCAATAATCAATCAGGTAAATTTTGTTTTGTATATAATTTTTGTAAAAAGGTTCAGAGAAACTGTTTTCTTGTATAATTTGTATAATCTTGTTGACTTTCGCATGTGATTTTTAAACCACGATGTTTTACATGTTGGTGTATAAACTGACAGAGATACTTATATTTTCTGTTCAGCAATCAATGCAAATTTTGATGTTGCCATATTGTACAATGCAGTAAGGTCAATCTATTAAGGAGAAGATTGAAGTGAAGCATTTTCAATCATATTGTAATTAATTGTATTGTTAATATGTTTACTTTTTCTGAGTGATATTAAATGCTGAAGGAAGGCAAGATTCCCTGAAAACTTATTCTTTTATGCTTACAGCGAGATGAAGTGGTAATGAAATTTCGTCTTGGTAAAGTGTGGATTTTGATCTGTACAGAACTTATGGGTAGAGGAATAGATTTCAAGGGAGTTAACCTAGTCATTAATTATGATTTCCCAAACAGTGCAATAACTTATATCCATCGGATAGGTCAGTTGAATTATAGATTATGTGTAAAATTAGTGAAGAATTTGAAATAGAAATTGTGGTCTTTTATTATTTAACTTATTTTAAATTAAAGAAGAAAACTGCAGAGTTCATATAAAAATCATGCCATTGTATATGATGGTCATTGCACCATGAAAAAGATTACAAATATGTAATTTTGCCACATAGTTTTGTCTGTTTGTCTTCAACTTGTGAGTTTGGATGCCCCTTTGGTATCTTAAACCTCTCTTTTTAAATGAGCTCATATGAGAATTTGGCTAATGAAGATAATTGCACCATGAAAAAGGCTACAAATATTTCTACATAACTGCATGTATGTACAGAATTAAATGATAATCAAGATGTACAGTGACAATTTTTGTTTATTGATACCCCTGCTTTAATTATATAAAAGTATTAGGTAAACTGGAAGTTGATGAGCGATGGATGTTGAAATGCATCACATGATATAGCTGGCTCATGAAGTTTGATACCAAATTTAATGATGCTCTGATTCATTGTTTCTTAGAAGAAAAGTTTGACGAAAATTTCATACATGTTCATTATGTGCAAGAATATAAGTATTGATAAACAAGACATTTTTGAATGATTCATGTAAAAACGCATCAACTGTTATAGCATGCTCACAGGAAGCTTGTTAACACATTTTAGGAAGCTCCAATTTGTAGTTGTCGAGAAAAATGTGACAAAAATTTCATTGGACAAGTTTACAGAGGTTAACCAGTATACCCTTACATCAGAATGGGGGTATAATGATAATTTTTCCTATACTATTTCAAAGGATTGTATAATATTTTAGAATTAAAAAATTCCAGGGCAAGACTTAATCTCTAACATAAAATCAAGTATATTTATGTTAAAGTTTTTGTCACTAAAGAAGATATAATAAAAATATAGCAATATTTCTGACACACAGGATATAATCTCTGTCAAGAATTCTTTGGCGAAGTGATAATTCAAGATTAAAATACAAAACACTTTTGTCAGTAATGGAAGACAACAATCAGCACATTATATATTTTCCAAAAGTTACACATTTAAAACAGATGTTTCGACAACATTATAAAACTGTTGTTATGGTATTAAACATCACTTATTTTAAATTATTGGACAAAGTTATTGCAAAGATACATTTATAAATGAAATAGTTTATAACTTTAATTATACAGGTCGGACAGGCAGAGCTGGAAGGTCTGGAAAGGCAATCACATTTTTCACAGAGGATGATCGTATAAATTTGAGAAGGTATTAGTTCTAAATTCTGTGTCATTTTTTCTATAAAATGTAAATATTCAAAAATTTAAAGATGTGTCATTCAACAATTTGTCTTTGAACTTCAAAATTAGTATACACTCAATAGATAAGTATGAATTATAAAGACCCAGCAATTTTTTTTTTATTTGGCTTTGGCTAGAAATAAGAAGACGTGGTATGAGTCAGGGCTTCCAAAATTTCCTGACGACAGCCGGACATTTTTCAAAGAAATATTTTTGACGGTCAATGATCAGCTGGATACTTAAATGTAACTGAGAGGATGCATAAATTGATATATGTGTCTAAATAATTAGTAGTGTTATATGCAATAAAATTATTTATAACTGTTTTGTTTTTTTCATTCTAAAAATAAATAAAATATTATCCTCGGTATTGTGTCATTTTTCTGTGTATCGTAATACAGTAACCATCATTGCATCAATCAGCTTCAGTACCTGACTGTTCTCATGTTTTTGTTTCTGTTTATATAATCTATCTTCTCTCTGTGAGTACTTAACACTTTGTAAATTAAGGCCATCTTATTTGAAACTGTTGATGTTGGCTTTAATTGCAGTACAACTTGATCATCAATACACGTGATACTTTTATTTTTGTGTATTGATTACCTGACCACGTGACTTTTACAACTGATGCGGTATTTATAGATAACATTGAGGAGGCCCAATGAAGGATATTGTTTTAAACCGTGTAAAATCTACTGAACAGTGATAACATTTTTCTTTGTACAATTTTCCAACCTGATTTAGAAAATAAGGAATAAATAAAAACATACTCAGTTGATAAATAATTTAATGAATAACAACATGATATTTTATGTAAGCATATAACAACAATAAAATATCAGAAGAGCACAATGTTGACAAACACACGCAATAAATATTACAATGAGCACATTGAAAAGAAGCACAGATCACAGCACAAGATTAGAGTTCATTTAGTCTAATTTAAGATTTTACATTCATGAGCTTGCTAAATGCATTGTTCTGATAAACATGGCGGTTACGAACGGATTGCCATTTGCGGATAGCAGGAACAGGGTCAAAGTCTTTAACATCTACACCTACTAAGCTTATCCTCATAAGTTATAATATATATAATTTAGAAGTGATCACGGCACCATTTAACTTAGTTAAATCATTTATTGACTGAAATTTGTCCATTGGTAAGTTTTCTTTAGCAATAAAGTAAGCATTACGGAACAAGGTGCACATTGCGTTGTCAGTCTTTTCATGAACTTTCTCAAATACTGATACAATTGGATTACTTTTGGAAGCTGTCTCTAATTTAAGAGCTTGAATGTGGTCATTGCTATTAGCATGCTCTACAACGGCTGACATTTTTAGCAGATTTCGAATTTTGATCGGAATCGTCACGTTTACGTTTGCCCATGATGGCAGATTTGTAAAGTTCAATTTGAGACAAAGTCTTTATAACAGTCGGAGATTGTCATGATTGGATATTATTCTTTATGATTTTAATTATAAAAACAGTTTTTAATATGAAAACAAGAATAGAGAACGCCCCCCTTATTTATTGGACAACTCAGCTTGGTATACCCAAGCGAAGCTATTCTCGGTGTTTTTCCTATATATTTTAGTAAATTTTCCCCTTGAGAGTACCCCAGTATTTAACACGATGTACAGTGTTAAATAAAATAATATATATCATACTTATTCATTTATAAATATCCTTATTTGAAGAATAACTTTTAAATATCAGGATACTTTTTAAACTGAATGCTCATTTAAAATAATATCTATAAAGCGTAATTAAATAGGATGTTGTTCCATACACGCTTACATGTTTGACCTCGTTTACCTGATTACCTTTATGTACATTGTTATGCATCATTAATTCTATTGATAAAGACCAGCTAAAGACACCTCATCAAAGGTAACAAACCTGTAATCAGTGAATGATTTATGGCTTCAATATAACTTATTGAAGGGATAATTGTTTGACAGCTTGTTGTTATTTAAATAAAAGAAAACGTGTTTTTTCTACTTTTTATTGATGTACACAAGCTAAAGACCAAGCCGTACATTTATGTACCCAGAGGATTAGACTAACTGAGACACTTCAAAGTATCTGAAATATGCTGCTTCTGTTTTACTAAACCCAATTATGACTGAAATATCTTTGTGAAATAGATTGCCACAATTATAAACTAAAATGCCAAAACGGACATGCCCAAAGCCCCAAACGGACATTTTTATCGATCGATAGTTGGTAAAAATTGAAATGACCGTTTCATGAAAATGCCTTGAATAACAAAATGTGGCACACCAATTCTATTTGACCATTTGAGGCTGAGAGCAACCGGTCTTTTTATGAAAGTTTCGGTCAAGTCCGGAATATATGACTGTTTTGGAAGCCCTGGTATGAGTGCCAATGAGACAACACTCCATCCAAGTCACAATGTGTAAAAAGTTAACAATTATAGGTCAAAGCACAGCCTTCAACACGGAGCCTTGGCTCACACCGAACAGCAAGCTATAAAGGGCCCCAAAATGACTAGCGTAAAACAATAAACAGGAAAACCAACTGTCTAAACTATATAAAAAACGAGAGACGCTTATGAACCACATCAACAAACGACAACCACTGAACAAAAGGTTCCTGACTTAGGACAGAGGCTGTTCATTTAAGGTTCCTTTTGATCATATAGCTCCTTACGTATTCAAGTATCTTTACATATTGTACATCCTTCGCTTTAAAATTTTTGAGTTTGAACGTTGCCGATGAAGGTTAACCCAGAATAAAATGCTCCACAGGGCGCAGCTTGATACGACCGCAGAGGTCAAACCCTGAACAGTTGGGGCAAGTATGGACACAACATTCAAGCTTGATACAGCTCTGAATTTGGATTGTGATTAAATATTTGACACAGCATAGGTTTCTGACACAGAATGAATGTGGTCTAAGAACTTAAAAATTTTAAATTGGACATTCACCTATTATGGTCCAATATCCAAAATCTAAATACATGGTTAGATTCAGCATATCAAAGAACCCCAAGAATTCAATTTTTGATGAAATCAAACAAAGTTTAATTTTGGACCCTTTTGACCTCAATGTGGACAAAGTTGATAATGGGGCCCAAAAATCAAAAATCTAAATACATGGTTAGATTCAGAATATCAAAGAACCCCATATATTCAATTTTTGTTGAAATCAAACAAAGTTTAATTTTGGACCCCGATTTGGACCAACTTGAAAACTGGGCCCATAATCAAAAATCTAAATACATGTTTAGATTCAGCATATCAAAAAACCCTAAGAATTCAATTTTTGTTAAAATCAAACTAAGTTTAATTTTGGACCCTTTGGACCCCGATTTGGACCAACTTGAAAACTGGGCCCATAATCAAAAATCTAAATACATGTTTAGATTCAGCATATCAAAAAACCATAAGAATTCAATTTTTGTTAAAATCAAACTAAGTTTAATTTTGGACCCTTTGGACCTCAATGTGGACCAATTTAAAAACGGGGCCCAAAATCCAAAAACTTAATACACGGTTAGAATCAGCATATTAAAGAACCCCAAGAATTCAAGAATAAAACCCCATTGAAATTGGTCAAGAAATAAGCAATTTATACGAAGTATCTTCTTTTGCACAATACTGTGCAACTGAATATTTCTTGCTATTGCGCAATACTGTACAATTGACAATTTCTTGCTATTGCGCAATATTGTGCTATTGGATATTTCTTGCTATTGCACAATACTGTGCAATTGAAGATTTATTGCTATTGCGCAATACTGTGCAATTGAAGATTTCTTGCTATTGTGCAATAGTGTGCAATTGAAAATTTATTGCTATTGCACAATACTTATTTTATAATAATTTACACATCCTGTTTGGTGTGTATCTCCTACCATATCATTATTATTTGCTTTTAAATATAAAACAGAAATAACCAACTAAAAATGGAAATTTTGAAAAAAAAGGAAAAAAAAAAAAATCCCCCCCCCCCAATTTTTTAAACCCCCTTATGATTCATCACCCCCAAACTCAATCCCAGCCTTCCATTTGTGGTATGGTACCTTGCAGAACAATTTCAGAGAGATCCATACACTTGAACACAAGTTATTGTCTGGAAACTAAAACAATCTTATTTTTGGCCACTTTTTGGCCCCTTATTCCTAAACGTTTTGGGCAATTACCCCCAAACTCAATTCCAGCTTTCCCTTTGTGATATGGAACCTTGTAGTGCAATTTCAGAAAGATCCATACACTTACACACAAGTTATTATCATGAAACTAGAAAAATGCTTGTTTTTTGCCCCTTTTTTGGCCCCTAATTCCTAATATTTTGAGACAATTACCCCCAAAATCAATCCCAGCATTCCCTGTGTGATATGGAACCTTGTGGTACAATTTCAGAGAGATCCATACACTTGAACACAAGTTATTGTCTGGAAACTAGAAAAATGCTTATTTTTGGCCCCTTTTTGGCCCCTTATTCCTAAATGTTTTGGGCAATTACCCCCAAAATCAATTCCAGCTTTCCCTTTGTGATATGGAACCTTGTAGTACAATTTCAGAAAGATCCATACACTTACACACAAGTTATTGTCATGAAACTAGAAAAATGCTTGTTTTTTGCCCCTTTTTTGGCCCCTAATTCCTAATATTTTGAGGCAATTACCCCCAAAATCAATCCCAGCATTCCCTGTGTGATATGGAACCTTGTGGTACAATGTCAGAGAGATCCATACACTAACACACAAGTTATGTCTGGAAGTTACAAAAATGCTTATTTTTGGCCCCTTTTTGGCCCCTAATTCCTTAACTATTGGTACCATAACCCCCACAATCAATCCCAACCTTCCTTTTGTGGTATTGAACCTTATGGTAAAATTTCATAGAGATCCATTTACTTAAACTAAAGTTAGAGTGCGAAAACCAATGTGTCTTAGGACGACGCCAACGTCATACCAATATACGACCGCAAATTTTTTTTGCGCTCGTATAAAAATCCTTTGAATGCATTTAAGTTAAAAGTTGTATTTTCCTTTTTTAGTCATAAATTAGGAAAGTAGATATATTACTGCATATGAAAGTTATAACTTGGAAAAGGTATTTTATTGCTAAAAGAAATACTAATATATTCCATTTCATCATCATCTTGATTAATTTTTAAGTATAGCAAATGTAATGGTAGAAGCAGGATGTCCAGTACCTCCCTATATGTTACAGATGAAAAAACCCACCAAGTAAGTAAAGATACAGGGATAGACTTTTGGATATCATGAACTACTGATATAAAATTAGGTTAAAAATGGAATCAAGCTAAAAAAACTAATCATGGTCTTAATTAAATCTGTTCATGAAATAGGTTTATAATGACCATCTTTATATTGTAAGCATGAGAAACATATTCTGCAATTTTTCACCTAAGTCACATTTTGAGGGACCATAATACCTACTTTTACATAGTATAAGTTAATGTTTGTGTTTAGGTTTGTTTTGAAGGGAACAACTTATGATAAGTCAATGGTATTTGGTATACAGTTGTATTAGCATTGACACATCTCATTTCCATGGCGATTGTTTAGCCATGTACCTTCAGTCATGGTTCATTGACTTTGAATATTTGCATAACTTACATGTTAAAGTATTGCTATTTTAATTTCTACATTTGCATTATCAAAATAACAAAAAGGGGAGACATATGTCTGTGTTAACAATTTATATAAGAAAAATCAATGTACATGTATTAGAAATTAAAGATTTGATGATTTTAAGACAAATTTAAGATGGGTTTTCACTGATTTTATGTGCTTTCCATACAAATGTTCACCTATTTTGAAAGAATTTAATAGTAATTTTCAGAAAATAAAGGAGATAAATGCATTTTTTTTCTTCAATTTTTAGTTTTAGTTCAACAAGCCAAAGTTGTATGCCTAATTTTGCCAAAATCTGTGACATAGCCCATTTACTGTAACTTGACCTTAACACTGCTTTCAAATTCAATCAAGATTGGTTTCATTAAAACCAATCATCGGTGTAAACCTTTCATATAAGTTTGATCAAAATCTTCATAATTTTGACACCTTATCTGAAACTGACTTACTTGTAAAGAAAATTCAGTGAAAATAGCACTTTTTTTATTTTATTTATCATGTCATAAGTTTAAAGATACATTTATATAAACTATTACTTCTGTTTTGGCTAATAGACTTTTCTGTAAACACTTTAAAATTTTGAAATTGTTTTGGCTATAACATATTTTAATTACAGTTCAGTGAATAATAGTAGTTTATTCCTCACTGTAATTAGAAAAAAAGATAAGAACATGTTAGGCTATTATTGTTCTAAAAGTATAAGTTTGTTTCACTTATATTATATCCCTTGTACAAAACTACTTTAAAAGATACATAGCGTACAATTTGACATTTTATGTTTATAGGAAAAAAAGAAGGAGACTAGCTAAAAGAGTACCACAGAGGGAACATATTTCAACTGCACTGAAAGCAGATTTGGAAAAGGCGAAAAAGAAAAGGTATGTCATTGTTTACTATGATGTCAGCGTGCATCATTGCTCACATGATGATCAAATGACTAGATATAATATTAAACTGATGAAGGATTATTTTAACTATACAAATCACCTGTTTTCCAGTTATAAGAAAACACCAATTTATGGTCTATGCTGTATTATGTGTATTTAGACCAAACTTAGATACATAATTGCAGATACAACATACCATCAATGATTAAACCATTCAATCATTTCACGATTTGCTGAAGCATGACTGAAGGCACACATACAATACTTGTTGATGTTTATTTCTGGAAACTATTGTTGAGTTCTGTTTAACTGATGCACACACTTCATCTTTAATCAATGTATAATTCTAAAGACAGCAAGACTGCATATTAGATGCATGGATGATAATTTATTCAAAATATAAGTGGTCTATCATAAAACAAAAAGCAAACAACATGTTTCATCTGCATGGAAGATATCCTAGTCATTGTTATTGGAATAAAGAAAAAAATAATTTTCTTTTGTTCCAATGTTTTTTTTTCTCCTTTATTCAACAAAGAGATATTGTTTATTTTCAGGGATATCATTCGTAAAATGAAGTTACAGAAGATAGAAGGTTCTACAGTTGATAAAAAGAAATTACGAAGACTTAAATCAAAATCCAAGAATAAGTCAGATGTAGATAGTAAAAATCCAACTACTCATAAAGTGAAAAAGAAAACTCCAAAAAATGCAACAGAGATGAAGAGATCAAAACAAAACATTTCATCAAATGATACGGGGAAGAAGTTTAAACAAAAAAAGAAAAACAAATTAAAAAATTCTAAATGATCTTAAAATATTTATTTGCCTATTTTTTTGCCTTCTCCACTGGACTGTTGAATAACTACAGAATGTCATGCAATTACCAAGGCTCTTAGTGTTCTTAAATTTAACAAAAAACTTATTGCTAACAACTGAAAAAAGAGGTTGAAGATACCAAATTCATAAGCTGAAGAGAAACTGAAAACACCATGGCACTATATCAAAAGTGCAATTTTCCTTTAGAGTTGCTGAATTAGTGTTGTTGGTGCTTATTGCTCAAACAAATGCCCAGTCGGTTAAGCATTTTACATTACACCGTTAAAGAAATATGAAATTTTTGTTGATCTTATGAATGGCATAACCAATTAATACAAAATATGGAGGAAAGTTTTCTTATGAGATAGTCATATTTATAAGGTTATAATTAGTAAGTTGTCAAACTAGAAATTTTTATACTGAATTAATTATTAATGCATCTGCGCATAAGCATTTACTACTCTCAATACAGTTATTGTCTCGCCTGCAACAAATTATTTGTTTAAAGCTTTATATTTCAGAAGGTAGAAGACCTGGATGCTTCATACCTTGTGTGCAGGTAACTTATGTTACAAAGTTTCCATCTGTCATATGTCCATTGTCCTTGACCTCATTTTCATGGTTCAGTGACTGCTTGAAAGAAAATTACAATTTTTTTGTGAAGTGAAATATTCACTTATTATGAGTAATAGGTTATTTATATTAACATGTCCGTCAGGTAGGGGTCACCTGACCTCGACCTTATTCCATGGATCAGAGATCAAGGTTAAAAGTTACATGGTCAAGTCCGTACCTCAGGAACATAAGCAGTAGGGCAACTATGTTTGTTGTATGGAATGATTGTAAGGTGTACATGTCCGACTGACAGGTTTCATCTGACCTTGACCTCAATTTTATGGTTCATTGGACAAGGTTTAGTTTTTGTGGTTTGGTCTATTTCTCAGATATTATAAGCTATAGGTCAATTTTATTTGGTGTAAGGAATGATTGTAAAATGTACATGTCTGTCTGGCAGGGTTCATATGACCTTGGCCTCATTTTCATTGTTCATTGGCCTATGATAAATTCATAATTTTGTCAGTTTATCAGATACTATAAACAATAGGTCAACTATATTCATTGGGTGATCGGAATGATTGTAAGGTGTACATGTCTGTCTGGCAGGGTTCATATGACCTAGACCTCATTTTCATGGTTTATTGGTCAATGTTAAGATTTTGTTGTTTGATCTGTTTCTCGGTAACTATTAGCGATAGGACCACTATATTTGGTGTATGGAATGAAACTAAGATGTACATGTCTGTTTGGCATAGTTCATCTGACCGTGACCCAATTTTCATAGATAATTGATAATGTAAGTTTATGTGATACTTGTAGTTAAACCTTCATATTATAGACTTTCAAAATGAATTCAATGATCAGTAAAACAGGCGAGACATTTCAGCATGTGCACTCTTGTCTTTAATTCTCCATGCAATTAAACCAGTTCTGACCAGTGATATACCACATTTATTAAACACATTATTCTGACTCTAAGCTGACCAGTTTGCTCTTGCTTCTTAATACTGCATGCTTAGTTGAGAAACGGCAAGTACCAATTTCCATATCTTTGGTTTATCTGGTCAGGGATTCAAACCCATAAAATATAGCACTCTAGGCAAGCACAAGATTACCCAAGTGGTATGAATAAAAGCAAGTCAATGAGACAGCAAGCCAACAACACAAAAAAACAAATGACATCTTGAGATTGACATATGGTCTTCAACTATATGTCAAACTCTAAATCACATTAAGTCCAGATAAGTATTGAATAAATTTAACAGGCTATAAAGATCTGCCCAACACCAAATTTTCCAAATAACAAAAAAATTAATGAACCTTGCACATACCCCACTGTCACTGGGCGAACAAAATCTCACCTTACTCCTAAGTTCAAAGACTGATAACTCCTACAAAAGTCAACTGATAAAAATTTCTTGTGGATATGAACTTCTACATATTATGTCCTTATTATCTTCAAAATTTTATGAAATTCTGTTGTATGGTTTTCGAGGAGCTGTGATGACAAACTACTGTAGTAGTATATTTAGGCAAAAATTCTAAGTTCAAAGAGGCATAACTCGTAGAAAATAAATGTGGATTGTGTCCACATGTGGACACAGATGATGCCCCCGTTTGCATATCATATAGTTATAAAGGGACATAACTGAAGAACGGTAAAAGTGACGCTACACGCATAACTCTAGAACGGTTGTGTATACATTTTATAACATTTGGTTGAGACAAACTAAAGTTAGAGAACGGAAACGAAAAATTCAGCAATTTTTATGTTTATAAAGGGACATAACTCAAGAATGGTAAAAGTGTTGCCACCAAATTTCGTACATAATCTGTATTATGTAGTAATAAGCATTGTGTATAAGTTTCATAAATTTGGTTGAGGCAAACTAAAGGTAGAGAATGGAAACAAAAAAATTGTACATTATCTTAGTTTTGAGGTAATGAATATTGTGTAAAGGTTTCATAATGTTTGGTTGGGGCAAACTTAAGTTACAGAATGGAAACTAAAAATTTTGCAATCTTTCGATTTATAAAGGGGCATAACTCAATAATGGTTAAAGTGACACTACCCAAATTCAACTTGATCTGTGTTTTATCAGTGGAAGGCAAAATTAAACATTGCATTGTATAAAGCATTGATTGTAGTTGATTTAACTATAATCAAGGACAAAGGAAGATAACTCCAATTTTAAAAATTACTTGAATAATGACATTGATATTTTTGGAAAAAAATGAAAAATTTAGCAATTTTTCCATTTGTAAAGGGGCATAACTCTAGAACAGTATAAGTGAAGCCCCCAAAATTCAAACTTGATCTGTGTTTTGTGGCAATAAGCATTGTGTATAAGTTTCATAACATTTGGATGAGGCAAACTTAAGTTAGAGAACGAAAATGAAAAATTTTGCAATTTTTCCATTTATAAAGGGGCATAACTCTAGAACGATTAAAGTGGCGCAACCAAAATTCAATCTTGATCTGTTTATTGTGGTAATAAGCATTGTGTATAAGTTTCATAACATTTGGATGAGGCAAACTTAAGTTAGAGAACTGAAATGAAAAATTTTGCAATTTTTCCATTTATAAAGGGGCATAACTCTAAAATGGTAAAAGTGGCGCCACCAAAATTCAAACTTGATCTCTGTATTGTGGTAATAAGCATTATGTATAAGTTTCATAACATTTGGATGAGGCAAACTTATGTTGGAGAACGGAAATGAAAAATTTTGCAATTTTTCCATTTATAAAGGAGCATAACTCTAGAACGGTTAAAGTGACGCCACCAAAATTCAATCTTGATCTGTGTTTTGTGGTAATAAACATTGTGTATAAGTTTGATAACATTTGGTTGAAGCAAACTTATGTTAGAGAACGGAAACCAATTTTGGGACGTACGGATGGAAAAGGGTAAAACTTAATGCCCCCTCCGCTTCGGCAGGGGCATAAAAAACAAATACCAACTCAAAGAAAAAGCAAACAAGTAAGTCAGTCAAAAAGCTTTATTTAGAGTCAATTTAATCAAAAATGTACAAAATAAGCGTACTGCTTTCAAAATTGACTATAAATCATTCATATCAAATAAACAAGCACACAACACTTATAATTATCAGTCAACTAGCAGATTCTATCACTCTTAATAACATTCATGACAACATATAATAAAAATTCAGCACACCTTATATCAAAACAGGAAAAAATTCAAATCCATGGGCCATTTAACCATTAAATGTTATCAACGAATCTGATTTGTAACTCCTTATGATATGATATATATAAAAGCTGCTCCATATCAAAATCCATAACAAAAAAAAAGGTAGAAATATACTAAAATTTCATTTCAATGGTTGTAATTCCATAAAAATAAAAGAACAGAGTTCCAATGTCCCCCGCATTGCACATATTTTATCTATCCAGGGACAATAACTAAAAAAAAAAAAACTATTTTTTTGTTGTTCTTTAAAACAATTTATAAATAAAAAGCGTGCGCGGGGGACAAACAAGTTTTTTTTATTGTATACAAAATATTTCAAACAGACCTTCAAGGGCATTACTTATAGTATACTATAGGTTATATAAAAAATTGTACCCGTGAGAGCACTAACCAGGCCATTTTCCACAAATTTAATATTTCCAAAGGTCACAACTCTTTTAAAAAAGTCGATCGTCCACCATTATAGCACTTGTCCGAGTTATTGCTGATATTAACCTATTGTATAAGTTTTATAAAAATCTGGCAAGAATTGTACCCGTGAGAGCGCTAACCAGGCCATTTTCCATAAATTTATTATTTCCAAGGGTCATAATTCTTTTAAAAAAAAGTCGACCGGCCACCATTATAGAACTTGTCCGAGATATTGCTGATATCGACCTATAGTATAAGTTTTATAAAAATCTGGCAAGAATTGTACTCGTGATGAGAGTGCTAACAAGGCCATATTCCATATATTTAATATTTCCAAAGCGCATAACTCTTTTAAAAAAAGTCGATCGGCCACCATTATAATACTTGTCCGAGATGTTGCTGATATTTACCTATAGCATAAGTTTTATAAAAATCTGGCAAGAATTGTACCTGAGAGAGTGCTAACAAGACCGGATGGATGGACGGAAAAACAGACGCCCGGTATTTCCATGTCCCCCGGAACATGTTACGCGGGGAACAAAAATCAGTATCTAAAATTATAAATTATGCCAAAATGAACTCGATACAAAAAAAAAAAGAAAAAAGGAGTCAAAAACCCAAAATTTCTTATGTCCGTAACTCTATTTAATCAAAGTACTGTCTATGCTATAAGTCAGCTAATCTAACTCTTTTTTTATCACAAAAAGCAGTATTTCTCTTTTCAAGCACTGAAAGGGATACATGTGACTCGGTTCAAGCTATTTTCCTAATACTTGTAGTTTAAAGGTTTGGTTGGCTTGCTTGCTTTGTTTGTATAAATAGTCACTCAAGAATCGTAATTAAGATTGACATCTGCAATCAATAGACAGGCAGGGCTTCAGCTTGTATACATTATACTCTGTATTATACTTAACATCCAATAACATTTAAGTACAAGCTGAAGCCTTACTATCTATTGATTGCAGATGTCAATCTTAATTACAATGCTTGAGCAAACATTAATACAAACAAAGCAAGCAAGCCAACCAAACCTATAGACTACAAGCATTAGGAAAATAGCTCTAAAAAGGCTGTTATTTTTGTAGATCTTATCATAACAGAGTTTTGTTATTTAAATGAAGTAAAATCAAGTTAACAGTTAATTTTACATAACTTAAGATTAAGTCCTCTCCCTTAGTATAAATTTGAAAATAATGGGGGGTTGGAAATCAACTTGAATATTGATACATAGCCTGTGATGAATTTTAATCAATTACTTCCACAAGCATAAGATACTGTTTAAAAATGATATTTTACCCCTTTGCTTTAAATCAAAATGAAAATGTTTTATAAATGGTTGCTTTACATAGGAACTATATAAGTGTACTTTAGTGACTAAAATAGAATTTATTGGCTTCACTTCAGAACTAATTAATTTTTTTTGTTAAGGGGAAATTACATGTGAAAAGTCAATGGTTGACGTTTAAGATGGTGTTTTATTCCTTAAGCAAATCGTATTCACATGTATGGTTTGATTGTATACGTTTAATTCAGAGTTCTGTCCCATCTAAACATCCAGATTGGTGACATAGAGCCAGATGAATGCTAGTCGTTTCGTAACCTGGTCGTTTCATAACTAGGTCGATTAGTAACTGAGACGTTTCATACCTGGTGTAATTATATATGGTTTTAAAGTGTGTCTCTATTAGTTTTGTCTTAATTCAACAGTTAAAGGCAATATATATAAATTAATTCACTAGTATTGTCTCTGGAAGTGTAGATCTCTTAGTGTTTTTTTTTTCATATAATACAGGAAATAATTTAATTAAACTAAAAGTTATTTATTTATCACAGTTCTGCATACTTAATATATTTTTTTTATTGAAAAATGATCAAAGTATGCATCAAATAATAACAATATTGTAATAATTTAAAACTGTTTTAAATTATTTAATTCTTGGCTAATTGGTGAATATGCCTGGTGTTGAACCTTAATGGTTTTATGACAGCTATTGACAGGTGATTATAAGTAATAAGGGGTCAAGGGATTAAGTAGAGGATTAAAAATGGCACATGACCTGAAAAAAATAATTATTTTCTACTTTTTTTTCTTCACTTTGACATGCAATTGCATAACCGTCCTCCTTTTTCACCCGGGCTTGGTACCGGTGTTGGCACATTTCAAGTTTTTTTTTCTTTCTTTTTTTTGTAAATCGTCTTCCTTTAGAACATTAACTTACTCATTTTTTTTTTCTTTCTTTGAGATTCATCATTATGTTGTCCTTTGTTAATGTTATATATATCAATAAGTCTTTTTATATTTTTAATAGAAATATTTATTCAACATTTTTTCCATAACCTACAACTCATATCATGATATATTGTTATAAGGTTACAAAACTCTCAGTTACAAAACAACATCGTTAGTTACGAATCGACTAGGTACGAAACGACCAGGTTACGAAACGACCTGCACCCAGCCAGATTGGCTATAGGATATCTGCATATCTTATATGGAACCTTAATTATCATAACAATTATATAAACATGTATATAATTATCAGATACATTTCATTTCTTATTGTTTGAATAATTCTGTGTCACATTTAGGTAGAGCATCCTTTAACAAATCCAGTAATGGTTTCTTATGCTTTTCTTCTAAATGAGGCAGGTCATATATTATCAATTTTTTCAGGTTCCTGTCAAGAAAAAAATCAATATGAGCAACACTATTAATCCTATTATATAGAAAGTAAAAATATATATAGAAAGCAATGAAAAGGAAATAAGAGAAAATATTGAAATTTTGTAAAATATTTACTCCCTGACTCAGATTCTGTGGTTCAGTGGTTGTCTTTGGTTTGTGTCTGTTATTTATTTTTCTAAATTGTTTTGTTAAAAATTATCCAGTTGGTTGAATTGTTTCATATGTTGTCATGTTGGGGCCTTTTATTGCTGACTATAAAATATTGGTTTTGCTCATTGTTGAAGCCTGTACAGTGACACATAATTGCAAACATCCATATCATAGTTATTTCATTGGCTATCATACCACATCTCTTTATTTTTCTATAAGTTGATAGGGACCAAGATGTTGAAATGCAAATTTTTTGAATAAAATCTGAAAAAAAATCTTCAGATGGGTCAAAGTGATGGATAAGTTGAGGGTCCAAAATGAAGCCATTGGTAAGTATGATTGAGTAAAAGTTCAAGAAAGAAGGTAGTATATTGTATTCTAAATGAAATGCTTACTGTTTATGAAATATAAAGTATCAATAAAGGTAGGTTGTAATTTTTCAGAAATGATGATCTTTGAGGATAATTGGAGATTGTGTTCCTAACAGGCTAATTGTAATTGGCTAATTTTTTTTAAATACTTAATCTATCGAGGTCCCTGTGTTTAATTTCTGTCAGAATCTGATTTAATATTCATTTCTTTTTTCATACATTTTATATGAAAAATTCAAAGACATTCTTTTACCATGTTTACTATAAAAAGTTCAAGCTTTTTAAATGCTTGTATCTCAAATATTTTGCATATGATTCGTATATTATGAATTTCCTATTTAATAACTTCAATTGTAAAAATATTGTTATTTTGAATACCAGCAGAGAACATTCTTAAACTATTCCTGATACTGAAAGAGAAAAAGTTGAAAAAAAATCATTGATATTCTTTTAAAATAGAAGTCCCTATGTACTGTAAATTCAGAAATTATTGCATGCATTTACTATTGCGATTTTTAAAGATTCAACAAAAATGTGACAATGATTATTGTGATTTCAGGAAAATCTATATAAAGATATATGTATCAGATTTATGAATATGAGTTCTTGTTATTGGGTTACTAACCTGGTTGCATTATTTGCATTCATAATAAAATGCTCCGCAGGGCGCAGCTTGATACGACCGCAGAGGTCGAACCCTGAACAGTTGGGGCAAGTATGGACACAACATTCAAGCTTGATACAGCTTTGCATTTGGATTGTGATTAAATATTTGACACAGCATAGGTTTCTGACACAGAATGAATGTGGTCTAAGAACTTAAAAATTTTAAATTGGACATTCACCTATTATGGTCCAATATCCAAAATCTAAATACATGGTTAGATTCAGCATATCAAAGAACCCCAAGAATTCAATTTTTGATGAAATCAAACAAAGTTTAATTTTGGACCCTTTTGACCTGAAAGTGGACAAAGTTGATAACGGGGCCCAAAAATCAAAAATCTAAATACATGGTTAGATTCAGCATATCAAAGAACCCCATATATTCAATTTTTGTTGAAATCAAACAAAGTTTAATTTTGGACCCCAATTTGGACCAACTTGAAAACTGGGCCCACAATCAAAAATCTAAATACATGTTTAGATTCAGCATATCAAAGAACCCTAAGAATTCAATTTTTGTTAAAATCAAACTAAGTTTAATTTTGGACCCTTTGGACCTTAATGTAGACCAATTTGAAAACGGAACCAAAAATTAAGAATCTAAATACACGGTTTGATTCGGCATATCAAAGAACCCCAATAATTCAATTTTTGATGAAATCAAACAAAGTTTAATTTTGGACCCTTTGGACCTCAATGTGGACCAATTTAAAAACGGGGCCCAAAATCCAAAAACAAAATACACGGTTAGATTCAGCATATTAAAGAACCCCAAGAATTCAAGAATAAAACCCCATTGAAATTGGTCAAGAAATAAGCAATTTATACGAAGTATCTTCTTTTGCACAATACTGTGCAATTAAATATTTCTTGCTATTGCGCAATACTGTACAATTGACAATTTCTTGCTATTGCGCAATATTGTGCTATTGGATATTTCTTGCTATTGCGCAATACTGTGCAATTGAAGATTTCTTGCTATTGTGCAATACTGTGCAATTGAAAATTTCTTGCTATTGCACAATACTTATATAATAATTTATACATCCTGTTTGGTGTGTATCTCCTACCATATCATTATTATTTGCTTTTAAATATAAATCAGAAATAACCAACTAAAAATGGAAAATTTTAAAAGAAAAAAAAAAAGGAAAAAAAAAAAAAATCCCCCCCCCCCCCAAATTTTTTGAACCCCCTTATGATTCATCACCCCCAAACTCAATCCCAGCCTTCCCTTTGTGGTATGGTACCTTGCAGTACAATTTCAGAGAGATCCATACACTTGAACACAAGTTATTGTCTGGAAACTAGAAAAATGTGTTTTTTGGCCCCAAATTCCTAAACGTTTAGGGCAATTACCCCCAAACTCAAACCCAGCTTTCCCTTTGTGATAAGGAACCTTGTCGTACATTTTCAGAAAGATCCATACACTTACACACAAGTTATTGTCCTGAAACTAGAAAAATGCTTGTTTTTTGCCCCTTTTTTGGCCCCTAATTCCTAAAATTTTGAGGCAATTACCCCCAAAATCAATCCCAGCATTCCTTTTGTGATATGGAACCTTGTGGTACAATGTCAGAGAGATCCATACACTAACACACAAGTTATGTCTGGAAGTTACAAAAATGCTTATTTTTGGCCCCTTTTTGGCCCCCTAATTCCTTTACTGTTGGTACCATAACCCCCAAAATCAATCCCAACCTTCCTTTTATGGTATTGAACCTTGTGGTAAAATTTCATAGAGATCCATTCACTTAAACTAAAGTTAGAGTGCGAAAACCAACGTGTCTTCGGACGACGCCGGACGACGACGACGCCAACGTCATACCAATATACGACCACAAAATTTTTTTTGCGGTCGTATAAAAACCTCAGGATAATTTCTGAATTTACAGTAATCTGTCATACTTACACAAGTTCTGTGATGGGTATCAACCCTTCAGATGTGATATATCTGCAGCTACTGATCTGTAGGTGTTCCAAAGTACTCTTAAGTTCAGGTAAATATGCTATACAACTGTCACACAAATATTTACAATTGTGTATTACAATTTTCTTTACATGTTTACAGTTATCTGAAAGGCAAAATATATAAATTTTAAAGATATTCTGACACTTAAAAACATGTTATACAAATTCAATTTGAACAGTATTAATTCCATGTTAATTGACACAATTTTCCTTTCCAGGCATTCATCTGTAGTTGATTGAAACCTAGATATGAATTTCCAGCAGTATGCATACCTTATGTAATTACAATACATTACAATTTTGAAGCATAGGCTATGGTACAAATTTCATTGTTTGATACATATTCTATTCTTTTACCAGAATATTTTGTCCAGCTTGCCTTGACAAAGCACATGTATGGCATTTACACCATAAAATCATCATTCCTACTACAGGAATGCATGCAGCATTTTAACACCCTGAATGTCAAAGTATTTTAAAAAAATCTTAAAAATGAACAAAAAAATAAAGAAATGCAGATATTTTGTAAAAGTGACCACACCAATATTGTATTTACATCATGAAATTTGATTGATTGACTGATGGAAATATTTTGATACATGGAAACGACAGTTATTGCTTCTCCCTTTATCACATGGTACAAATATAAGTGAAAAGTTGAATTTCACAATAGTACAACAGTTCGATGTCACACTTAGTCATAAAAAGTTAAATGCAGACAACATAAAAAGCAAAACAATATAAATATACATACGTAAATGTGGAAATCCTTTTAACATAACAGTTGAGTCTGTTAAGTCAATTTCTTCTATTTTATATTTATCAAAATTTGATGATGGCAAAGCATTATACTCTAAAATGTGATTATTATGACCTTCAAACTTGATCGTAGCACCACATTTCATCAACCATTCAGCACAATTTCTATCTGGACCAACTAACTTATATCGATCAATATCAAACCTAAAGAAGAAAGAGTTATTGTAACAAGCATTCTGAGAGTATTGCATGGCAATACATAGTACCCTACTGGTTAAAAATTCATTGTACTGGAACAAAATGCTAACTTGATCTATAACTTGCCATGGTGTAAACTATATAACAAATATCAAATCAATATCTTCAAACATGACAAAACAAAAGTGTGGAAAACTGATTATTTGCATGAATTTTCTATTAAAGGCTGAGGACCACAACTCTGCAAAATAATCATTCGAACCAAACAAAATTGGAACTTGATCTGTAATTTGTCATGGTTAAGCTATCTACCAAATATCAAATCAATATCTCGAAGCATGATGAAAAACTAGATGTGTCAGAACGACACGAATGACCCTGTGTGCAAAAAAAGGTTGAAGCCATTTTTAGGAGTGGAAATTTAAGAATGAAAGTCTGTATAACTGATATTTTCATGAAATTTTTAAAGTCCAAAGCCTGTAATTTGAACAAAAATCAATGGAGCAGAACGAAACATAAACTCTATTTGTAAATCATCATAGTATACTGACATACCAAAAATCAGCTCAATATGTGAAGGCGTTTAGAATAAAAGTCTGTATAACTGCTATTTTCATGAAAATTTCAAAGTCCAATATCTGTAGTTTCGGCAAAAAACGGAACCAAATGTAAACTTGATCTGTAACTCATCATAGTAGACCTGATTTGGTGGTGTTAAATCTTACAAGGTCTAACCAAATTATTTTTGGCAAGGAATTCCACTCAAGCCGGTGCTAGGGGCTGTTTTAAACTTGCAGTGAGGTGAGAGTGTTTTTTGCCCTGTGTTGAAGGCCTTATTGTGACTTTTGAGATGAAAAACAGCAATAAAAGCGCTGTTCCTCTGCTTTTTATGGGTATTTTTTTGCTGTGAATGTTCTGATTTTTATGTCATGGATGAATACCCCATTTCCTTTGTTTTTCTTTTACATAATAAAAATCATATATTATAACCAGCATCTAGTCGTAAACTTGATCTGTAACTCATCATAGTAGACTCACATACTAAAAATCAGTTGAATATGTGAAGGCCTTAGAACAAAAGACTGTATAACTGTTTGTGACTGAATGATGGAATGACATAATGACGGAATGAAGGAATGACGGATAAGGGTAAAACTATATGGCCCCGACAATTTTAATGCAGGGCCATATAAATGCAGAAATATGATTACTTGCCTGAATTTTCTATGTCCAAGGAACATAACTCTGCACAAATTCATCAGACCAGAACAAAATTCCAATTTGACATATCAAATCAAGTTCTTCAATCGTGACGAGAAAAAAAGCGGAAAACTGATTACTTGCATTAATTTTCAAAGTCCAAGGACCATAACTCTGCACAAAATCATCAGGCCGGAAGATAATTCAAACTAGACTCTAACTGGTCATGATAAAACTATATACCAAATATTAAATCAATATCTTCAAGCACAAAGAAAAAAGTGTGAAAAACTGATTTGCCAGACTTACGGCTGGAATAGACAGACGGACAGAGTGCAAACCTAAAGTCCCCTTCAACTTCATTGGTAGGGGACTAATAACCAATTCATGGAAGCATATTTTTGCCACATAAATTGCAAGTATTTATCAGTTTAGATCAATATTGAATATAGCTGTTCCTGAATATGAAAGTATCTTATTTTGAATTGTATAGTTAGTCAATTCCAAATTTATGGGTATACATGTGAGCATGGAGCCATATCATCTCAATATTTAATCAATTTTAGTTGGACTGCAATTGACAACTACAAATCTTACAGGCTGTTGGTATAAAATTTCTCTGTATGTATATACCAAATTGGAAACAAATTTCATTCTAACCTTTTTCAATGACTATTGTTTTTCTTCAAATTCAGCAAATAAGATATATTTTAGTCTATATTTACAAAAATTTTAAGCTAAATTTAATCAGAATTTTATATGAAGCATATGAATGAATAAAGGTATAAAAAGTTTTAAATAATACTAACGTGTTATAACCAGCATCTAGTCGCTGGATGAAACTATCGAAGAACAGTCTTGTTTGTACTGGTGTGGATTTTTTAGTAATGCAAGATAGTCCAAGCTGCATACATTTATGCAAGGTCTTTGAATGCTAAAATTATAGGTTAATATTTAACAATTACATGTATGCAAGTAGACTTCAAAAATGCAATTAAAGAATGCTATGCAATACACCTTATCGCTATTTGTCCGCCATTACTGGAAATCACAAAAGTTCCTGTAAAATTTTGACGTCATAATAGAAAATATCTGACGCCACAATGGAAAAGTGATTGTTGTATGACGTCAAAAGTTCAACATAGCCAGAAATTAGTAGTACTTTTGCTAATTAATATTCATCATATGTAAATGAGAATTGTACCACGTGATAATAGTTTGAACTGGACTGGCTTGATATCATTAAAATCTTTAAAACACGCATATTATAAGTTGCAATGTTAGCAGCCTCTCGCTTCGATTTCTAAAATAGCTCAGGAACCTTGATTTTTGCAACGACAGTCATTATGTTTCGTTTAAATGGTGTATATTGTTGTGTATATTTATTTTCTGTACCGGCAACCTGTCTATCACTTAAATTAAAGTTAAAACAGACATTTTTTAAAAATTCCCTATCATTTCAATATAATTTCTGTGACCAGTATTCGATTTCTTTAGTATAATATTCAAATAAGCAAAGTGGCGTTGATTTCTGGATATGAGCAGGACAGATTCTCGGGTCAAGCGGGAATAGCGATAAGGTGTATTTTGAAAGTTAAATTTTACTTCCCAATCTCATGTTTCTTCTTTCACAATGTCTTTGTCATTTGTGTAAAATTTAAAGAAAATCAAAATTATAATATTAGGCACAACTTTAGTCTATTTACCAAGACTCTGTACACAATATAAAAGTTGTAGCTTGAAAACCTGGGAACAGTATATGTTCCTGCTGAAAACTAAATGAGAAGATGTCTGGACAAACATGCGGGAGGGACGGATAACTGACGGACGGACGGACAGGGTAAACCAATATAACTCGACAAATTGTCTTGTGGGCAATAAATGTCATCGTTAGATGTTCATCAAGACTAGAAGGTTACATTGAAAGTACCTTTCCACTAATGTTTCCAAGTTTTCCGATGTTCATTCCAATTTCTAGAGTGTCGCTTACAGCAATGTAAAAAAATATTGTGAGAGAAAAATGCCTTGATATATTTTAGCTTTAATTAATTCGGGCATTTTGGCATGAATAAGCCTTTATATTTCGATGTTTTAATATGCAATACATTTAAAAGTTTACAGTCTTAAAAAAATATTTTCCGAAACTTAAGCGGCTTAAAATGGCATTGGTAAGACAACTTATTTTTTTATAATAATCCAGTCGCAATGCCTAAGTCTTATTCAATGTTTATTATATAAAACTACACTGTGTATTCATATATTGTGGTTTTATGTCAATATTTGTATTTATTATTGTGTCCACTTCTGGACATTGATAAAACTTGTGATTTGATTTTAGATGTCTCTGTGTAGCTATAGTCAAACCTATATTTGAAGGTGAGAATACTGACCTTTAACTTTAAAAATGCACGAGTATTACTACAGTATGACACAAAAATTAGGGTGACCCGACAATACAGGTGTTCCAATAGAGGTGACCTTTATAACAGGTTTGACTGTACTTTCACATTAGTAGGAAGGCGTCCCAGAAAAAAAATTAAAATAGCCTTGCAAGACGTCATAATTATTTGGACTACTTTCACATGTGAACTGAACTTCTGTCCTGAAGTATCCTGTGTATTGTATTTTCGACCTACTAACATATTTCTCCGAATTTTCCCTTTTATCATGTTTATATGTTTGAACAAAGACATGCCTAACATTTTGAGAGTCACTAGTATACTTGTGCATAAAATAATTGTATCCGAAATATATTTCGATTTTAAATAATTTTTTTTATTTGAGTTCATTAGATCGATGGCACATTGTTGACAAAAAATAGCGTCTTGTGTTTTCCACCTATCTAAGAAACTGGTCCAAAGTCGGAAGGGACATGTCATACAAATCCGGAATTGGTTATAATTTGATGCCAACGTCTATATCAAATTATTTAAATTGTCAGGAGGCGATCAAACTTATGACCTAATGAATTAAATGGTTACATATACAACTTTAAGATAAAAAATATTATTTTGATATCTTGACTTAGTAGTTGTACACATTTCACATGAGGCACTTTGGAAGCAAGTTTGATCTTGTATACAGCTGAGACTACTATAACACATGTGTTATAGTAGTCTCAGTATACAGTAATTTTTTGTTCAATACTTTAGTGAAGACATTGTGGAGTGAGTATTGTCTGTATTTCCAGTGACAGACTGTCAATGACTGTTGTTTCTGTAAATTAAAATTAATCGATATTTTATTTTTTTAGTAAAAAGCTGTAAGGATCATGCAGATTTCCGTATTAAAAATAACTTAAAAGTATTACAACTAACCACCTGACAGTCATGTGACGTAATGACCTGGATGTAAACTACACGTGCAAAAAGTCCCCCTGCCATATTTCTATAATATTTGTTTATTTTTTATAGATTCTTTTTGAAGGTAAAAATAGTATAAGTAAAAGGGTACAAAAATGTGATATCAAATAATAAAACGTAAATACTTAATTACAGTAACTTTACTTGGAACATCTTAACCACCACGCAATTACAGAAACTTTACTTGGAACATCTTAACCACCACATGGTATTATTTGATATTGTTACTTACTATAGCAGCCGAATATGACGTCACGCGGACATGTGCAGCATACAGGAAGTGTATGTAGAATTAGGTCGAAAACATAAGACGGTCGAAAACACAATACGAGACGATATAGTCTAGACAACTTTCGAATTCATGCACTTTCCCGTACATCTATGTTACAATGCTTCTGTTAATATGTCATATATAAGGGTCCATTCGCCCAAAATCATGTTCGCTCCCATTCTCGTTCGCACCCACATGTTCGCTCCTATTCTCGTTTGCCCCCTTTCACGTTCGCACCTCACACATTTGCACCCTGGGTCCGTTCACACTCTTTTTAAAGGTTTTGTGTTGAATAAGTTTTTAATCGTGCTTTAGTTAGTGTATTGATATAAAATAAGGCCAAGGTTTTTTAATTTGTTGGTTTATGGATCCACTGACCCTAACAAATACATCTTCCCTGAAATATAAATAAAAATATTCTTTTTTATGAAATTAAAAGCATTAAACATTAACAGAAATGATTACACATTGTGTTGACAAAAAATAAAAATCTAAAAATAATCCATTTACGTATCTAAAAATAGACAATCATAACTGACCTTGAAATGTTGTTTGGGCAAATAATTTTGCAGAACGAAAACTGTGTTAAAAACCCATTACAATAAGTTTGTTTTCCTGTTTTGTCATTATTCCGTTAGATTTGTCATCTCATGGATGAAATGGACCCGTGCAAATGTGAAAAACAAAACATCAAGTTAAGAGTAAGAGATATTCACAGACAATTTGGAAATTTTTTGTTTCATATATTGAAAAAAAAGTTCCTCCATTTGGATACCAAAAACGGGAATGCATGACAAATGATGAAACCGATATCCTCGACTTTCCAGTGGATGAGTCTTCTTCGTTTTTGACACGGATGGTAAAGTCTTATTTTCGTATGACGTGTTTACAATTGTTATTTATTCACCATGTTTCCTGAAAGGTGATAAAAAGCAACGTGGAGCTGTTTTTTCTTGTTCGTGAAATGATGATTTAACCTCGTGTTTGTCCGTGGACATACCCCCCTTTTTCGAAATTATATTACGATGGCATACATTGTATGTTTAAAGGGGCACTAGCTGTCAAATTCATGTTCACCGATTTGACTCAAATTCTCATATTTGATTTATAACAATGTGAAACATTTATCCAAACTATTAAAAGTCAAAAAACAAAAAGTTAACAGGACATGGGCATGATAACACCTAGCTTCATTTTGTGTTTATTGTAGTCTTAGACGCCATCTAATTAACTATGGAGTTGACCTCCAAAGTCATCAGATGACCATATAAGCGATGTAAACATAAATAAAGATATAAATAGATTAAGCGAACTCGTGCTATTGGATTTTTCTAGGTCTGTTTAATTTCATATTATAGATTAAAAATAAATGTTTATCATCGTTTTTACCTGTATAAGAATGATTTTTTGTGGATCGGATCAGTCAATCAAATGATTTACCTTTGTTTCACTTTCAATGTTGACATTCTTTTCCTTTGAATAACTTTACACATACAATTCACGTGTTATCCATCTCTAGCTAAGGGGTTAAATTGAAGTTCACATGAATACGGATTCAATGAAGTCGAATTATTCACTTGCAAGTGAATAATTCATCCTGTTCATCATCAATGTTTCTTAGCTTATTTTGACAAAATTGAACCATACTGGCGGCTAAAAACGAATAATTATTTCACTATTTCACTTTCATTAATGATTGAACAAAAAAAAATCATATATTAGATTTTTTATATATCTCGTAGCTAGTGACCCTTTGAAACAACTGAGCAATAATATTTGGAACTTTTTTCTTTTTTTTTTCCGACCGACCATTTTTTTCATGTGAAAAATCAGTAAACCAACAAATTTAAAAACCCTGGCCTAAAGAAAATATAAGTTTTTTTTTATTGTTTTAAAATAAAGTGACATTCTAAATACGTTAACAGGTTTTCTTTTGTGAATTATTTTGAAGGAATGGATAATGAACATTGTCATGATGATCAAAGACTAAGTTATTTGGCTCTAAGACTTGTAAAAGAAAGGCAGAAGATTCCAAATGACTATCAAACTCGTCACAAGCTGTTAAAAATAATTATCTTTCATTTTTTATACGACCGCAAAAATTGAAAATTTTTTGGTCGTATATTGGTATGACGTTGGCGTCGTCGTCGTCGTCGTCGTCGTCTGGCGTCGTCCGGCGTCGTCCGAAGACACACTGGTTTTCGCACTCTAACTTTAGTTTAAGTGAATGGATCTCCATGAAATTTTACCATAAGGTTCAATACCACGAAAGGAAGGTTGGGATTGATTTTGGGGGTTATGGTACCAACAGTTAAGGAATAAGGGGCCAAAAAGGGGCCAAAAATAAGCATTTTTGTAATTCCAGACAATAACTTATGTGTAAGTGTATGGATCTCTCTGACATTGTACCACAAGGTTCCATATCACAAAGGGAAGGCTGTAATTGATTTTGGGGGTAATTGCCTCAAAATTTTAGGAATTAGGGGCCAAAAAAGGGGCAAAAAACAAGCATTTTTCTAGTTTCATGACAATAACTTGTGTGTAAGTGTTTGGATATTTCTGAAATTGTACTACAAGGTTCCATATCACAAAGGGAAAGCTGGGATTGATTTTGGGGGTAATTGCCTGAAACGTTTAGGAATTGGGGGCCAAAAAGGGGCCAAAAATAAGCATTTTTCTAGTTTCCAGACAATAACTTGTGTTCAAGTGTATGGATCTCTCTGAAATTGTACTGCAAGGTACCATACCACAAAGGGAAGGCTGGGATTGAGTTTGGGGGTGATGAATCATAAGGGGGTTCAAAAAATTTGGGAGGGGGGATTTTTTTTTTTTCTTTTTTTTCTTTTTTTTCCTTTTTTTTTTCTTTTAAAATTTTCCATTTTAAGTTGGTTATTTCTGATTAATATTTAAAAGCAAATAATAATGATATGGTAGGAGTTACACACCAAACAGGATGTGTAAATTATTATATAATAAGTATTGTGCAATAGCAAGAAATTTTCAATTGCACAGTATTGCACAATTGCAAGAAATCTTCAATTGCACAGTATTGCGCAATAGCAAGAAATCTTCAATTGCACAGTATTGCGCAATAGCAAGAAATATCCAATAGCACAATATTGCGCAATAGCAAGAAATTGTCAATTGTACAGTATTGCACAATAGCAAGAAATATTCAATTGCACAGTATTGTGCAAAAGAAGATACTTCGTATAAATTGCTTATTTCTTGATCAATTTCAATGGGGTTTTATTCTTGAATTCTTGGGGTTCTTTAATATGCTGAATCTAACCGTGTATTAAGTTTTTGGATTTTGGGCCCCGTTTTTAAATTGGTCTACATTAAGGTCAAAAGGGTCCAAAATTAAACTTAGTTTGATTTTAACAAAAATTGAATTATTGGGGTTCTTTGATATGCCGAATCTAACCGTGTATTTAGATTCTTGATTATGGGCCCAGTTTTCAAGTTGGTCCAAATCGGGGTCCAAAATTAAACTTTGTTTGATTTCAACAAAAATTGAATATATGGGGTTCTTTGATATGCTGAATCTAACCATGTATTTAGATTTTTGATTTTTGGGCCCCGTTATCAACTTTGTCAACATTGAGTTCAAAAGGGTCCAAAATTAAACTTTGTTTGATTTCAGGGTCCAAAATTAAACTTTGTTTGATTTCATCTAAAATTGAATTATTGGGGTTCTTTGATATGCCAAATCTAACCGTGTGTTTAGATTTTTAATTTTGGGTCCCGTTTTTAAATTGGTCTACATTAAGGTCCAAAGGGTCCAAAATTAAACTTAGTTTGATTTAAACAAAAATTGAATTCTTGGGGTTCTTTGATATGCTGAATCTAAACATGTGTTAAGAATTTTGATTATGGGCCCAGTTTTCAAGTTGGTCCAAGTTGGGGTCCAAAATTAAACTTTGTTTGATTTCAGCAAAAATTGAATATATGGGGTTCTTTGATATGCTGAATCTAAACATGTATTTAGATTTTAGATTTTTGGCCCAGTTTTCAAGTTGGTCCAAATTGGGGTCCAAAATTAAACTTTGTTTGATTTCAACAAAAATTGAATATATGGGGTTCTTTGATATGCTGAATCTTACCATGTATTTAGATTTTTTATTTGTGGGCCTGCTATCAAATTGGTTCATATTGAGGTCAAAAGGGTCCAGAATTAAACTTTGTTTGATTTCATCAAAAATTGAATTATTGGGGTTCTTTGATATGCCAAATCTTACCGTGTATTTAGATTTTTAATTTTGGGTCCCGTTTTTTAAATTGGTCTACATTAAGGTCCAAAGGGTCCAAAATTAAACTTAGTTTGATTTTAACAAAAATTGAATTTTTGGGGTTCTTTGATATGCTGAATCTAAACATGTGTTTAGATTTTTGATTATCGGACCAGTTTTCAAGTTGGTCCAAGTTGGGGTCCATAATTCAACTTTGTTTGATTTCAACAAAAATTGAATATATGGGGTTCTTTGATATGCTGAATCTAAACATGTATTTAGATTTTTGATTTTTGGCCCAGTTTTCAAGTTGGTCCAAATTGGGGTCCAAAATTAAACTTTGTTTGATTTCAACAAAAATTGAATATATGGGGTTCTTTGATATGCTGAATCTTACCATGTATTTAGATTTTTTATTTTGTAGGCCCGCTATCAAATTGGTTCATATTGTGGTCAAAAGGGTCCAAAATTAAACTTTGTTTGATTTCATCAAAAATTGAATTATTGGGGTTCTTTGATATGCCAAATCTAAACGTGTTTTTAGATTTTTAATTTTGGGTCCTGTTTTTTAAATTGGTCTACATTAAGGTCCAAAGGGTCCAAAATTAAACTTAGTTTGATTTTAACAAAAATTGAATTCTTGGGGTACTTTGATATGCTGAATCTAAACATGTGTTTAGATTTTTGATTATGGGACCAGTTTTCAAGTTTGTCCAAGTTGGGGTCCAAAATTAAACTTTGTTTGATTTCAACAAAAATTGAATATATGGGGTTCTTTGATATGCTGAATCTAACCATGTATTTTGATTTTGGACATTGGACCATAATAGGTAAATTAAAAAAATTGAAGTTCTTAGACCACATTCTTTCTGTGTCAGAAACCTATGCTGTGTCAAATATTTAATCACAATCCAAATTCAGAGCTGTATCAAGCTTGAATGTTGTGTCCATACTTGCCCCAACTGTTCAGGGTTCGACCTCTGCGGTCGTATCAAGCTGCGCCCAGCGAAACATTTTATTTTCATTTAAAATCTTCATTGTTTTTATTCCTACCAAGCTAACTACTTGTATTTTACTTTACACCAAACACATAACAATAATTCCAAATTAACTTTGTAAATACAAATTAACAGTAATCTTAAATAAATCACAATTAATAACTAATCATCTAATCTCAAAAAAAAAAAATTCTTTTAAAAAATTTACGAATTTCATTCATGAAAATATAAATATTTTGATATATACATGTACATCTAAAAAACATCTTATAATTCAACTGGTATTTGAATAAAAATAGGGTGCCAATGAGTTTTGGGAGCGAACGGACCCAATACCGTAAGTCACAGAAAGAACCAATTATTCAATGACGTCATGTTCATCCATTGACCTGGGTTCAACCAATTCATAAAAACAACCCCAGTTTGGTGTATCAGTAATAAATGTTAATGGGAACCATAGAAATTGCCATAAACAGGTTTGGGCTGCTCTCACAAACGGAACATTTTGCTGTTACTACATGTAAAAAAAATATTTTGGATTTTTGGAAATAACTATTATTGTTTATAAGCAATTGATTTCATGGAAAATTGTGGTTAGGAATCGTGAAAAGGAGAAAAGATACTAAGGGACATGGGTGCAATCAAAAACAATGAGACAGAAAAAATAGACAGCACAATTGTCATAAGTGAAAAAAAAGATTATTAATATGGAGACAACTGAGTGCACAAAACAAGTACATGTGTACACAGAAAACTAATCCTTATACTGTTGATTATATTGCCTGATAAAACCAGGTAATTAAGTTAGAAATCACAAGAAGATCTAATTTGAACTTAAATTTCCTTGATATCTAATTTGCATGGAAGAGTAAAATCTCATGTTGTACATTTACAAAATTCATGAAATTTATAATTTTTTTGCAGAGGAGAGTGCTGTGTAGACACAGTCTATCAAAGATCAATCCTGTTTGTGTGATTGTAAAAAGAGAAGCCCATGGAAGCACAGAAGAAGAAGTACCAGAGTAAATCATATATTAATGAATCTTTATTTCTATAAATATGTCGTAAATGTGGGTAGATGTAATTAAACCATGCACAAACAAATAAATTATGTCACAGTATGATTTATTTATTCATACATTTTTTACATCAAAGCAAGCTCCAGATGGGAGGTAATCCTGCATATACATTAAAGATTTAACAGGTTCTGTTAATTTACAATTTAATCTTATATAGCAATGTATGGCTTGATTGAATATAACAAAATATCTCCCTTTGATATTTTTAATGACATTTCAGTTTCTGCATTAATGCTTTGAAGTGCAACCTAAAACTTTACAGGCATAATAAGTTTCAACTTTTATCATGATTAATGTTAGTTTGTATGGGGTTAACAGAATAGAGAATGATGACCTAAAAATATTATGAATAAAGAAAAATGAGCAAAATAATATGGAATAGAGAAAAATGGGGTACATAAGTATGAAGTATAAATGAGGGAAATGAAAGAATTAGGTAATACAATACTGATTACAGAAATGAACGATGTAGAAAAGAATATTAAGCAGTTCTTCTTCATTATGTCTGTAGTGTTTTAAGATTGCTCTTCCATTTTATATGTGAGAAACAGAAATTTCCTTTCAAAATTTTAAAGGGAAATAATTTTGTATAGCTTGATTAAGCTTAATATAAATAAGAAGATGTGCTTTGAGTGCCAATGAGACAACTCTCCATCCAAGTCATAGTGTATAAAAAGTAAACAATTATAGGTCAAAGTATGACCTTCAACACGGAGCCTTGGCTTACACCAACAGCAAGCTATAAAGGGCCCCAAAATGACTAGCGTAAAACAATTCAAACAGGAAAACCAACGGTCTAATCTATATAAAAAACATGAAACGAGAAACACTTATGAACCACACCAACAAACGACAACCACTGAACAACAGGCTCCTGACTTAGGACAGGTGCATACAAATGCACAAATAAAACATGTATAACCAGATATAGTTATGTTACATGTAGCTGAAACTGTAGATTTACAGATACTGAGGGAATAAAAAGCCAAACTTACATTAATTAAAAAGATGGAATATATCAAATGGAAATGTATTTGTAGCTGAAACTGAAATTTCAACGAAAGCAAAATGACTGCATTTTAAACAAATTGATCAACAGTTGTGAACTAAAAAATTTGAACATACCTTATAGATAAAGCTTATTCTAAATGAAATTGTACTGTTGACTAATTGTGTTTTAGGGAGAGAAAAAACAGATTTGATGGATTTCAACCTCACCACTACGCTTTTTTAAACCAAGATATAAACTGGAAAATATTTGTACATAAAGCGAAGCTGAAAACATTTGAAGCTTTGAAAGAAAACCAGAAGTAAGAATGCCTCTAATGAAGTCAATGTGAGAAAAGCAATTTTCGCTTGTATGCCATTTATTTTAATATGTTTAACTGTCAGAGCTTCTTTTTGACCTTTGGATTATGATGCTGCAAGTGGGTATATGTCAGGCCCTTTCATTAGGAGGCAATACCTGGAACTTTTACACTTCTAAACAAGTGATAAGTCCTGCCATACATTAAGGAAGTTACATACAAGTTAACTGTTACAGGTATTCGTAGGATACATATAGGAAAAAAACAGAATAGTACCAGTCCCTATAAAAGATAATGAAACCCCTGTTGACTTTTAAAGGTTGAATAGTACAAATTTGGGAGTATTTCAAACTACTGTAGTTTATTCTTGATTTATCATACTAAAAATAATATAAAAATTGAAAAAGGAGTTAAATCAGTTTTTGATACATTTGTTTATCTCCTTTTAAACCATTTATTTTTTAAGACGGAAAAAGAAAAGACATGATACGTTGGGGCCAGAATTAGCAGCAGCCCATTTTATTGTTGGAAGAGGAGGAGCAGTTAAATTATTGGACAGAAATCGTTGGATAAGAAGGGATCATACTGGATCATATACTTTACCAAGATGGATGATGGACAATATGTTTGTAGAAGGAATTGATGCTTCTTACTCTGATTTGTTGTATGAAGGGCTTGAGAACTTAGGTATTGATATTTGTCGCGGAAACTGACAAGAAAATTTTGTACTGTGGATTAATTACTATTTGTGGGATACCAATTTTTGTGGTTTTCTTGGGTACAGGTAAACCACAAACTTGAATGATCAATGAAGGACTTATTTTCTATACGCTTGTATGCAGACTTTGGTAGAACCACAAAATCAAATATCCATGAAAATACATTTTTTCCTCAGTCCAAGATAAAATTGATATCCATGAAAATAAATGAATTCACGGTATACCATGAAGAAAATGTGTTAGCATAATAGAAAATGAGGGTTTTTTTTATGTTAGACAATAATACATAGACCATTGGAAATACTTACAAATTTACATATGGTCAATTGGCTTATCCAAACCTGAAATATGATTTGATTTGATTTTGATTTTTGTGTTTTTAATGCCACTTTTAAGCACCGCTTTTGGGCTATTTTGTGGCTGCCAGTTTTTATTGGTGGAGGAAGCCGGAGTGTCCGGAGAAAACCACTGACCTTTGATAGGAAAACAGACAATCCTAGTCAATTAAGATTGGAGTCGAGTGCACCCGCACGAGAGGGGTTTGAACCGACAACCTCAGTGTTGACTGGCTAGTGATTACAGTAGTAACTACTTAGACCACTCGGCCACCGAGGTCCCCCTGAAATATGAAACAGATATTGTGATAAACTTCTACATTTTTAAATTTTTGCATTGCTCATGTCTAGGTAATCAGAAATATGATTTTAAATTATTGCATTGTTCATGTCTAGGTAATCAGAAATATGATTATAAAATTAAATCAACATCACATATGTATCTGAGAGCATTCTATTTACTAGTTTAGGGGCAAGGGTCAACTAAACTAAAACAATTTAAGAATGATAATCTAATCACCATGGTCATACAGTTGAGGAAGGTTTGCCTCCCCTGACTCACTTGATGTATTAATTAGTTTCATATGTAAAAACCAATTATTTTATGATCCATTTTGTTGAGGAAAGGATTTATATAGGCTGAGCCTTTATTCAATCCCTTTGTTTAAATTTATTTGATTTAAACAATAAAATCTTTGAATTTGAATAAATCAAAGTGAGTTGCTTCAGTTTTGAAAAAATTTAAGAATAATACTATTATTGCAATTTCAGAAGCCAAATAATACTTCTGATCACACACCTTAACTTTATTCCTTGAAGAATTTGACTAAAATGACTTGTTTATTAAGTGGTTATGAATTATTGTGTAGACATTGAGCTGAAGTAAGGATTGTTTATAGAATTACTAATCCAAGATTTTAAATAAAGAAAACATTTAACATGTTATTCAACTACACATTAATTCATGAATGTGAATAGTTCAAGAGTTAATTATCTGTGTTGTTTGGTCAAGAGCTGAGAATAACTTTCTACATTTGAATTCTTGGATTATTTATTCTCTTGAATATATTAACTTTGGACTTATAATGGAAATAAAGTAGAAATTCCAAGGAATATCTTTTTCTACAAATTCTCAAAAATGTCTTGACAACTATTGTTGTATTATGTCAGAGTAGTGAAATTATCAGTTTTTATTTTACTGGAAAATCTCAGTGATTCATTACATCCAATGTAATACTATTGCATAATGGCAAGTTGCAGATCAAATGTAAGCTTCATTCCTTGTGACTTACCTATTGTGATTTCACAAAACTATGACTGCTTTCAGTCATTCTGTAGGTGGATGACCTACTTTTGGCGGTTGACCTACTTTTTACAAAATTATGTAGGTCTTCATTCAGCAGAATAATTGAATTGTTGACATTCCAACAGTTTCAGTTTTTTCTTTGGCATTCTTACTTGATGATGTAGGGATCTTATTTTTGTAATGAAGGTAGTCTGAACTACTTTTAATATCGAAAAACGAAAGACATTTAAGAAAGGAATTGATGTCAAAATGTAAACTTCCTGACTGCCTTAATGACATACTTTTGCAAAAGGAGGTTTTTCAATGAAAGCATAATTGATATTTTTCAGAGGGATTAAATGAACTGAAATTCTTGAACTTAAGCAACTGTAAATATATAGATGATTTTTGCCTGTCAAAACTTCAAATGTTTGGTGATACTCTAGAGGTCCTTGATGTTAGTGGATGTGAGAGAGTTACAGAAAATGGCATAGCATGTGTACATCATCTACCGTAAGTTATTTTATTGATTATTGGACATTGTCATATTTAAAGGAGTAACTGTTTTATAACGCATTTTTATTTGAAACCATATAATTGCACAAGTTATGTTATCTGTAAAATTTAGTCTGTTCCCTCATTAGTATATTCAATGTATGTTTTATAATTTGATGGTTGTAACAATTTGAAATTGAGATGATTGCTGCTGATTTTACTCATCATCATTCGTTCATTATGGACACATTATAAAATATCCTACAATATATGTTAAAAAGTGGAATTCTTTTTTTCTCCTTATCTTTTAATTTTTTGGTTCTTTTCAGTTGAGTGTTGTGGTATATATTAAATCTATATACTTGTAAAAGTAACTATGAAATCACACTGTAAATACATTTACTGTAGTATGAACATTTTTAATTACCAGTAAGTGGAATGCATCAATTGATTAGCTGTTTGCCTTCATCTATTGTGTGTTTATATTTGCTTTATTTTTGTGTCTCTGTTACTTAATGTGAAATGCATTGAGGACATGGTTTATGTCATATTAACACAGACCATGATCAGTCACTAGCTTCATATTCTGAAATTTTTCAAGGGGCCAGCCTCCTTTACCATTAAAGATCATGTTTTCTCAGTTTGATATTTTGTGTATTTTGACCCCCATTTCATGATTTAGAACCTTGATTTAATCATCAGGTGAATTTAATGAGTTACCCTGCTGGTATATCTTAGGTACTTTGAAATTGTTCTAACTTTGTTTTAACTGATTGTTATGCATTATTGATTATTGTCTAGTAGAGGCATTTCATGCAGTCAAGAAAGCAAATATTAATAATGAATTAATTTGTTAGGTTGTGCACTTTGTGGCAAAATTCAATCGGATAAAGGGGTAGGTTGGGTAGAAATATTTACCCTTTTAAAATCTGTAGCTAGATCTTATTATTGTACAGACAGTATTGCATTTTTACAATCTAAGGCATCCAATTTGAGCCCTTCATTCTTACATAGCTGCAAGATGACTATGTACTTTCTTATCTGAATATAATTTTTTTTTTTTATCCAACACGGCTGAATGGATATTTCCTTAGCAGAAGTTATTGGTTTTTTTTGTTAAAAATTGAGGTATGTCCAGTGCACGATGTAGTGACGATATCGCAGATATTGTCAACTTCGTTCATGATTTATACCTGCTCGCAACATTTTCTTACTTGTTGTCTACATCGTTGATATCGCCGACATCGTTCTTCTTGCGGTCTACATCGTCCCCTTTCCTGTCTACATCGTTGACATTGTCGACATCGTCTACATCATCCCCTTTCCTGTCTACATCGTTGACATCGTGACGACATCGTCTACATCGTCCCCTTTTCCTGTCTACATCGTTGACATCGCCGACATCTTGATGTTGACAACATTGTGACAACATCGTCTACATTGTTTTTCTTGCTGTCTACATTGTTGACATCGCCGATATCGCGATGTTAACAACATCGTGACAACATCGTCTACATCGTCCCCCTTTCCTGTCTACATCGTTGACATCGCCTACATCGTTTTTTTTTAAATAAAGAAGTGTTTAGTTTATCAATTTCAATTTCAAATAATGTATTTATATTACGCCTGTGTCGATGTTCTTAATAGTAGATCTTATTTGGACAGTTTTTTAATGTTTGCAAATCTCTATCCTCCTCCTCCTCCTCGTCCTCCTCCTTCTCGTCCTCCTCCTCCTCCCCCTCCTCAACATCTTTGCGATGTTGACATTATAGATTACGTTGTAATACAGTGTTTTGACATTGTCTTTTTCGCGATGTCGGCAATGCCAACCATGCAGAGACAAGATGATAAAAGGATATCGACAAAGTAGTACAACACAATGTCGACATCATTGTATTCAAAATTAACAATGTAAACACGAGTAATGTGTTAGCGATATCGGCAATGTCAACGATGTAGACAAGAGTATGAAACGATATCGACAACGTTGTACAACATCGTGTCGACATTGTCTACTTCGCGATATCGTCAATGTCAACGTTGTAGACAAGAGTATGAAATAATATCGACAACGTTGTACAATATCGTGTCGACATTGTCTACTTCGTGATATCGTCAATGTCAACGATGTAGATTAGAGTATGAAACAATATCGACAACGTTGTACAATATTGTGTCAACATTGCCTACTTTGCGATGTCGACAATATTGGTACTACTTTGTACACTGGACATGAATGTAAAAATTAGGCCGATAGTTTTCTCATTTGAACTGCTTCACCTTTTTCATGTCCAGGCCTTTAATAACTGACTAAACAGTATGTGTTTTTCTCATTGATGAAGGTGGTACAATGACCTATAATTGGTTAAACCCACTTCATTTGAATTCTGGTGAATGATTGTCTCATTGGCAATCATATTACATCTTCTTATTTTTATATGCAGATAAGAAAGTACTAGTCATAATTTTTTTGTTTTTTTGTGTTTCAGAAATCTGAAAGTTTTAAATATTGCTGACACACCAAACGTGAAACAAAAAGAAATATTGACAATTTACATAGAAGAACTATTACCCCAGTGTATTATATGTGGTGTTGATCATGTGTCTATCAGTCAAGGTGATACAGACTCTCTTGAACATGAAGAAATGTCAAGTGTTTTAGACACTAATAAATTTATAGAAGATTTAGTACGAAATGAAGATGTCACAGCTGAGGAACTTTTCAAGGAAGCCATAGAAAAAGATCATCCCCAGAGCCTAGAAAGTGGTAGAATTTCTAATGACTTTGATAGTAAACTTTCACATTCTGAAATGGATAAAGTGAAGATAACATCATGACATATTTGATTTATTAAACATACAGTACAAACTTTTACAGAAGTGACACATTTTTACAGTTGTTTTATGTAATGACCTTTTCTTTAATTTAATTATTTGTACCTTTAAATATGTCAGAACGATTATTCAGCAATAACTTAGCATAAAACATGGATGATGATTTTTGACAAGGAGTAATTGTCCTTTGACCTCTCTCTCATTATGGTTACATTTAATTGTTGTTATTTATACAAACACTTCTGTTTTAATTATTGATTGTTAACATAAATGATTTCATCTCTTGACCTTTTTAAATTTTGATTACAGGTAATTTTGATAGACTATTTTCATATTACCGACTTTTGATTCCGAAGTTTATATTTTGTCGACAGGTTACATACTCTGTGGTAGGACATCCTGGTACCAAGTCAAGTAAGAGTAACGTACAGAAGTAAAATCAAACTTTCAATCGGTACAATTTTGGGGGAAAATTAACTGCTTCATATTTTCTTTACACGAGAAAATTATCGGAAAACAGTAAACTTTCCCCTCAAATTACACCAATTACATGTTTGATTTTACTTATTTTGGTTGCTTGTACATGACTGAGTACTAGGATGTCCTACCACAGAAAAGTCAACCTGTCGAAAAATTATATAATCCGGAGTCAAAAATCGGTAATATGAAAATAGTCCATTGCTTTTACAGGAAAACTACATACTTCATTTGTTTAAAGTTACATGGCATTCACATAAATTACATAACTGAAACTAATAATGTGTTGTTGCTGTATAGTAACATTAATTTTATTTTCTTTAAGTATAGTTTGATGCCTTTCTTTTACAAACTTTTACATCCATGAAAAGATTGGCCTAAAATCCACTAGTGTTTGACATGACATACATGTACCATCTTTTGACTTTCCTTTCAATTAGTAACTGTTACAAATTTATGGGTTAAAAAACTGTGTTGCATTCCCGAATTGGGCCACAAATTCTAGAATAGGCTTCAATGGAAAAAAAGGTATGAAAATCTTCACAAACATCTCAAAGTAAAAATAAAATAATTCTTGGTATGAACATGGCCTTTGTTCCATGGCCTATATGGATTCCATGTTTGTTGTCTGAAGTTCATTATAAGCTCAGTTGGGAAATGTTTTTTTACAATTTTCTCTTCAATACCGGTATTAGACAAAATGAAAAGGACTATTATTACATATAAATGCTGTCTTGTTTTTTGATAGGAAAGATACATGTAATTTTTACAGTTCACAGGAACTCAGACTTTTGATTTTTGCTATGTTCCTATCCAGAATTGAACTACACATTTGTCAACATCCTAGCATTATATTTACAAGACCAAATCCATACCTCTAAAAAAGGTATTTCATTTGGGCTAGTGTTACTTATAGACAAATGTTAATAATATACACGATGTAAGAAGCATGTGAGGATTTCCTTTGCAGATTTAAATTAATACAGGATTGCTGATCTATTAAAAGATACAAACAGTCGGATTAATTATAATATTTGTAGATAACAGCACATAGGTCAATCTATAATTGTAACAGCCACTATGTTCCGTCAGTTACTTTGTTCCGGCGGAACTTTTCAGCTAGTTATTTCGTTCCGATGGAACTTTCCAACTAGTTGTTTTATTCCGAGTGTAGTCGAAAAGTTCCGGAAAAAAGTAGCTAGTTGAAAAGTCCCGGAACAATGTAGCTAGTTGAATAGTTCTGGCGGAACAGAACAACTAGTTACATCGTTCCGAATATACCATATTTCGTCCTTTTTGTAGAAAGAGGGGGAAGAATGAGTATCAGTATATATAAGAGCAAATCATTAATTTACAAGAATACCCAACGCACTGAAAGGGGTTTCTTTGGGGACGAATATGCAAAATTTAAGTTGTATTTCATAGCTCACATAAAACGGAATAAGTTGCATTATCATGCAAATTTAGTATTCATAGTACCCTCAAGAGAGGGAAGAATACCCCCTCCTCATGTGATTCTTTGCATCAATTCTCCAAATGGAACTTTGTGACTGGTTGATAAGTTCCGTTGGAACTTTTGGGCTAGTTTGTTAGTTCCCGTTTTGACTTATTTGCCAAAGAGGAACTTTGTGGCTAGTTGATAAGTTCCTTTTGACTTTTGTAATCAGTATCTTGGTTTCCCTTTGAAAGGTTCAAATATAATATGTTGCGCTTTTACTTTGCATCAATTCTCCAAATGGAACTTTCTGCCTGGTTGATAAGTTCTGTTGGAACTTTTGGGCTAGTTTGTTAGTTCCGGTTTTGACTAATTTGGCAAAAAGGAACTTTCTAACTAGTTGATATATTCCGTTGGAACTTTTCAACTAGTCACTATGTTCCGGTGGAACTTTTAAACCAGAGGAAGAACAAAGTAACTAGTTAATAAGTTCCTCCGGAACTTTTCGGCTAGTTAGTTCTTTCTGCCCGGAACTTTCCAACGTCGGAACAAAAGAGCATTTACATAAACACTCATCTGCGTTAATAGATATTCAAATACATATATACATGTATAATATATATTACATGTTTTTTTTATGCCACTGCAACTGAAAGTTGGGGGCATATTGTGTTACCCCTGTCTGTACGTCCATCCGTTCGTCCCATTATGGGTATAAAGCTATTCAAGATAACTCCTCCTACAGTTTGAAAGCTAGGAAGTTTTCACTTTGCTGGTTGTTTGTACATGTATTGAAGGTGTGCATTTGGTCAGGGTTTTGATTTTTATAAATATTTGTTCTTTTGGGAGATAGTTGAACTTTTTTTAGAGTATATAGTTGCATAAGAGGTGCATAGCCTTTCCGGATAACTCCTCCTACAGTGAACCATAGACCTATGTGCTCCCATGCTCAACTTTGTGTATTTCAAAATAACACTTTGCATCTGCGGGGGCATCATTTGTGACAATAATATCTCAAAGAAAGTCCTACATTGACTTTGTTATAATAGTTACTTCAGAGTGGAGTGCAGGGGCATCACTTTGTCTAGTTTTGTATTGTTTACAGTTAAATATAAAAGTATATAACATGTAAATGTAAACATTATATTATTACATCATTATACAATAAAATGCTTCGCTGGGGCGCAGCTTGATACGACCGCAGAGGTCGAACCCTGAACAGTTGGGGCAAGTATGGACACAACATTCAAGCTTGGTACAGCTCTGAATGTGGATTGTTATTAAATATTTGACACAGCATAGGTTTCTGACACAGAAAGAATGTGGTCTAAGAACTTGAATTTTTTTAATTTACCTATTATGGTCCAATGTCCAAAATCAAAATACATGGTTAGATTCAGCATATCAAAGAACCCCATGTATTCAATTTTTGTTAAAATCAAACAAAGTTTAATTTTGGACCAACTTGGACAAACTTGAAAACTGGGCCCATAATCAAAAATCTAAACACATGTTTAGATTCAGCATATCAAAGAACCCCAAGAATTCAATTTTTGCTAAAATCAAACTAAGTTTAATTTTGGACCCTTTGGACCTTAATGTAGACCAATTTAAAAAACGGGACTTAAAATTAAAAATCTAAATACACGGTTAGATTTGGAATATCAAAGAACCCCAATAATTCAATTTTTGATGAAATCAAACAAAGTTTAATTTTGGACCCTTTTGACCTCAATATGAACCAATTTGATAGCGGGGCCCACAAATAAAAAATCTAAATTCATGGTTAGATTCAGCATATCAAAGAACACCATATATTCAATTTTTGTTGAAATCAAAAAAAGTTTAATTTTGGACCCCAACTTGGACCAACTTGAAAACTGGGCCCATAATCAAAAATCTAAACACATGTTTAGATTCAGCATATCAAAGAACCCCAAGAATTTAATTTTTGTTAAAATCAAACTAAGTTTGATTTTGGACCCTTTGGACCTCAATGAAGACCAATTTAAAAAACGGGACCCAAAATTAAAAATCTAAAAACACGGTTAGATTTGGCATATCAAAGAACCCCAATAATTCAATTTTCGATGAAATCAAACAAAGTTTAATTTTGGACCCTTTTGACCTCAATATGAACCAATTTGATAGCGGGGCCTACAAATAAAAAATCTAAATACATGGTTAGATTCAGCATATCAAAGAACCTCATATATTCAATTTTTGTTGAAATCAAACAAAGTTTAATTTTGGACCCCAATTTGGACCAACTTGAAAACTGGGCCCATAATCAAAAATCTAAATACATGTTTAGATTCAGCATATCAAAGAACCCCATATATTCAATTTTTGTTGAAATCAAACAAAGTTTAAATACTGGACCCTATCTTGGACCAACTTGAAAACTGGGCCCATAATCAAAAATCTAAACACATGTTTAGATTCAGCAAATCAAAGAACCCCAAGAATTCAATTTTTGTCAAAATCAAACTAAGTTTAATTTTGGACCAATGGACCTCAATGTAGACCAATTTAAAAAACAGGACCCAAAATTAAAAACCTAAATACACGGTTAGATTTGGAATATCAAAGAACCCCAATAATTCAATTTTAGATGAAATCAAACAAAGTTTAATTTTGGACCCTTTTGACCTCAATATGAACCAATTAGATAACGGGGTCCACAAATAAAAAATCTAAATACATGGTTAGATTCAGCATATCAAAGAACCCCATATATTCAATTTTTGTTGAAATCAAACAAAGTTTAATTTTGGACCCCAATTTGGACCAACTTGAAAACTGGGCCAAAAATCTAAAAATCTAAATACATGTTTAGATTCAGCATATCATAGAACCTCATATATTCAATTTTTGCTAAAATCAAACAAAGTTTAATTTTGGACCCTTTGGACATTAATGTAGACCAATTTGAAAACTGGACCCAAAATTAAAAATCTAAATACACTGTTAGATTCGGCATAACAAATAAATAAATGTGATCAAAGATTTTACAAATCTAATGCGCCATACTGTGCAATTAAAGATTACTTCTTGAAATTTTTCAATATTTGAATTTGAAAAAAAAATAATATTTGAAGAATAATTCTTTTTAATTTCTGAAATCTGAAATGAGAAAAAATTGGCCCCCCACAATTTCTTTTTATCCCCCCCCCCTTTTTCCCCCAAAAAAATTCTTTCCCTCAAGATATGGTCATAATCTCAATTCAAATTTCCAATGGAGTTGGCAACCATAATTACCCATTTAAATTTACCATAGTGCTAACTTAATCTATTTTATAATAGAATTAATAAAAATATAGTGTCAAATCTTTCATATGGATTTTTTTGTAAAAAAAAAAGATGAAAACATTT